GTGACGATTAAAAAAACAAAAAATCGACAATTTAAACCCCATAGCTAACTTCTTTTATGAGTGCACCAAAAAAACTATATATTATAGATAGAAATCTGATTTATAAACAAAAACTAAAAAATAATTTTGTGAAAAAAAGTGTAAATTTTAAAACATATTTTACGTAAAAAATTAGAAAAATATTATTTTCAAAATTCTGGGACAGAGAATCGTTGAAAGATGTTAAAAAATAAATAAAAGTTTTACTGATAAAATACGTAACAAAATAATATTAAGTAACAATAACAATAATAATAATAATAATAATAATAAAAATTATAATAATTTTGTAACTATAATACCTAATTGATCAACAACTGAAATTTTTCTATCAAATTTCACTTTCAAATGATTTACTAGGGTAGGAACAAATTATTCTCCTTGATGGATTTACTAACAATGTGTAAACTCAATCTAAAAAAAAAAATTAAGATATTAATCTATTAATTAAAAAATTGTTGTATTTTAATTCTTTATTTAAAAAGCATTTTATAAACATGCCTTTTTTAAAAACACTTTTCTTCTAAAATAAACAAAATTGACTAAAGAAATAAAAAAAATGCTTCTCGATTTTCTTTAAATTTAATGATTTCAGTAAATCTAAATGTTTATAGTTTTTTTTTATAAAATACGTCAATTTTAATTTTTTTTTGAAATTGTGTTTTTAAATAAATTTTACGAAAATTTGATGTATGAAATTACTAAAAAAAATGATTTAATACTATATATAGATATTTTGTAATTTATTCTGTTTAAAATGACAGAAAAAAATCGGACACAAAACTCGTATAACTTTCAATTATAGAAGGGAATGAAATAATAACATAAATAATTATTTCAATTTTAATACGCGATTTTTAACAATATCTACTTGTCCTTAACCATACTTTCTGATGCTTTCTGATTCTGAAATATGTTTTTTCAATGTTAATTAATCGGTGAACACATTTTCGCAGGGAAATTAATATTTTATTAATTGTGAAAAAATTTATAAGCTTTTAAAAGTTGTCCCTCACTTTTAACCTTTTCGACCGTAATCATCGTATTTATGATTTTTCTTTTATAAGACAAGCGGCACGTTAAAATAACTTATGGGAAATCAAAGATCAAGTTACTATAATTATTTTGATACATAATAAATTGATGTGCTTCAGTCTTCAAAAAAATATTATAAGTTAAATAAACGAAAACACGCGTGGACAAAATTTGAAAACAACCGTAATACGAGTGATACTTCATGAAAATCATATAAAAGTATTCGAAAAGTACTTGTATATATTTTCACATGTGCCATTTAACATCCCGTGAATGTGCTTCGAGAAAAAATACTTTATTGCAAAGATAATGTAAAAATATTCATCAATTACGGTCGACCGTAATCGACCGAAATTTTTTAGAAAGAAATTGTTATGTACGAAGTTGCCGATTATAATTTCTTTTTTTAGAAACTGTCATTAATTATTAAAACCTGAAGGTTAAGATTTAATGTTTATTTCGAGACACAAAAATGGATCCAAAAAAATTCATTCTGAAAAAAGATAAGATGCGAGAGAAAAGAAAAATAGAAAAGGAAAAAAGAGAAAAGAAATTGGAAAGTTTACGAATATTAAATTTAAATAGAAAAAAGTCTATGAAAATCGTATGGTAAATTTTAAAAATTACAATTTTACATTTTTAAAACAATTCACTATAATAAAAATCTGTTTTAAAATGTAATGTAAATATTCAAATAAAAAATTTATATATCTAGTTAATTTTTGACACATGCTTTTATACCCAGTGCATTATTTCAGTATTTTATTATTCATATAAATATTGATAATATTAAACGAATTTTATTGCTTTTTAAAATTATAACCTCTTAAAAAATTCCCTTCAACTGTTTTTTATCCTAAAAAGCAAACATCTGTTGAATATTTCTTTGTTACAGGTTAAAAATAATTCTCAATTTTAAATATTTATAACTTTTTGAAGACAACTTGTTTTATCTGTCCACTTGTATAATTGGAAAGCTTAGTTCTTGAAGTTTATGTAGACAGAGTTTCAATACTGTGCTATAAAAAAAAAAAAAAAAATTTTCTTATTGAAAAGTTAAAGGTTTCAAAGATATGCCCTTAAGCGTTTGAAATATAATTTTTTCATTAAAAACAAATAAAACTTAATAATAAAATAAATGTCATATATTATATATATAACGCTTCGCTGCTGAAATTTTCCCATTGTGTACAATCTAGGGCCCACAATTCTTATCAAAAACAAAATTTTTTCTTCGATCGTACAATATTGCCTTCTGTATGAATTAAAAGATTTCGATAGAAAGTAAAAATTAAAAATTTTACATGAAAAAATTTTGTTTTTTAGGGTTCCGTACTCGGTTTGGAACCCTATTAATATCGGTTTTTTTGAAATCGTGTACCCCCCCTCCCCTAGCGGCCAAACAAATTTGAATTGATTAACATAGCGTTGTCAAGGAAAAACCATGAATTTTTAAGAAAAATGCCTAAAAATGACTATGTACCCCCCCCCCTATCCCTTAGCAGCCACATCTTTTGACATAGAGAGCTCAAATTTGGTACACTTATGTATTTTTACGTGAAAATTACAGGAAAAATATAGTGAACTTGATTGGGATTGATTTACATATCGTTGTCAAGGAAAAATAAAAAATTTCGAAAAAAGCGTTTAATATAATATGTAATGTAATGCACGTAACACAAAAATTTATGTTAAAAATTGTAGAAATGAAATTATAAAGTATTTTTAACCTTAAAAAAAAAAATAAAAATTTGTAACTTTCTTTGTGAAAATGGTAAATTGATATATTGTATTAGGTTACTATACTTCTTTTAACAACTTTTCTGAACAAATAAGTATAATTATAATAAAATGAAAAGTACACTGAATTAGCAATTTTCTCATTTTTTTCTCACCTCTCATTTGTGTAGAAAACAAAAATTTGTCGTTTTCTTTGTGGAAATGGTAAATTTATATATTAGACTAGGTAACTATACTTTATTGAACTAATTATGTGAACAAATAAGTATAATTATAATGAATTAAAAAGTACACTGAAATATGAATTTTTTCAAGGTTACGAAAAATTTAGGCATTCGAGTATATCTGAGGCACGGACGTTGAGGACCTAGGTGGGAGAAAGTGAGAGAAGGGGTAAAATTTCAGAATTTTACCCTTTCCAAGATGTGACCGTCCAATGGCTCAACATTCTTCTCCCACCTAGGCGCTCAACGTCCGTGCCTCAGATATACTCAAATGGTTTTTTTTTCGAAACCTTGAAAAAATTGCTAATTCAGTGTACTTTTCATTTCATTATAATTGTACTTATTTTTTCATATAATTAGTTAAATAAAGTATAGTAACCAACTTTAATACATTAATTTACCATTTTCATAAAGAAAACGACAAATTTTTATTTTTTACGCAAATGAGAGGTGCGAAAAAATGTGCATGGTTTGTTTACATTTCATGTTTGTTTACATTTCACATGTTGGACTTGCCCTTAAGGCCAGGTGCAACTCGTCAAATGTAAACAAACATGAAAATGTACGTAATTATTAACAAATTTGCGACAGCCTTTTTTTAAATAGAAAATAAAAATTGTTCTTTTCCTATGTGAAAATGGAAAATTCATATTGTATAAAACTACAGCCTGACACCGTACTTGACTAATAATATGAATATATCTTGCCAATAATCAATTATCCATAAAGGAAAAAGCATTTTACCATCTTGTTTTCTGCCTCACTTGGACCTGGCCTTAATAAGAATTATGGACCCTAGATTGGACGCAATGGGAAAATTTCAGCAGCGAGTATATGACGTTTATTTTATTATTAAATTTTATTTTTTTTTCAATAAAAAAATTACATGTCGAAGATTTAAATATATAAGAAAACATCCACAAAAACTCGTATCTATTTATTTTAAGGGTATGTGGGCAAAGGACGTTTTTTTGTGGTTTGAAACTTTATCTGAAATAAAAAATGATTTCGGGTTAGAATTTTGGAAAAATGATTTAGTTTGGTACAAGAAATCTCGCTGTTCTACTCATTTGATATATAACTTAACGCAAAAATAATAAAAATAAAGCAATAAATAGTAAAATAATGTATTTAATCGTAGTTCATTCAGCGGCCACTTGCTCGAATTGGCGCTGTTTATTGGAGCACTGACACACTCAAGCAACGTCTGTGTATTCGCCGCCATGTTTCTTTTTATTTTCGTTTAAAAATTAAACTTTTTAAACATCATTTTTTAATAATTTAACTCAAAATTATGTATTTTTCGGAGAACAGAGAGATTCCTTGTACCCTAATCTATCATCCCTCAAAATTTTAGACAAAAATCTTTTCTCATGAAATGCATACTACCAAAACACATTTTCCCATACTAGGTCACGTGGGAGGTTCCCACATAACCTTAATGCGTTTGAGAAAAAAATTATCCTGAAATATAAATATCAAAAAATTCAAATGCAAATTCTAAATTTCAATAATTTTTAAAAATTCCAGTCTAAAAATTCAAGAATTATTATATAATTTTTCTGTCAAATTTTGCAAATTTGTTATTAATTCTTACTGATTCTAAAGATTAATACTGTTTTTTTTTAAATTAAGAAACAATAGACACAAAATGAAATATTACTATTATTTATTCAAATTGTTGGGTACGATTGATATAGACGGAAACAGAAGAAAATCTCAATAGTAGTTATAACCTAAAAATAAACTTTGCGGAACATTGATATATGTTCTAAAGTATATACAAATTTGCTTAATATGTGAAAATAAAAATATTACATAATAAAAAAAAAATGTTTACATAATTCAAAAAAAAATTATAGATTTGTGTTATTTAGAATCAAATTACAAATATCGGCAAAATAAATCACAAAAATATTGAAAATATTCAAATTTTCTTTACAACGTATATAATATACTTACCCTGAATATTTTCCATTCACATCTTTTTATTTCAAAACCATTTACATGTAAACGTAAGTGAAAATAACTAATATCTGTAATTATCAAATATAAGTCTTAATAAAAGGCAAATGACATGATAGTTGACCAGTTGATTATGATTTGAGCGCCAATTCACTAAAGGGCAATTTTCATGTGATTTCATTAAAGTGTTTTTTCATCGGAAATTACATGGGCATCTGATTGGATAGTAATTGTAACGAGCGACTATTCTCGCTCGAATCATTTCGAGGTATCGAATGAACGATACGATATGATTAAAGTTACGATTTAAATAACCTTAAATAAGTGTAATTATAAAACATTTTATATTACTCTTAACATTTTCTCATAATAAATAAAATAGAGTTTTTCACATAAAGGAAATAGCATGACTAATTCTAAAGTATTTCTGTTGAACTTTTAAGTTTATTTCAATATCGTATTTCTTTTAGCAACATAAAAGATTAAAAGAGAAATGTCGTAAATCAGTACAAATAAATAAGAGAAAATATATTCACATATTTCCTCTTATTTCAATTTAGTCCAGTCAAATTAAACATTTCAACTTACAAAAATTCGGAAGTCAAAAATTCTTTTTGCAATCGATGGGGGGTATTTTACTGAGTATAAAACCAAGTTTTCGAATTTGGGGGGTGGTAAATTTTTCCGCCATCTTGAAAAAAAGAGAAATTTTTTAAATTGCAAATATTACAAAAACTATCACTTTTACGTGAAAAATTGTAAACATCAATTTTGTAGAGCTGAAAATTGCCTACAAAATTTGTTTAAACAATTTTGTCATATGATGAGTAGTTTTTATGTTATATTAAAAAAATCGAAATTTTTAATCGCAAAAACTCCATTTTTACCATTTTTTGCAAAACTGATACAATTTATCGCAAAATTAGTCCTATTCAAAAATAAAGGCATTATAAAACTATGCAACTTTGAAATTAACTTTTTTTCCATACAATAATTAGGAAAGAGTGGGGAACGCTTCAAAGTGCGCAACTACCAGATGTGCGTTTAACATATTATGTGACGCTCCACGGTGAAAGGTATCTATCTCCCCAAATGCATTAGGCTCAGTTCTCCATGTACGTGTAAGGAGAAATGAGCCTAATGCATTTGAGGACAAAAACTTTTAATTGCAAAAATTTCTAAAATTATCACTTTTACGTGAAAAATTGTAAATATAAATTTTGTAGAACAAAAAAAACCTACAAAATTTTTATAAACAATTTTTTCATGTTGAATATTTTTATTAAAAATTAAAAATTTTTTATTGTAAAATATCAATTGTTACCATTTTTGCACATGTGGTATGATTAACAACGATATACAGCATTATCAAACATATTGTGTCTGTTTTAATTTTATGTTTTTTTAATTTGCAATAATCATTTAATTTTTCATTTGTGGACTAGGCCTATTGGGGAAACCACATTTAAAAAAAACTCGCCAAAACTATACCTCAAAGGTGGTGCGGAAATGAGTTTTGATATTTTACAATAAAAAAATTTTTAATTTTTAATAAAAATATTCAACATGAAAAAATTGTTTATAAAAATTTTGTAGGTTTTTTTTGTTCTACAAAATTTATATTTACAATTTTTCACGTAAAAGTGATAATTTTAGAAATTTTTGCAATTAAAAGTTTTTGTCCTCAAATGCATTAGGCTCATTTCTCCTTACACGTACATGGAGAACTGAGCCTAATGCATTTGGGGAGATAGATACCTTTCACCGTGGAGCGTCACATAATATGTTAAACGCACATCTGGTAGTTGCGCACTTTGAAGCGTTCCCCACTCTTTCCTAATTATTGTACGGAAAAAAAGTTTATTTCAAAGTTGCATAGTTTTATAATGCCTTTATTTTTGAATAGGACTAATTTTGCGATAAATTGTATCAGTTTTGCAAAAAATGGTAAAAATGGAGTTTTTGCGATTAAAAATTTCGATTTTTTTAATATAACATAAAACCTACTCATCATATGACAAAATTGTTTAAACAAATTTTGTAGGCAATTTTCAGCTCTACAAAATTGATGTTTACAATTTTTCACGTAAAAGTGATAGTTTTTGTAATATTTGCAATTTAAAAAATTTCTCTTTTTTCAAGATGGCGGAAAAATTTACCACCCCCCAAATTCGAAAACTTGGTTTTATATTCAGTAAAATGCCCCCCATCGATTGCAAAAAGAATTTTTGACTTCCGAATTATTGTTTTTATTTGGTCTTTTTCACGCCCCACAGACTGGACTAATTCTAAAATGTAATCCTAGAACGTCATAAAAACCACTTGAAAAAATGTGATCCTTTCTATAAAAAAAAGGGACACTAAACACATGTTGACCAGACACGGACTTTTACTACCTTCAATAGAAAAGTCGCGTACAGGCTAAACAATAGACGAAAGTCTACAACGGAAATGCTTTGTATAAGAAAGCAATAAATAATTAAATAATTGTTTATGCACATGTTTTAGTATATTTACACATTTGTATGTAAGCGTTATTAATATTGTTAATTAATTAATAATTGACTATCAGAATATTATAATTTAATATTATTATAATTATATTATAATAATATAATTATGGATTAACCATATAATGTTGTGATGATTAATGTTTATTATATTTTAATAAATAGTATGTTGTATGATGGGAGAGAATAAGTATAATCTCTCTTATGTATGTGTGAACGTATAAGTAACACTTAAGAACGATGTGATAAGTGTTAGTGAAGTGATACACGTATAGGAGTAGCGAATACGCTCCATAGTGAAGCATGCGCACAAACTCAAAATGGACCAAAAGCGGAGAGCGACTCCGCTGGACCAAAAACTCTCTAAGTTAGTTCTAATCTTGACTCTGACTTGAAAGGTTGTTTTCTAAACTCCTTAGTCAGCTTGTAATTTATCATATTAATAAATTTACAGGGTTTTACCTTCGAAGGAAGAACTAATAATTATTCTTCCTTTGAACGGGTTTCCCTTCCGTTGTATCGGAAATTAATAATCTTTTATTTAAACCTTCCCGCTTCCTTCTTAAAGGATTTAACTAAAGAGAATCCAGCCAATCATATTCCATTTTTAGAGTTGCGTAATAAAAGGTAACTCGGCTCGTAAGGGCGCACTCACACCTCTGGCTGCCTGCACAGGCAGCCTCCCACCACGCAGAAAACGTACAAGAGTAAGAGAGACAGAAAATTCAAATTTAAATCTACTGACTCTCTGATTGGCTCTCACTGGCTGCCTGTGCAGGCAGCCAGAGGTGTGAGTGCGCCCTAACATAATATTTCCGGAATCGTTGATAGAACTTTTTGTATTTGGAATTATAAATTTCAATTGTATAGCACGACAAAAAGGGTCAAGTGTCAATTTTTCGAAATTGAGATTTTTCCTTAAAAAAAATCAAGTAATTAAATTAATATTCGAGTCACAAAATTCTTATACAATATACGCGGTTAAAAAACAGAAGTGTAAAGTCAATATTATTATGAATAACACTTAAAGTCATGTGATTGTTATGATTTCACATATTTATTGTAAATATTGGGATCGGCTAAACTGCAATACGCCATCTAGTGGGGACCCATTCTCTCCCTCCATTTTCTTTCTTTGTCTCTCTTCAATTAATAGGTTAGAAAGAGTAGAAAAAACAAAATGGAGGGAGAGAATGGGTCAAAATTACTAGATTGTTACTAGACCACCGTTCCCAATTCTCAGCAGGGTTTTCTCTCAAAATACTTAATAGATTGTACTAAAATTTTGTGATGAACTCAAAAATATTTATAATCTAACACGTAAAATTTATACTATTTTTGAGTTTTCAACAAATTATTTTTACGAGAATCTGCGGAGAATATTTACATGTAGAATCATAACAATTACATGACCTTAATAATGAATAAAATAACATTTTGTTTTTTTTTTCACTAATATGATGTATTCCACGCCAAAGTGTAAGTCCATCTGCAATTGCATCTCCGATTTTTTTAAAGATTTTTGTTTCTTTTAGTACTTATTGAGACTAGCTTCCATGAATTTTTTCAAATTTTTTTAGCAAGCCGTTTTCGAGTTATGGAATTATGGAAATTGAACAATTTTCATGACTTTTAATTTTCGAATGCTCATAACTTCCTTAAAAATGCATCAATTTTAAAAGTCTTTTTTTCAAAATTTGTTTTTTTACACGTACTTTAAAAAAAAAGGAAATTTTTTTAAACGATATTACTATCAAATTTTTGAGTTTTAATGATAAAAAGTCATTTTTCTCATTTGACGTACTGATCGATTTTTTTCAAAAATTTTTCAAAAAACTACTTTTTACGAAACTTTTAAACCTAGCCCAATAATGGGCAAACAATTTTTACAATATTTTCGGAATTTTTCAAAAATTTTTGAATTTTTTAAAAATATTTTTGGTTTTCTTTTATACTACGTACTTTTATGTACTTTGATGCGCTGATTACGAAAATCATAGTGAAAATACACAAAAATTTGATTTTTATGGTGAAAACCATAAAAACCCTGGCGGATTCGATTTGCGTAATGTCTACTTAACTAAGCGGACTTTAGGTAGACATTAGGTAGACATGTAAAAAAACGTATAAAAAAGCTATTAATCGACTTATTATGATAAAAAAAAGTTGATAAAAGGGTAAATGAATGTTTATAGAGTAAATTCGTACAAAATTTGTAATTAATAAAGCAATAAATAATTAATAATGAATGGAAATGTGCGCGAGGTACCTGATCAGTTCAGCTGTACAATTATTTTCGTGCTATTTTCATGAAAAGAATATAAATTAACGGCAAAAACAATTGATATTTATAAAAAAGTGTAAAATTGATTTAATTTGAGTGTTTGCAATACGAATTATTAAATAATAATTAAGTTTTTATCAAATGTGAATAGTGTTGTGAAAACCTGTGAAAACTAATGAGTTACTACATTACCGATCGCATATGATAATAAAAAGTTCTCGATGAGTGTAACAAAAAAGCTGCAATCATGTCCGTAATTTTGGACGAGAAACAATTATGAAATCAATAATTATTTGTATAACTTTATTCTGCATTTTAAAATTCACTTTTTATTTTCTTTCAAAGCAAAAGCTTGGAAGAAAACATGCTCGCACTGTATTGTAAAAACTGGTGGCGCCATCTCTCATATGCGATCGGTAATGTAGTAACTCATTAGATTTCACAGGTTTTCACAACACTATTCACATTTGATAAAAACTTAATTATTATTTAATAATTCGTATTGCAAACACTCAAATTAAATCAATTTTACACTTTTTTATAAATATCAATTGTTTTTGCCGTTAATTTATATTCTTTTCATGAAAATAGCACGAAAATAATTGTACAGCTGAACTGATCAGGTACCTCGCGCACATTTCCATTCATTATTAATTATTTATTGCTTTATTAATTACAAATGTTGTAGGAATTTACTCTATAAACATTCATTTACCCTTTTATCAACTTTTTTTTATCATAATAAGTCGATTAATAGCTTTTTTATACGTTTTTTTACATGTCTACCTAATGTCTACCTAAAGTCCGCTTAGTTAAGTAGACATTACGCAAATCGAATCCGCCAGGGAAGTCCCAAAATTTATGTTTTTTTTGTTTATTGGGTAAAATATACAAAATTAAAAAAAAACTTTTAAACAAAAGTTATAGATCTTATTAAAATACATTTTTTATCTTATGCATTTTTTTTTAATTTTGCATTTTTTACCCAATAAACGAAAAAAAACATAAATTTTGGGACTTTTTTATGGTTTTCACCATAAAAATCAAATTTTTGTGTATTTTCACTATTATTTTCGTAATCAGCGCATCAAAATACATAAAAGTACGTAGTATAAAAGAAAACCAAAAATATTTTTAAAAAATTCAAAAATTTTTGAAAAATTCCGAAAATATTGTAAAAATTGTTTGCCCATTATCGGGCTAGGTTTAAAAGTTTCGTAAAAAGTAGTTTTTTTGAAAAATTTAAAAAAAAAATCGATCAGTACGTCAAATGAGAAAAATGACTTTTTATCATTAAAACTCAAAAATTCTCCAATTTTCAAAATTCCATAACTCGAAAACGGCTTGCTAAAAAAATTTGAAAAAATTCATGAAAGCTAGTCTCAATTAGTACTAAAAGAAGAATCGGAGATGCAATTGCAGATGGACTTACACTTTGGCGTGGAATACATCATATATATTGAACAAATTATTCTTCCCCTGATAAAACATTAATAATTATTTATAAGAAAGAACAAATTCTTAAAAATTGTTTAACGATTTTAGAAGGAAAAATTTACGATTGAAATAATCAGAAAATTCTTTTTTCGATTATGCTCTAAACTAAAAAGAAAATATCAAGAAAAAGAAATTGTATAAAACATCTTTTATTTAAAACAGTTAATACTTAATTATAATTTTCATAAAATCGCGGCAGTGATTCTCACATAAAAATGTTTGCAAAATTCATTGATTGCATGTACATAGTTACGTATATATATAAATATACGTATATAATATAAAGAAAATTCACTGTTGGTCACTTGGCACACAAAATAAAAATTTCGTGTGCGCTATACTTTCATCACAAAAACATACATTTTTTTTTTAAATTTTCATCCCCTTTTTTCAACCTTTAAGACAATTATCTTCTCAATCACACTAAATTCTCACTGGTTAATATCACATTTCAAAAAAATTAAATTCCTGAGTTAAATTCATTTTTAATTAAGTTCATCATTTATTGAACATATTTAGTTAATTTATTTTATAATTTGTTAATTTCTTCATTATATTTTTTCTCATAAAAGCGATACTTTAAATTAATATTCTAAAACTGATCAATTAAATTGTAAATTTCTTTATATCTGAAAAACTGCAGGAATTTAATTTATTTCCTAATTCGTCTCTATTCTCAATGTCATTTTTTTTTAAAAGTGTTAATATCGATCGAGAAGACTAAAAGTCATAAAGGAAAAGATTTTTCAAAAAATAATAATAGAGACTATCTAAAATACTCTTGATTGCAATCGTAAACGATTTTTCATCCGGGCCTGCACAACTGATAACATCTTAAATCAGAAACCAGTCGAAGAACTGATCGCGTTAATGTCGGTTGATCCTAAAATTAAAAAAAAAAAATTTTCTGTAAACTAAAATAATAAATAACAAAATGTTTAATAATATTTTTTAACAGAGAAAAAAAATCTGTTACAATAATATAAATAAAAAATTAATGAATTAATTAAAATTAATTATAATTTGCATTCAATTTTTTTTTTTTAAACTTACAGTTGATTTATCGAAATTTTCCATCAAAGTCGATCGTTGTACATTATCCAAGCCTTCGCAGCTTGTCAAAAATGTTGGTATAAAATTACCAAAAAACCAAGCGATATCAACAGTCGCAAGACTATGAATTGCATTTGCTATTTCGTCTGCTAACAAATTATGAGATCTGCAAAAATAATATTAATAAAGAAATAATAATTATTTGATAAAAATAATAATCATGTGATTAAAATTTTTTTATGCACTACCCACCGATGAAAAAGAACAGTGAAAAGAGCCATGAGAAATCTTTCAAGAAGATGATTTTTAAACACTGAACGCTGATAGAGTCGCCATCGTCCATTCAATTGCTCGAGACTTTGAAGACTCTGACGAAAAATATTAACGTCAGATTGAAGTAAAGCTTGACCAAAGGCTTCTAAAATTGCCACAAGTTCCTCCTTGTGTTCAATAGGTTCTTCACCTTCCGGATGACCGAAAGTTCGAAGTATCGACGAATTATAAAAATATTGCCAACGATGAATTAAAATACTGAAATGGAATATTTTTTTTTCTTTTTAATTTTTCATTGAAATAATTAAAATTGAATAAAAGGAAAAAATGTTAAGAAAGTTTTTAATTTACAAAATTAAATTAGCGGAATTTTAAAATTTTCAAAATAAATTTGATTAAATAACAAATTTTTTTTTAAGAAACTAATTTTTAAAATACAATTACCTGTGAAATAATCGCAATAAAACGAGTGTCGTGTCAGGATGTGAACTAAGATCGTTGCTTACTGCTGGCCAAACGTGTCCAAGGCACAAACTAGTAACAGAGGGAACAAACGCCTTAAATGCATTACTAGGAGCTGACACGACCAAAATTAAAATTTCCAAGAGTTGATCAAGCGCTGCTCCTGACGAGATATTTTCCCTAAAAGACAAAAAAATTGGAAATTAATATTTTTTCTATTGAAAATTAAAGAAAAATTTCAAAATAATTGAAACTTTAAAATAATTGAATTGTTAAAAAATTAGTAGTATGAATTAATTTTTTATTTTTACAAAAATATTTATCTAATTTTGAAAAAAATGAAATATTAAATTTGAAATTTCTTTTACTTAAAATAGTTTATTCCACGACTTCAAACATTGTATAGAATTAACCATTTTGGGTAAAAACTTTTCAAATTTAATATTTTTCAAATTGAACAAAATACCTTCGTCAAATGTTAATAACAAATAAATTACATTATTAAAAAATATCTGCAAAACCAAAAATTTTTTTGGAGTTTTCAGAACAAAATTACAAAAGTCAGAAAAATTGTTGAATTTTTTCAATAAAATCATTTTCAAATTCGATTATTTTTAAGCAAATATTCATGTGCTAAAAATTTGTTGTTTGTTTAAAATTTTTTTATTTTAAAAAGTAAACATATTACCTGGTATAAACGTGTAACATTTCTTGCACCGCATTCTGAGTGAATTCAGCTCCAAGTTGTTGTTGAAGAACTAAAAATGCCGTATGCAAAAAACTAAGTAGTGTTTCACTTGTTCCCTGATTACGAATAAGATGGGGTAAAAGTTCCAATATTCTTTTTACAGATTGCTCCAAACTCGAATGAACTAATTTTTTAATCATTGTCGATGAGGAGGAACAATCTTCAAGGAGTTGTTTCAATGGAACAACTGCCGACGATACTGCCGAATCTGGTGGTACCGGTTGTCCTTCAACTCCTAAAGGTTCCGAGAGAGCCGCTACAAGAATATCTAAAACATTCGAAATGAAAATTATATTTTAATTAAAAAAATTTTTAAATATTTTTTTTTTTTCTCTTCCTAAGTTTAAAATTATAACAATTTCAATTTATACAAATTTTGATTAATTTAAAGTTTCAATTCATCAAAAATGTAATTTATCCAAATTTTTATTGATTTAAGGGCATATCTTTGAAACCTTTAACTTTTCAATAAGAAAAAAAATTTTTTTTTTTTTTTTTGAGCACAGTATTGAAACTCTGTCTACATAAACTTCAAGAACTAAGCTTTCCAATTATACAAGTGGACAGATAAAACAAGTTGTCTTCAAAAAGTTATAAATATTTAAAATTGAGAATTATTTTTAACCTGTAACAAAAAAATATTCAACAGGTGTTTGCTTTTTAGGATAAAAAACAGTTGAAGGGAATTTTCTAAGGGGTTATAATTTTAAAAAGCAATAAAATTCGTTTAATATTTTCAATATTTATATGAATAATAAAATACTGAAATAATGCACTGGGTATAAAAGCATGTGTCAAAAATTAACTAGATATATAAATTTTTTATTTGAATATTTACATTACATTTTAAAATAGATTTTTATTATAGTGAATTGTTTTAAAAATGTAAAATTGTAATTTTTAAAATTTACCATACGATTTTCATAGACTTTTTTCTATTTAAATTTAATATTCGTAAACTTTCCAATTTCTTTTCTCTTTTTTCCTTTTCTATTTTTCTTTTCTCTCGCATCTTATCTTTTTTCAGAATAAATTTTTTTGGATCCATTTTTGTGTCTCGAAATAAACATTAAAACTTAACCTTCAGGTCTTAATAATTAATGACAGTTTCTATAAAAAAAATTATAATCGGCAACTTTGTACATAACAATTTCTTTCTAAAAAATTTCGGTCGATTACGGTCGACCGTAATTGATGAATATTTTTACATTATCTTTGCAATAAAGTATTTTTTCTCGAAGCACATTCACGGGATGTTAAATGGCACATGTGAAAATAAATACAAGTACTTTTCGAATACTTTTATATGATTTTCATGAAGTATCACTCGTATTACGGTTGTTTTCAAATTTTGTCTACACGTGTTTTCGTTTATTTAACTTATAATAGTTTTTTGAAGACATGAAGCACATCAATTTATTATGTCTCAAAATAATTATAGTAACTTGATCTTTGATTTCCCATAAGTTATTTTAACGTGCCGCTTGTCTTATAAAAGAAAAATCATAAATACGATGATTACGGTCGAAAAGGTTAAAAGTGAGGGACAACTTTTAAAAGCTTATAAATTTTTTCACAATTAATAAAATATTAATTTCCCTGCGAAAATATGTTCACGGATTAATTAACATTGAAAAAACATATTTCAGAATTAGTAATTTTTATTAAATCTAAAACTATATCGTTTAAAGCATCAGAAAGTATGGTTAAGGACAAGTAGACATCGTTAAAAATCGCGTATTAAAATTGAAATAATTATTTATGTATTTAATAAATTAAAGTGGAATCTTTTGGAAATGATTGATTGTATCAAGCATTAATATTTCCAACAAAAACCAACAAAAAATTTATTAAAATTACCAAAATATATGCGAGGGACTTTAAAGTTAAAGGTTCTAGAGATATGCCCTTAAATTTAAACCGATTTAATTTGCAATTGTTTCAAATTGTCGGAATTTCAATTTATTCAAATTTTAATTGATTTAAGTTTAAAAATTGTCCGAATTTTAATTTATCCAAATTTTAATTCATGTAAGTTTCAAAGTATGAATTTTAATTTGTTTAAATTTTAATTGATTTAATTTTAAAATTATCTAAATTTCAATTTTTCCAATATTTATCTGATTTAAGTTTCAAATTGTCCGATTTTGAATTAGTCTAAATTTTAACTAATTTTTGTTTCAAATTATCCGAATTTTAATTGATTTAAGTTTTAATTTGTCTAAATTTTGATTAATTTCAGTTTAAAATTATCCAAATTTTTGATTTATTTAGGTTTAAATTTATCTAAAATTAAATTTACCCAAATTTTAAACTTTCCTGTTCTAGTGAAAAAAATGAAATATTGTATAGGAAAATGTGTTTTTCTAACTTTAAATTACTAGATTTCTATTAAATATTCTTTTAATTTAATAAAATTTGTTTATCAGTGAAAATTTGCTCTTTTGATAAATCTAAATTAGAAAATTAATTTCGTTTAAAAATTAAATAACCAAATTAATTAATTATAAATAGAAAAATGAAATGAACTCACTCATTAATCTTTGTCGCATGGCATTGTCCCCGTGTGGAAGAATAATTCCGTTTGTTAATGCCCTTCGTAATACTTTGACAGTATCGGGTTTCAAATGTGGATACACTTGTGTGCAGAGTAAATCAGTGAAGGGCGATTGTTCCCATAAATTTGGTTTAAGTATGGCTGTGATACTTTGCAATAAATGCGCAGCCGAATGAATTAAATTCGCTGGCGGTAAATCGCAATGCGATGTATAAGTTAATGCCCAAAGGCACGATTGTGTGCAACGTTCGCTCAATGTTTCTCTAATTTTTTCCGGTTGTCGACAAATCCAATGGCACCATGCTTGCAACGATGCCAACAATTGTGAGTGTCTGTAAATTTATTTAGAAAATTTTTAATTCTACCCCTCAACAAAAAAAAAAGAAAAGAAAATTGTGTAAAAGAGTTCGAAGTTAAAAAAAAATTAATTAAAATTAAATGAATAAATACTTGGAAAAAAATTAAAAAAAAAAGAACAAATAATTATTTAGTTTATGTTAATTAATTGGAATTAAGGAAACGAGTAATTTATTTTATTTTTTTTTGTAGATTCAAAAAATGAAATTTAAATTTGATTTTTTACTCACACTTCAATGAGATCGAGAACGATTTCTGCGGGTTGAAGAGCAGCTCGAAATAATTGATTGTCTCTGGCGAATGCACAGGCTTCTAAAGTTTGTACGATTAATTCTTCAGTTAACACGTGATCCGAATTCATTTGGTCGCCTGTAAGAAAAAAATAGATTTTTATTTATTTTTATATTTATTAAAAATTATATTGCAAATTTTTTAATTTTTATCGAATTTTTAATTTACTGAAAAAAAATTATTACTCTAAATATTAATAAAATCAACTAAAATGATTATTGAATTAATTGTGATAAATAGGAAGAAAAGATGATAAAATTTTTTTTTTTTTTCAAAATGGTACTTGCCACTAAAAAGTGTATAAAGTCGAGCTAAAGCTTGAGTCGTGGACGCTAAATCTCGTAAATGTGCGTGAACACCCGAAGCTTCATTTTCATTTAGTAAAAGTACTTGTCCATTGGATACTGCATTTCCCAATTCACCAAATACGCCTAACGCCTCTCTCCATGATCGATACTAATGTAAACATTATTAAAATACTATGAAAATCCGTTTCTTTTTCTTTTAATATTTTTCAAATTTATAAAAATTCAACAACATCACCTACCTTTCAATTTCAATAAATTTTATTTTCAAAATTCATCAGTATAATTTAGTACTTTACTACAAAAGGACATTTTTTATTATGAGTCCGTATATGTAAAAATTAAATAAATAAAAATTCAAATACAGAAAAAAAATAAATACAAAAAGTACATTAAAAAAAAAAAAGTAAAAAAAATATATAAAAAATTCTATTTCAAAATTCATTAAATTCATTTTTTCAAAAATATAAAAATTTCTCACCAATAGTGTAAAAATTGGGACGGGAGATATATCTGCAATTTTTGCTAAACATTCAATGTTGCATCTTAAAAAATGTTGCCACTCTGTTTCGTCCTGCAGAAAAAAAAGTCGAAAAATACATTTTATAATTGTTTTAATATTGTAAATTTAAAATTAATTTTTTAATTGGTGTAATTTTTAGTTAACCAACATTTAAAAATAATAATTACTATTATTTAATATTAAATTAATTTAATTTTCAAATTAAATTTTAGTATTAATTTCTAAAATAAATAAAAATTGAGATAAAATTTGATAATAATAATAATAATAATAATAATTTTGATTGTTATTATTAATATATAATATAAATTATCTTACATTCTCGTCGAGATTTTCCGTATCGAGATATTTTAATGTTCGTGCTTCAATTTTGAAACTAATTTTTTGTAAGATACGTTCAGCGAGAGCTTGTGCAATAGTGGCATATTGTGATTGACTACTCTCTAAAAGAACAATCCACACTTCCAAACAACGCAAATATCCATTGATTGTCGAACATTGTTGAAATGTATGATGATATAAAATTTCTAATAATGTATTCACTGGAAATTTTGGACACGATTCAACTCGTTTCAAATGATTCGTGACAAATAATTGTAAAAATTCTGTTGTTTTCTCCATGTAGCTGAAGAGAAATTAAAACAAAAAATTGTATAACTCATTATTATCATAATTTTATTATAAATAAGTGAAAAAAATTTGTATCTTATATATTTTAAAAATATAAATCTTGTTTTTTTTTAAATCAGTTTCAATTCATTTAATTTATTTCTAAAATATGTAATTAAAAAACTAATTTTCATTTTTGATTGGCTATGCTTTTTTTTCATTTTTTTGTCCTCTTGGAAAAAGGATTCCATGATTTTTTTTCAAATTTCTTTTATCAAGTTAGATATTATTTTATTTTTCATAAAAATTTCGAAAAAAAATGCCCCAACTCGTGAATGGCATAAAAAAAAAAAAAAAAAATATTCAAATATATTTTTAAAGAATTAAAAATTGCATTTGAATTAAAAGAAAATTTATCAATTCAATTAAATCGTATTAAATTTCTTAAATAAATAAATTTACCTTTCGTCGATTGTATCCAATCGCTCCATGGATTGAAATATTTCAATGACTTTATGAAAAATTTGTAGAAGCAGTCTATCAGTTACACTTGGTGAACACGGTCTGTACAATAATTCGTTTATCGTTGTCATTGCTTGAACAGCCGTTTCAATCTGCTTACCATTCTGCAAAAAAAAAAAAAAAATAGAAATTAAACATTAAAATTCATTCACTTAGAAAAAGAAATTAAAAAAAAATGTTTGAAAAATACTTTTAAAAAAAGCAAGTGGTAATTAATTTTTTTTTTTTAAACAAAAAAGACAAAAGTAAATATAAAAAAACGGAGATTAAAGAAAAAAATCATTATATTCACCATTGAATCATGATATTTGGCACATGCGAATATGGCATCCAATAAATTCGGCGTAATGTGCTCGGAAAGTATTATCCAACTAAATAAATGAGCTAAAACTTCGAGTGTCGCTATACAAAGTTCATTACTGCCTAATGACAATCCTTCAACATCAAGAACAGCACGTATCGGAGGAATATGATTATGACCACCCGTCGGTGATGGTGGCGGTGTTATTGTACCCGAACGATTTTGAGATTTATTCGTTTCACGTAGCAAACCTAAAAAAAGAAATAATAATAATTTCCTAAAATAAAATTTCAAAAAATATACTTCAATATTTAATTTAATAAATTAAATAATAGTAAAGGTATTATTTATAATATTATATAAATATTATAATAAAGAAAAAAAATGTTTAAATATTAGAAATTTGAATTTTTCTATAATTTGCAAAAAAAAATTATATAATAATAAAAATTTGAACTTTCGCAAAATGTAGATAAATTTTTTTTTTTATAATTATACCTGTTAGTACATCGAGAGTTGTCGATACTTGTGCTCCGAGAATTCTCAATAATTCGTCCTTTCGATGAACTGGCAAATCTTCTCGTGGAGTTGCTAATTCCTCGGACGCTGTTCGTAAATAAACTAAACCAAGTAGTCTTGTATGTTTGTGGCCCAATAACTAGAGAAAATAAAAATGACAATAAATTCAAAAAAAAAGTACAAAAAAAATTATTTTTAAAATAAATTAAAATAAATATGAGTTTCAAAATTCGACTCATGTTTATTTAAAAAGAAACCTTTAGTAATCGAATCGTTAACTAAACTATTATTTTACTTTTATTTCATCGAATTCAATTTTCAATATTTCAAAAACCGAATATTTAAATGTAAAAAACATTTTCATTTAGCTGGAAAAAAATACCCGCTCTTATTTTTATATTCATTCAAAAATTGTCAAAAAAAAAAAGAATTTTTATTTTTAAAATTTAAGCTAAAACCGAGATATTTATTTCCACCAAAAATAAAAATACATACCACCATTATTAAAATTTTCCTAAAATTAAAACTTTGATGGTAAATTGAAAATTTAGTGAACAGTGAATTCGATTAAATAAAAATTAAATTTGAGAAAATTTTCATAAAATAGAAAAATTTGTGACCTGTAAAATATTCGCAAAGAAATCGGGATAAAAATGTGGCCAATCGTGTCTCGCAATATCGACGACCAGTTTAACTACTTTATTTCTAACGAAAGGAGCAACTCCACGTTCGAGAGAAAGTGTATATAAAGTTGATCTAATTAACGCTCTATCCTCCCATGGCAAAATTGGCCATCGTCTTCCAATAGTTGTCTAAAAATTTAGAGAATTCATTTATTTATAAACACTTTTAAATATATTACAAATATATTACGGGTTGTCACAAGAATACATTTTTCACTTTTCTAACATTTTCTTGGCATTAAAAAATACCTGACAAAATTTTTTTTTTTTTTATTAAATTTAATGAATTAGAATAAAAATCTAATAATTTTAATTTCCAAAATCTTCTTTTCATAATATTTTGCACTATTTTTACTAGAGCAAGGATCACAATACCTTTTTTTCTTGAAAATAGGTAAAAAGGTGAATTATTTACCGAAAAAACAAAAAAACAAAAAATGAAAAAAGGTGATAAAAAACTGATAGTTAAAACAAATTTATATGAAAAAGAACTAATATTTATATCTATTTAAATTAATTATTGAATTTTTTCATGAATGATTGGAGAATTAATAGTTTAAAATTTCGGAAAATTGAATTTTGAATTTAAATTGAAATTCGAATAATTTGAATAACATAAATTAATTAGGTACAATTTGGATAAATTAAAATTCGAATAATTTGAAATTTAAATCGATATTAAATTTAGATAATTTTAAACTTAAGTCATTTAAAATTTGTACACATTGAAATTTATATAATTCAAAAATTGAAATCAATTGCAACTTTGTTAAATTAAAATTCGGTTAATTTTTGAAACTTTTGAATCGATTAATCTTTAGATAAATTGAAATTTTTGAAATTTTAAATTTCCATCGTTTCAATTTGCATTTGATTAAAATTTTAATATTAATAAATTTGTTTCGAACAATGAAAATTGAGATTTTTTTTTTTTAAAGTAGAATTATTTAAAATTTAAATAAAAAATTATATTGCATTGAAGTTTGAGTAAAATTTAATTAAATTAGAATTTGAATCGATTAAAATATGAATCGAATAAAATTTAATTAAATTGAAATTTGGACGAACTAAATTTTTAAATTTTGATAAAATTCAAATTTATATAAATATTGAATTGATGGTTAATTAAAATTAGAATGAATTTAAATTTAGATTTATTGAAATTTGTTCTAAATAATTTTTAAATCGATGAACAATTTCAATAAATTCAAGCTCGAGTCAATTGAATCATTTATAGAAAAGATGAAAATCTGTAATTTTCTGTTCTTTAAATTAAAATAAGTTCAGAAATGTTAATAAAATTTTTTTTAAACTAATAAAATATTTATCAACATTTATTGAGTGTGATTAGAACACTGTAGAGCAGGAAAATCAAAACCAATTTTAAGATTTTTTTTACGAAATCAGAATAAAATCAATTAAAAATCCAATTATATAATTATTATCAAATTATTATTATTATTATTATTATTGTAATGTCTTTATCATTATTAATTTTAAGTTAATGTAAATTGTGCTGCAAAATAGTTTATTTAAAAAATTAAATAAAATTCATATTGTTTATTTTTTTTTTGCAGTTTTTAAAATAAAAAAATGTAAAATTGACAAAAAAGCTACTCTATAATAATTTATATAAATTTCAAAAAGAAATTGAAGTGTTAAATTTTTAAACTAAAACTAATTTCACTATATAATTAATGATTTATAAAGAATAATTACCTCCAATGTGGATAAGGCGAACATACTGACATAATGATTATTTGTCGATGACAAGAAATGAAGACAAGGTCTCCAGGAATTGATCTGAGCAGCAAATTCATGAAGGCTCTGTTCAATCGTTCGTTTACGTTCATTATTTGTTTCAGGTGAAAAAAATTCAGTCATTAAATGCTCCAGTCTTTGTAGTGCCACAACATCGTCATCCTTAATTTAAAAAAAAAAAAAATACTTTACCCTTTTCTTTTTTACACCAAAAAATTTATATTATATAGATAAAAAAAAATAAAATACTGGGTCAAACGTCAAATTACACTTACAATTATTTTATGTTTCATGAAATAATTTTTTATTTTTTAAAAATATTATTGCTTTAAATACCTACCATTTTAATTTGTTATAATTAATTAGTCTATTTGTTATAAATGCAGTTAAATTCTATGTCTTAGATATATTATAAATAAAATTGAGAGAGGTTAGTTTCTAGTTTGTTTGGCAGACGACGTCATCTCTCCTCTCCTCTCGCCCTTCTTCAACAAAAACCATTTTATCAATTTTCCTAAATGCTACCTACCCATCCCTTTTTATCTCGAATCTAGAATCGATAAAGTTATCGTTTCCATTTTTAAAAAAATTGAATTTTTTAAATTAAATAAATAAAATAATTTAATCATAACAATTATTTATTATATTATAATTTAATTTTTCCTTTCTTTTGCCTATATAAATTAAAATTTTTATATTCATATGGAAAACAAAGTTTTCATTATTAAACATAATAAGAATAATCATATATAATTCGTATTATAAAAAATTATATAATTAAATTAATAAAAAACACACAAAAAAATGCCTGTGCAAAAAATGGTTATTACCCTGACGAAAGTTTTGGATTAAATTTCAATCACTTTTAATAAATATTTATTCCAAGATATTCCGAAAATTTATTTCCGAGCCAATTAGTTTCTATCAAAATCAAAATTTTAAAATATATTTAACAAAATATTCTTTCCGAATCAATCCGTTTAATTCTAAAGCTGAATTTTAATTCTTTTCAATTTTGTTTTTTCTTTCCAAATCAATTTGTTTCATTTCCAAAAATAAATTTTAATCTTCTTGAATTCTGAAATTTAGATTCAAATAAAAACTGATTGTCTCCGAAACAAATTTAAAAATAAAACCAAAACTGATTGAACATCAATATTCGAAACTTTTGTTAGGATAGATAATCAATTAAATGTTAGAAAAATAATTTATTACATTATATAGATTATATTTAACAAATAATTAAAAAAATATATACATTTTTATTGTTAAAACTTTTTAAATGTTTATTAAATAATTTGTCAATAAATTTTATTGAAAAACAAATTTTTTCAAAAGTACTTTAAAAAAATAAACAAAATAATAAAGGAAATTTTTTAAAAGTCATTCTTATTTATTGTATATAAATAAATTAATTTAATTTTAAAAAATTTAACACAAAGATTTTTATTAATTTTTCTTTAATTCGAAAAAAATTACAAACCATTTTTTTGTACAGTTTATTGTACAATTATTTCAAAATTTATCCTATTATTTACTTTTTGTTCATTCATGAAATTTAATAAACGAACGTTATATATTTAATTATGTTTAAAAAAAAATTACAATTAAAAAATACAATAAAAAGAAACATCCACTTACTTTTTATTTTGAATTTTTTACTTTAATAGTTTAAACAAACAATAAATTTCTCAACGATATTAAAAATATATAATTGAGAAATTAATTAAATTACAACAACAATATCAAAATATATATATAAATCAATTTTTTTTTTTAATTGAACTACAATTATTACAATTTTTTAAAAATTAATTTTGCCAAATTCTCAAAGCTTTATCTTTGCCACCAGAAGCAACTCGATCACCACTTGGTGCCCAATCAACAGCATAAACTTCATCCGCATGACCCGGTAAATCATGAAGTAATTTTTTCATTTTAATATTCCAAACTGTGAAAGAAAAATAGTAATTTTAGTAAAATAAAATTTTTACATTTTCAGGCTTGTCACAAGAATAAATTTTTTTTTATTTCCTGATATTTCAGTGCCATTAAAAATTTTTTCACTCACAAACAAATCTTATTAAATTCAAAGAATTATAATAATCTACTCTAATAATTTAAAATTACAAAAACTCGTTCTCCTACACGTTTCTGCAAAATATGTAACTAATTTGAATTTATGCAAATTTAGATTGATGTAAATATTTAATCAATGATTGAAGGATTATTACTTTAATATTTGATTAATTACATTGAATTTTAACTAATTTGGAAAAATTAAAATTAGAATAATATAAAAGTTAAATCAGTTAAAATTCGGGGAAATCGAAATTTAAATCGTTTAATCGTTAGGTAGATTAAAATTTTGTAAATTTTTATTTTCTATCGATTGAATTTGTATTTGATTAAAATTTTTATTTATAAATATATATAAATTTAATTTATCAAAATAGCTTTATTAATAAAATGATATATTAATAACAGAAAAATTACCTTTTAAAGTGGAATCAGCGCTTCCACTGACTAATAATCGTGAATCCGCACTCCATGCAATTGTATAAACCCTTTGCACATGTCCTCTCAAAACACCAACGAATTTTCCACTATTTCCATCCCATAATTTAATTGATTTATCAAAAGAAGCGCTCGCAATTAGTCTTCCATTTGGCGAAAATTTCACATCGTTTATTAATTGTTGATGGCCTGACATTCTTTCTGCAAGTACGAAAATTTTATTTCAAAATATCCATATATATATTTTTTTTTATCTTTTTAGAAAAATTAATATTACTTTCTTTTAAAAATTGTCAATTATTTCAATTGTATATTTTTAAATGATATAAAATCATATAAAAATATGAAATTAAATATAAAATTTTCACGTATTATAAAATGACAATAACAAAATAATTATGTGTAATTATTATTATTTTTTTTTTAAACATACCAATGGGTTTTTTACTAGTCTCCGGTTTCCAGAGAATTAATGTAAAATCATCGGAACCAGAAACGAGTTTTTCCTCACCAACAGCTTCGTAACGTCTTTTTGCACGTTCTTTAGCACTTTCTAGTTCATTTTTTTTCTTTGTAATTTCAAATTCTGCCGTTCTTAAAGCATAATCGACATTAAGCGCCAAACTATTCACCCAATGAGCGTGACCTTCAAGACTTCTGCACAATTTCCCCTAAAATTTGAAAAAAACAAACTCAATATATATTCAAATATATTTTGAAAAAAAATGGCATTCCAAAATGTATTTTTTATTTGGTTCAAAGTTTATAAAAAAAAAAAATTTCAATGGTAATAATGATAAAAATAATAATAATAATAATTATTACATCATCAGCTTTCCAAACTTTAATCGTTCTGTCCTGAGATGAAGAATAAATAAGACCTCGTCCACCCCATTTGACGCAAGTGACACTCATACTGTGTCCATTTAATTCGCGAATTGTTTGACCAAGAACTGTGTCCCATATTCTTAATGTTGTGTCTTTCGATGAGCTAACGAGAAATCGGCATGTTTCATTACTGTGATATGGTTCCCAGCTCAAACAAGTTATCCATTTTTTATGAGCGATCATTGGTTTGCCTAAATGAAAAAAAATAAATTAATTGTTTTTACCTAATTGTTAATTGAGAAAGGAAAAATTACAAAATTCATTAATATTCCACAAAAAAAAGTCATTAGTTCAAATTTTCAGTGTTTCGTATTTCATAAAATTGAATTTAATCAAATTTTATAAAATAGAATAGGTATTGGATATTTTCAAAATTAAAAAAGGGAAAATTTAAAAAAATTTTTATCATTCCTTTTTGAAAATTTTACAAATTTTTTTTTAAAAAGGAGAAAAAAACTCTTTATTTATTAATAATAAAATAAAATTTTTTTTAAACAAATTATAAGAATTTATCCGAAAATAATAATTTTTTTTTTTTACTTTTCTTGGGTTTATTCATAAACGAAACAGTTTCCTTCGTTTTTTAACTTCAAATTTTATTAAAAAAATTGCTTTCTGTATTTAAAAATAAATTAATAATTTATCAAATATTTAATGTATTTTATTATTTTTCATTTACTGTAGTAATTTAAAAAAAAAATTTATAGATAAAAAAAATTATTTCGTTTATTTGAACGTTTAGAACTTCAGACGCATCGAATTTGAAATTATTTAACTTCGTTTAGGTATAATTTTTCTCAGCTTTTAATAATTTTCAAAAAATTGTTTTTAAATTAAAATAGTTTTTTTTTTATTACAAAAAAAATTATTTAAACTTGAAAAATTTAGAAAAATTTTAAAAAAATTTCAGACCTTTTTTTATGATTTTTAGAAAATTTTTAAAATTCCACTTCTTTTTCACAATTTCCTGCGGTTAAATAAATATTCTTTAAATAAAAGAGTATGTCATAAAAAAAATTTAATTAAATATATTAAAACTTCGCTTAAATGAAAACTCTAAAAAGGAAATTCTACAAGTGAAAATTCAGTATACAATATTAATTTTATAAAATTCGACTCAATTAAAAATTTGTTCTCACAAATTTTATATTTACTGGAAATTAGAAATTATAAAAATAAATTTTCACAAACCAATTTGTGATCCGTCCTCCGCATTCCAAAGAAGAATTTTTCCATTTTCACTAGCTGAAGCGACTTTTCGTCCACAAGGCGACCAAGCAACACAAAGTACATTATCAGCGTGTCCTAAACACGTTTTATAAGGAGTTTGAGTGTGAATATCCCAAAGTCTCAAAGTTTTATCTCCAGAACCACTTGCCAAAAGTTGGCCATTTGGAGAAAATTGTACAGCTAAAACAGCTTCAGTATGACCTAAATAATTTATTTAAAAATTAATTCTCAAAATTTCAATTCTAATTAAAATAATGACAATTAAATTACCTAATTAAGGAGGGTGGCGGGTCAAAACTAAAAAATTGTTTTTAACGCAAACAAAAATATAATAAATATATTAATTTGAAACAATTTTAGAAGATCTAGATTTACTCCTTTCGAAAAAAATTATTTTTTTACAAATGTATTTTGTCAATAATTATTTTTTTATATTGTAATTAATTTAATTTATTATTATTATTTATTTAATTTATTTTTTAATTTTTATTTAATTTTATTTTATATTATAATAAGTATGTTCTTAAAAAGTTATAAAGATTAAAATTTTATTTATTAAATAACTTTTTAAGAACATACTTATTACAATAGGTAAAAAAGGTAACAATTGTAGAGAATGTTTCACTTAGTAAAATGAGCTTTTGTTTATAAAAATTGGTTAAAAATTGCAATTTTTGTCTGATTTAAAAGAAAAAAAAACTAAATGTTAAAAAATAATTATTGACAAAATATTTTGGAAAAAAAATAATTTTTTTCGAAAGGAGTAAATCTAGATCTTCTAAAATTATTGTTTCAAACTAATATTTATTATATTTTTGTTTGCGTTAAAAACAATTTTTTAGTTTTGACAGGTTTTTGAGGTTATGTTGACCCGCCACCCTCCTTAATTAATAGTCGTTTGTTTAATAACAGTTAATTCAATAAAATATATAACAGAATTTTCTTTTTTTAAACAATTAAATTACCTTCTAATTCACCAGTGCACCTGGTGACACTTCGGACTTTAAAAATTGCTTGTGGTTGATAAATAATATCGACAACATTTTCACTGGCACTGAAATCTTTATTTAAACTTAAATAAGGTTGTAAACACTTTTCAATTTCCACATCATTCACATAAAATGCCAATGGAAGGGGTTCATCTTCATTTAATAATGTATTGCAAATTAATTGCAATTGTTCCACTGTAACATTAACAGGTAAATCTAAAAGACCGCCAGCCAATGCCACACCATCGTCGGATTTAAATCGTGCAAGAACTGTTTGCACTTCTTCATTATCGTCAATTTCCATAATTTATCGGTGTTTTTTTTTTCAAATTTCAATATAATAATTAAATTTAGTTATTTGTCAAGATTTTGAATTTAATTTCTTGTACGCACGCAATTCTTTTGAAAAATTTAACCTAACCTAAAAATTGAGAATCCCGTACACGTGTGACACACAAACACTGCGAATGTAATTTTAATTTCAATTTAAAGAGAATATTTCACTTTTACTGAATAATATATAAATAATGAAAAAAACATATTTTTTTCAAGTTTAAAATAAGAAAAATCTGCGTGAAAAATGTACACAAAACGCACGTGGTCCAAAAGGACCAGAATTGTATGTTTGTTAAATTGAAGAACCAATGAAAAATGAGATTCATTATCACGTGACAATTTGGTGGGAATATCAATTAAATTATTTTTAAAAAATAGCATAATTATTACTGGAATATATAAATTATTATTATTATTATTTTTTTTAGTATAGTTTTTAAAAATATATTTTCTTTTTTTGTTAAAAAATTAAAAGGAGAATCAAATTTTAGAATGGATGAATATTAAAATTATTTAGTAAAAAAATTGTAATTCTTTTAATTAAATTATTCATAACAAATTGTCAATAATTATAACAATTATTCAATGATTTTAATGTAATTGATTAATTTTACCAATAATTGTACAATTTAAAAAAAATATCAATTTTAACAATGAACAATTTAAAATAATAATTTATCAACACTTATGTGTGAATCTTGAATTATTTCATCGATAATTAAAATATATATAAATTTTGTTGTTATTAACGAAATTTTATTTTTAATTATTTTATCAATAATAATTTTAATCATATAATTATTAATAATTGTTGATAACAAAATATATTTATCAGCAATTTTTATAATGAATCAATTAAAAATTTTCATTTCTTCAACATTAAAATATTGTAACATTTATATAATAATAATTTTAATTTATAATTTTATTATATTTTTGACAAATTTTTTTCTAATTAAATTATTAATAAAACTATGTTTTTTTTCGCAAAACTATTTTGTTTTAAAAAAAAAAAAAAATTAATTATTAATAAACTATTATATAGTTAAATATTTAAAATTTTTAATGAAATAGTAAAAAAAAATGTAATTTTTTAATTTTTAGGTAAAATAAAAAAAATTTTTTTGATAATTTTCACATGAAATTAATAAAACAAAAATAAAAAATTGTGACTCAAGATAATGCGCAAAAAATTTTGCCACATATTATTAAAAGAATAATCGTCCTTGAAAACGAGATTTATCTGTCAATAATATACACGCGTAGGCAGATAATAACTAGCTATTTTTTTTTATCAATAAAAAATATGCGCAAGCGCATTAAATAAATAAACGATAATTAACAATGATATTTGAAATTATTCATCTCTCATATATAATTTACAAAGTCAATTTACAATTTTTCATTCAAAATATAGATAAAGTGCGAGTTTAAGCGGTAGCGTACAAATTTCAAAAAGTGATGTGAGATAAAAATTTTTCAAATATGTTTTTCAACAATTTTCCATTTATTATCAATTTATTTGGTTTTTTATTATTTTTTCTACTAATTTTTTATATTTATTCACAATATAAATTGAATTATTGGAAAAGAAAAGGAATTCCAACGCCTAATAATTGTCATTGGTTATTTGGTAATTTCAAAGATGTTATTCTTGGACGTACATCGGTTGGTGTACATTTTGGAAAATTACACAATGAATGCTGCAACAATGAACCATGCCTTGGTGTTTACATAATGCATAAACCATTTCTTTTATTGAGAGATCCCGAATTGATAAAACAAATTTTAGTTAAAGATTTTCATTTATTTCAAAATCGTTATTTTGCTGCGGAAAAATCAAAAGACTTAATTGGTACAACATCATTGTTTTCAATTAATAATCCCGAATGGAAATATTTACGTACAAAATTATCATCAACATTTTCAAGTGGAAAACAAAAAAAATTATTTTCCTTAATGATTGAATCATCTGAGAATATGAGTAATTTTCTTGCTGGACAATTTCAAATATCCGATAATAATAATGATAAAAATACAAAGAATATAGATACAAAATTTGTTGCTGTACAATTTATCACCGATGTTATTTCATCTCTTGCTTTTGGCGTCAGGACAAATTCATTTGGTGACAATTTGGAATTTTTTAATAATGGTAAAAAAAAATGCTGAAATATTTTTAATTTATATTTTGATATTTATTGAATTAATTTTTTTTTATATTAATTAAAATTAAAACTGATTTTCTTCTGTAAAAATTAGATTTGAAAAAACGTAATTTAAATTTACACTTTTTTTCTGCAATTTTTATATCTTTAACAGCATGTGGAAAACTCCCACGTGATCTAGTATGGTTTTTTTTGTGCTTTGAAACTTTCCCTGAAATAAAAAATTATTTTGGGTTAAAATTTTGGAAAAATGTTTTTTTTTTTTTTTTGGTTCAAGAAATCTGGCTATTTTTCTCATTTTTCATTTCTTACTTGCTCAAATGTTGAAAATGTTGAAAAATTTTATATTCTCTATATTACAAAAATTAATCTAAAAGATATAATTAAAAAAAAATATACCATTAATTTTAGAAAAAAATATTTATTTCTATGTGTTTCTACGCCATTAAATTTTTCTAATTTCAAAAAAAATTATTTACTTAAAGTGTTTAGAGCAATTAAAATTTTCATAATAATTTTTTTTTCTCATTGATTAATATTAAAATTTTGACATTTTGCAGAAGAACAATTATTATTTATATTTTTTATTTATTATTAATAATTTTTAAAAAATAGTTTTTTATTTCTAAAATGATATTTTTTTATTAATATGATATATATATATATTTTTTTTTTAATTAATCAATTGTCATAAATAAAGTAACAATAATTTAAAAAATTTTTTTAAAAATATTTTTAATATTTTATTTTTTAATATCATTAATTAATACCTCATTTTATGTGTAGTGAGAGCACCTTTCAAGAGAACTCTTTTGGGAGCATTTCAACTTTTTGCAATTTTCTTTTTTCCAATATTCAGAAATTTTTTGAATAGCGGTATATTAGGCAGTTCTACAGACTATTTTCGCAACCTATTTCGAGAAGTGATGAACGAACGAGAGAAATCGGGTTTTAAACGTGGTGACAGCATTGATCCTTTACTGCAAATAAAACAAGAAAGACATTCATTAAACTTTGGTAATTAATTATAATTATTATATAAACTTACAATAATTGTAATAAAAAAAAAAAATTACGGATATAATTCATTAATAACAATTGAAATTAATATAATAATTAATATAATAGGTAATAATAATAATAATAATAAGAATAATAACAACAATTGAATTACTTTTCAAAATTCAAATTTTAAAAATTAAAAATACTGAGATTTATTTAATTCAAAAATTTTATAAAATTAAAATTTCAAAATTTTGTAATTTTTAGAAATGCCAGACGACACTCTTTTGGCACAACCGGTTATTTTTTATGTTGCTGGAACGGAAAGTAGTTCCACGACAATAGCATTGACACTTATGGAATTTGCTAAAAATCCAATACTTCAGGAAAGAGCGAGACGTGAAATTCAAAATGAATTGGATAAACATGGATTCACTTATGAGGGAATGCAGGGATTAAAATTTTTGCAACAGGCCATTTCCGAAACATTGAGACTTTATCCAGCGGCACCAATTATTGACAGAGTTGCATTGGAAGATTATAAAGTAAAAAAAAAAAAATAACTACATAAAATATATAACTTTAAAATAATTATTTTTTTCAAAATTTTATCGAAAAATTTAAATTTTATTGATTTTTTTATAGTTAAATAATTTATTATTAGAAAAAAATTCTCATTATTTTTTAAAGAATATTAATTTGCTTATTATTACAATTAGAAATAAAAAAAATAAATTTTTAACAATAAAAAAAAAAAAGATTGTATTATATTTTTATTATTCAGAGAAAAATGGAAAGTATTTGAAATAAATATAAATAAATTCGTTTAGTAAAATAGAAATTATTACAATTAACAGAAAATAAAAATGAGAAAAATATAAATTTTGAATTTAAATAAGAATTTAAAAATTTTTTCATTGCGTACAGATTCCAGGAACAGAAATTGTACTTGAAAAAGGAACAGTAGTTTATGTGGCATTAAATGGTATTCAAGAAGATCCGAGATTTTTCAAAGATCCATTAAAATATGATCCAGATAGATTTAGCGAGGAAAGAAAAGGGGATATTGTGTCTTGTTCTTATTTGCCATTTGGAGAAGGTCCAAGAGCATGTATAGGTTTGTTTCTTATTTTCGAAAATTAATGTTTTTTTTTTAATTTTTCTCTTTTTTTTTACATTTTTTAGTATTTATTTATTTATATTTTATTTGTTAATATTTATTGTATTTACAAATTTAATTAATTTTCTATAAATTATTTATTATTATTATAGATTGTAAATATATAAAAAGAGTTAAATAAAAAAAAAAAAATTATTTACTTATTTAAATATATTTTTGAAAAAAAAATTTTTTTTTTCAGGGGAACGCGTTGGTATGCTGCAAACTACAGTTGGTTTAGCCACAATTTTGCGAGATTATGAAGTTTCCCTAAATCCAAAGTGCAAATACGAATTAGATCCGAGGGCAATTTTCATACAACCTCTTGACGGAGTGAAATTAGATTTAAAAAAAGTGTCGCATTAAATTTTGTAAAAAAATAAAAAATATTTGAAAAAATTGTTCCTGATTATCATATAGACAATCAACGATAACAAATTTTTAATTTTGTATAGAAATTGAAATATTAATATTTAAAAAAAAAAAAAAACATGAATTTGTAATTTTCCTATCTATCAGTAATACAAGAATTTCTCTTCAATAATAAATAAGTGAAATTAACTTCTTTTTAAAAAATGAAAATTGTTAATAATAATTTTCATTTTTTTAATATGAAATCTAAAATTTTGCAATTTCAAATTGATTTGCAAAAAGTTTTTAAAGAACAATATTTTCGGAATATTGTTGAGTCAATATATTGGAAAGATTTTTGTGTTAAAATAATTTTCAAAAATAATTTTTTTTTTAAATATTCAACTCAATAAATTTTTCAAAAATTAAGTTTTTTACTTTTATAATATTTAAAATTTGTGCTTTTCACATTTTGAAAGTTTAATTTATCATATTATATGAAAAAGTAATAAAAAAGGTACACTTAGTAAAATTAATTAAAAATTATGTTTCATGAAATCACAGCTAAAGAACAAAACATTTTATTGCAATAGAGTTTAATTTTAAAACACTTTATCAATAAGAGGCGTCAGATTATTATTTATCTTTATTTATAGTTGTTCTTTATTTACTTTTATTTGAAAAAAAAATATTTAAATGTTGATGAAAAAAACAGTAAAATCAAAATAATATTGTATTTAATTAAAAAAAAAAATTATGTACAAAAAAAAAGTGAAATAGCAATTTAATAAAAAGATCAAAAGTGATTATTTTTTTAAATCTAAAAAAAATGCAAGTCAGTTGTCAAATGCACTTAATGATAAATTGCGACGAAGAATGACTTGTAATCAACCATATCGTTATACATCAGCTCTTATAAAAGGAGAATATTATTTTAGATAAATTCCTCAGTTCAATAAATGAATTAAAATTATAAAGATGTTTTCATTAAATCAATTATGGTTATTAAATGTTTTTCTAATTATTTTTGGATTATTAACAATATTTTATTTTTATGCTCAATATAAATATAAATATTGGAAAAAACGTGGTGTCAAATCATTGCCAACTCATTGGTTATTTGGAAATTTTAAAAATTTACTATTTCTTCGTGAATCGGTGGCAAATATATTTCATCAATTACATCGTGATGCAAAAGATGAATCATATGTTGGTGTTTATATATTTCAAATTCCCTGTTTATTAGTACGTAGTCCTGAATTAATAAAACAAATTTTAGTTAAAGACTTTAATATATTTCCAAATAGACAATTTGCAAGTAGCAATAATAAAAATGGTGATCAAGTTGGAGCAACAAGTCTTTTTTCCGTTGAAAATCCAAGATGGAAATATTTTCGTACACATTTATCGCCAATATTCTCTAGTGGGAAGCAAAAAAAAATATTCACCTTAATGATAGAATCGGCGGAAAATATGAGAAATTATTTTAATAATCAATTGAAAAATGAGGGCGATGTGAAAATGTTTGACGTAAAGGAAGATAGTAATAAATATATTACTGATATTATTTCATCAATGGCATTTGGAATAAGTACAAATTCATTTGAAATTCCAACACCCGAATTTTTTAAACGTGGTAAGTGTAATTCAAATTTTAATATCTTTTTCAATATATTGAGAATTCGTTATTTTTTTTTAAATTTTAATATTATAAAAAAAAAAATAATCCTGTTATTATAGGTAACGAACTTTTTCAACCAACTGTAAAAAATTTTATCGAAACCTTTACGCTCTTCTTTTTTCCAAGTGCAAGTCATTTATTAAATCCAAAATTACTTGGAAAATCGACGGAATATTTTCGTAATATATTCTGGGAATCGATGAACCATCGTGAAAAATCGGGAACCACACGTGGAGATTCTATTGATGTTTTACTGAAAATAAAAAATGAAAGAGTTCACTTAGATATGGGTAAGAATAAAAAATAAAAAAATTAATATTTATATGTTTATAATTATGTTAGACTTTAAAAATGAATTTCCAAATATTTTTTTTGCAATTGTAAACAATAATTTGAAAATAATTTACAATGATTGTGAAAAAAAAATCAATTTTTGCATCCGAGCAAATTTTCCAACTTTTTACTTTTTTATTTTACGAATTTTCATTGAAAATTTTTTTCCGAATAAAAAGATATTCCGGACGATTCACTTTTGGGACAATCGGGTGTATTTTTCGTTGCTGGTCGAGAGACAAGTTCAATGTCACTTGGATTGGTTCTTTATGAATTGGCAAAACGACCCACAATGCAGGACCGTGTACGAAAAGAAATTACCGAGAAAATTAATGAAAAAGGCTTTTGTTATGAAAGTATGCAGGAAATGAAATATTTGAATCAAGTGATTTCCGAAGTATTACGAATGTATCCAGTTGTGCCAATTATAGACAGAGTTGCTGAACAAAATTACAAGGTATAAGAATTTTTATTGAAAAATTGGGTTTAAGAAAATAATTTTTTAAATGCAAATACTGAAGTATACGCAACGTTTATGATTAATGATTAGAAATTTTTTATTTAACACGGAAAAATTAAAAAAATTGTTTATTTAAAAAAATATTTTTTTTTAATAATTTGTTTATTAATAAAAAGAAATATTTTTTGGGAAAAAATGGAAAAAAATAAAATTCCATTCTAAAAAATTATTTCTTTAAAAATCATTTTTATCATAAACGATACGTAATTTAGTATTGCGATTTTACGAAAATCATTCATTATTATATTTTGTAGTGATTTTTTTTTTTTTTTTTGTAAATTTTGAGATAAATTTATTAACGTATTTTCGATACTTACAGATTCCTGGCACAAATGTTGTCATTGAAAAAGGCACGCCGGTTTATACTTCATTGCATGCTCTTCACTTTGATCCTGAATATCATCCAAATCCATATGAATTTGATCCGGACAGATTCAGCGATGAAAGAAAGAGTAAAATGGTCCCATATACTTATATGCCATTTGGTGAAGGTCCCAGAATTTGCATAGGTTCGTACATGAAAATTTTAAATTAAAATTACAACAAAATAACAATAAAACAAAAAAATTTTTGTAAATTATCAATTTTAATTGCAAATCATGAAATTTAATTAATGATACTAATATTATTTAAATTGAATTAAATTAAAATCAATTAACATAAACGTTTTTTTTTTTTTTTTTTATAAAAACCAATAAAATATTTTAAAAATAGACGAAAATTTGTTTAAAATTCATTTATATGAACATCGGTTTACTAAAAAAAAAGAAAATGTTTTTCAGGAATGAGATTTGCAATTTTACAAATGACTGTAGGATTAGCAGTGATATTAAGAGATTTTCAAGTTGCCCTCAATCCAGCACAAAAAGTCAAAATAAGTAATCGCGGACTCTTCCTTCAAACTCAAGATGGAATAAAATTGGATTTAAAGAAAGTGACTGTCAAGTGAAAGTGAGTTTACCAAAAATTAATTTTTTTTCTCAACTTATTTTTATAAAAACTACAATAATTGTTTTTTTTTTCTTTAAAAAAAAAAAATTGATTAATAAACTAATATATAATTTTCACTTTTTAAAAAATTATTTTAATTTATATTGTAAAATAGTATTAAGTTATTTTAAAATTTTTAATAAATCATAAAATTACTGTTTCATTACTTTCTACTGTTTTATAGAATTTTTATTATATGAAATTAACAATCGAAAACAATACCTGAAAAGATTAATATATAGAAATAAAAAGGTCATGAAACTGCATGATTAAGACATTATTATGAATAATTACTGATAATTATGAATTATATGTTTTTCACAGATACTAATTATTTGAAAAGCTTTAAAAAAAATTGCAAAAAAAAAATTTCATGATTCGGCATAATTATACTGAATTCTAAATAGATAATTATTATGTAAACTATATAATAACGTTATTACTGTTTCGATTCATTTTTCTTTACACCATTTTTTGTTCTTAAACAAAAACAAACAAAAAACAATGCTAAAAAAATAAATACTAATAAAAATAAATAAAATAGACAATTCATAAAATATAGGAACAATAATTTGTTAATTATGAATTTTATTAATTAATTTAAATTTTTCTGCTTTATGTAACAATAAGATATTTATGATTTTTGACTCTCTATAAACAATAAAATAATATTAAATTTATATAATTATAATGACCTTAATAAATAATTATTAAAATTAAAATAAATAATTATTAAAACAGAATAATTGAAAAATAAGAAATTTAACATTTCATGATACTTCATTTATTTTTCCCTGACAAATGTATTATTTTATAACATATAGAAATATTCTATTTTTCTTATTAAAAAACCTTTGAGATTTTGTAACTTTATTTTTTTTTTTAAATGTATTATAAATCATTCATATTAATACAAGTTTATAATATTGTATTAAATGAAAAATTTATATTAAAAATTTTTTAACCTTTTTTATTGGATAAATATTATAATTCCCTTAGACATTTAAATGTAGAAAAATTATTTATACACATACTTGAAATAAAAAACAAATGGGAATAATGATTTACTTACATCCTTGACATTTCTAGACATTCCGATGATTTTTTTTTTTTTTAAATAAAAAAATAAAATACAATGACAAACAACAGATGATTTTTTTTTGTATATATATACACACACAAAGCAATAGAAACTCACTGGTTTAGTGATTATTGTTCAAAACTAATTCACTTTGAAAAAAGTGCTAAATACTTTTTAAATTCTGGCAGCACATTTTCTCGGGGATTTAGTGATGATTCTGATGTCAAAATATTGTGTAGATATTGTGGATGAAAGCACAAAATTCCTTTACTTGCCATTGTCGCCCAATCGACTATTTGATCCTTTTGCTTCAATTGAATAAAACAATGAGTGATTTTTTTCTCCGATGACGTTTGATCGTTTGATGAACTAAGGATAAAGAAATTTAATTAAAAATAAATAAATGTAATAATTAATAAGCAAAAAAAAAAATAAATATTTTTTATAAATACATTTTTTTAGTCAGTTACTTTTTTAAGTAAATTAATTTCTACTGTTGGATTAAATAATTTGATTATTTTTATTTTAAGTTAATAAGTAAATAATTAGGTTCAATCCCTTTATATTTCACCTAAATTCGTTGTGATCTATTTTTAAAAAAAATCTTTATTAAAAAAAAATTCCTAAACAAAGTTAAATACTTTCGTCATATTTTAAATTGAAGATAAATAATATTAAAAAATTATGAGTGAAATCTGAAATTTTTTCGAGGTTCGACCAAAAAAATTACAACTAGAAAAAATATTCAATAAAAATAAAAAAGTTTTCCTTTTTGATTACCTATTTTTATTTTTGTAATTAAGGGCATCCGGGAGAAAATAATGGTTTTGTAGATTTCTTCTCATTTGAAAAAAATAGAATATTTGAGGTTGTAATTTTTTGGAAATAATAGAGGAAGGTACTTCTCGGAATTTTGCATAATCTTGATAAATAATTATTGAAAAAAATGTTTAAACATTGTCAAAAAGGGGTTTCGTAAATTTCTTCTCATCTTTAAAGGATAAAAGTATTTCGAGTTGGCATTTGGAGGAATAATAGAGGAAGGGTCACTGAGTGGGGCTCTTCTCTATTTTTGCAATAATATTGTAATTTGCGGATTTTTCCCGGATGGCCTTAAGTGAGAAGAAAATTTTAGCTAAACTCAAACCTGGATTTTACGACACATCCATTTCCAGCGACAATAAGTCTTTCGAATGATTCTAATTTTTCTTCTTGAACCAAAAGTAATGCGACCATATCCTCAAATGCACCACCAGGTTCATTGGTTAATTTAATTCTCCAACGATAAGCAGCAGCGGCAATTGCAAATTCAATTTCAGTTGTCAATGAAGATAATAATATGTCACTGCAATTAGGATTTCCCCATTCGTATGCCTCTTCCTTGAGTGGAATAATCAATTATAAATTATCACATATAAATAATATTTTTCTAGACATTATATTGCAAAAAAATTAATTTTTCAAATAAATTACAAATTATACCACTTATTCCAAAATTATTATTCTTATTTTAAATGATACACAAAATTTGAAATTTACATTTTTATTTATTAATTAGGGGAGACTGGGGCAAACCGGCCAGGTGTTAGTTTCTCAGAATTGGTCAAACTTTAAAATATGTCAATTATAAATTTGAAAAGACTATATGGGGCATTCTATGGGAAATTTTCATTGAAAATTTTTTTTTGTCCGAAACATTTTTTTTTGAAATCTATATGAAAAATAAAGAAATACGTATTTTTTTATTTTTTTATTTGATGAAAATGAAGGAAGTTATTATTTTTTGAAATTTAACGTCAACGAAGAAAGTGTGTTTTTGGAACATTTTTTAATCTATTGTACTAATAATTTAAAAATTATGCTATATATGAAATTTGTTCATTTTTTCTCAAATTTTTCAAATATGTGCTCAAAAATAACGTACCTATAACAGAAGCAACAAAAAAGTTGAAATTAAACTTATAAAGTGAGTTTTCTCAAAGATGGACACTTTCGATTTTTAATTTTTTTTTTTTGCATTACAATCTCTGATGATTGAAGAATTTTTTCCCCTATCTGCGAAAGTGGTATTTTTAGTTTTTAAATTACTATTTATAATTTTTTTAGTACGGCTCACAGAATTTAAGTATTTTTTCTACAAATATAACCTTTTTCCATTAACATTCATTTGTTTTTTTTTTAATTTTCATAAAAACATACTAAAAATCGTTGCGTCAGGCTTAAAAATTGTAAATAGTAATTTAAAAACTAAAAGTACCACTTTCGCAGATAGGGGAAAAAATTCTTCAGTCATCAGAGATTGTAATGCAAAAAAATAATTATAAATCGAAAGTGTCCATCTTTAAGAAAACTCACTTTATAAGTTTAATTTCAACTTTTTTGTTGCTTCTGTTATAGGTACGTTATTTTTGAGCACATATTTGAAAAATTTGAGAAAAAATCAACAAATTTCATATATAGCATAATTTTTAATTTCTTAGTATAATAGATTAAAAAATGTTCCAAAAACACACTTTCTTCGTTGACGTTAAATTTCAAAAAATCATAACTTCCTTCATTTTCATCAAATGAGGACACCAATGCAATAACCAGACGGACGCTCGGACCGGCCGCGCTAAAGCCAGTCAACGAATGAAAAAGTCGAAAAAATTAAAATTCAAAATTTTGATTTTTGAAATATACTACGTTGTAGAAAATAAAACGGCGCATCTTTTTTTCCTTTAACTTTTTTTTGTAGAATGAATAGTTTTGACAATAATTGCAAAAAACTAAATATTTTCAATCAACAAATTTTATTGAATTTTTAAACACAAATCGTTCCAGTTCCGACAAATATTAATGAATTTACTTCAACTTTGGTATATCCACGCATTTAGGTCTAGAGAAGACGATAGCATGATGAAAAAGTTAAAAACCATAAATTATTTAATTATTTATTAATTTAAATAATAACTTACCTGTACTCTCGTTTTCCTATCTTCGCCGACAAAAAGTCTGTGGGGAACTTTTTCGTTGAAAAAACTTCCAGTGAGACATTTGTTCCTCACATATCGAAGAAGTTTTGTGGAAAAATCCAGATCGATTTATTCAAAACTGACGAAGATACACAATTTTTAATGAAAAACACGCAACGCTAATCAAAATAACTCCGCTATCCACGATCCAACACTGCCAGACGGCATTGTCGATAAGGTCGATGTTCAGCAATATAAACACACAAATCAGCCAAAGCGTTGCGTGTTTTTCATTAAAAATTGTGTATCTTCGTCAGTTTTGAATAAATCGATCTGAATTTTTCCACAAAACTTCTTCGATATGTGAGGAACAAATGTCTCACTGGAAGTTTTTTCAACGAAAAAGTTCCCCACAGACTTTTTGTCGGCGAAGATAGGAAAACGAGAGTACAGGTAAGTTATTATTTAAATTAATAAATAATTAAATAATTTATGGTTTTTAACTTTTTCATCATGCTATCGTCTTCTCTAGACCTAAATGCGTGGATATACCAAAGTTGAAGTAAATTCATTAATATTTGTCGGAACTGGAACGATTTGTGTTTAAAAATTCAATAAAATTTGTTGATTGAAAATATTTAGTTTTTTGCAATTATTGTCAAAACTATTCATTCTACAAAAAAAAGTTAAAGGAAAAAAAGATGCGCCGTTTTATTTTCTACAACGTAGTATATTTCAAAAATCAAAATTTTGAATTTTAATTTTTTCGACTTTTTCATTCGTTGACTGGCTTTAGCGCGGCCGGTCCGAGCGTCCGTCTGGTTATTGCATTGGTGTCCTCAAATAAAAAAATAAAAAAATACGTATTTCCTTATTTTTCATATAGATTCCGAAAAAAAATGTTTCCGACAAAAAAAAATTTTCAATGAAAATTTCCCATAGAATGCCCCATATTAAGAATAACTTATTTCTTCAGTTTGACATTTTTTAATTGTGTTTATGCAATTTTATAAACAAAAGTTTGTTTTTTCGCTTCCACTAAAAAATTTTTACGGATCTGTTCATAAGCAATTTGTGAGAAAATCGTGTAATATTTATTAAAATTGTTTTTTTAGGTTTAAAAGGTGCATGCCTCAGTTAAATTTATCGGTATATTATTTAATGATTTTACGAAGCATTTTTTTTTATACAAATCTTAATTGTCAAAATGGGCCTGTGGGGCAAACCGGCTTATGTCTGTTTCCCTTGCAACAAAAATTCACGAAGATTACCTATCGGCTAGAAAACTTTGTGCACGCTTTCGTGAATCTTTGTCCATTTTACGGAGATTTACGAAGTTTTACAAAGTTCACCGACAGACGTTTCTTCGTGAACAACAGCAATTAGTTGAAAATATTTGTTTTATAATAAATAAGATGTTTCTTTAATTGAAATTTAATCCTATCTTATTATTTTCCTTATTGGAAACATTGTTTATTGATTTTTTTATATTTAGTGACGTTTTCCTTACAATTATTTCTCTAAATAAACAAAAATAAATTAACTGGCCGGTTTACCTCAGGGATGGGGCAAACCGGCCAGTTTGCAAATTTTTTTAAAATTGATGCAGCAGCTAAACAATACATTTCAAGGTACATGTGTCTCTAGGAAAAAGTTGCGCAATTAGATGACCTTTCCAACAAGTTATTATAAAAGGTTTTTCATTAGTTTCTTTAGTTACTAGAGCCTTACAACTGTTAACATGGTCGGTTTGCCCCAATCTCTCCTATTAATAAATTATTAAAATAATAAAATTTTTAAAATATGAATGAAACAAAGAAAGAATTAAAAAAAGGAAACTTAAGCAAGTCAAGAAAATTTTTTATCAAAATTGTATTTGTAAAATTTATAATAATATTTATTTATTATTAATAAATTATTATTATTATTAAATTAATTTAAAAAAAAATTAATGAAGAAAGAAAAAAACAACTTACGTCAAGGAATTTGTTGGCAATCTCACTATCTTTAATATAATTTGGATGTAATATCCATTTTCCAGATGCAATGCTACCGAGAACTTTTTCATTTCTTGCAGGTTTGAAGCTGAGTAAATGCGTTGCGGTAGAATCGAAAGTTAATTCCGTCGACACTTCACCACCAAGTTCAATAATTACTTTTTCATATGGCGGTTTGTCCTAGAATTATTTAGTTTATACATTATTTTCTTTTTTTTAAATTCAAAGAATCGGTAAATTAAAAAAATTTTATTTATTGAAAAATTAATTTATTGATAAAACAAAATAGAAATTTCCACTAACTTTTAATCCTGAGAGCATAAATTTTCGTTTCGGTACTTCTGGAGTTGGTGTTCTTGCTGTTGTAGCTGCCATTGGAACTGTAGATCCTGTTAATTCTTCATTTGCGGGCTAAAATAATGATGAATTAAATTAAGAGGAGGGTAAGGTATTAAAATTTTTTTTTTGCGCTTTTTTTAAATGAATGCATATAATCTCAAGAATATTGTGTCAAAATTTCAGGTCAATCGGAAAAAAACCTTAAAAATTCGTTTTTTTTTAACAATTATTAGTAATTTGTATATTTTTAAATTTATAATTTTTTCCAATACACCATTTAAAAGATCATTTCCTGAGCCATAAAAAATGGCTATTGACAAATTTTTACAATTATATTTTAATGTTTAAATATAATTAATAATAAATTAACCTTCTCCCCTCTTAAATGAAATTAAATTTAAATTGAAAACAAATCCCACTTGTGTATAAATGAAACGTGAAACTTACTTCCGTTGTTTCTTCATGTGCTATCGGATATTGCCAACCAACTGTAAATGGTTGTGTTTCTTTCTCCATGCCTAAAAATTCAATTTAATTTCAAAATGAAAAACTTTTGGGGCAGCTGCTCTCCCAATCGAAAAATTTCTATATTCAGTTAACTTCACTCATATAAAAAATCATGATAAATATTGAGTATGAAGTTAACTGAATATACATAGAAATTTTTCGATTGGAAGAGCAGCTGCCCCAAAAGTTTTTCAGTGTACCTTCACGAAAAAAAAATAATTGCAATGAATAAAGGCCAACGCACAATAGCTTCGCGAACGAGATGCATGAGATAGAAAAGAATACAAATATATTTCTGTCCGTTTCTAACTTATGTTTCACGTTCGCAAACGTCTTTCGCGAACCTACTCTGCTTAGGCCCTCTCCAGAAAGGCCTTTCTCCAATAGGAACCTAAACTTTTGCGTTGCGTGACTGACGCGTTGATTTTAGCATTGGTTGCCAATAGCAACCGACGCAATGCATACGCAACGCAAGAGTTTAGGCCCTCTCCAGAATGGAGCTAAACGCAACGCATCCCCATTTGCTTAGCATTGAGATGCGTCGCGTTTGCGTTGCGTTTAGCTCCATTCTGGAAAGGGCCTAAGCAAATGGGGATGCGTCGCGTTTGCGTTGCGTTTAACTCCATTCAGGCCTTTCTCCAATAGGATCCTAAGGCCCTTTCCAGAATGGAGCTAAACGCAACGCAAACGCGACGCATCTCAATGCTAAGCAAATGGGGATGCGTCGCGTTTGCGTTGCGTTTAGCTCCATTCTGGAGAGGGCCTTAGCATTGCGATGCGTCGCGTCTGCGTTGCGTTTCACTCCATTCTGGAGAGGGCCTTAAGGCCTAAGCAGAATAGATTCTTGAACGGGAACGCAATCGTAAACGGAAACGTAAGAATGTGTAAGAGAAGGATAGCAAATATCTTTATTCTTCTCTCACCCATTCTTACGTTTCCATTCACGATTGCGTTCCCGTTCAAGAATCTATTCTGCTTAGGCCTTTAGGCCTTAAGGGGTCATCCATAAATTAAGTAAGGTCTTTTGGTAGGGAGGGGGAGGGGGTAGAACATTTTTCGATGCTAACTTACATAGGTGGGAACCTGGTTAAACAAATTTCTTACGTAAGATATATTTTCGAATACTACTTGACAAATTTAATAAACGGAAATTTTCACGCTATGGAAAAAAATGAAAGCGCCACGAAGCGGCAGAATTATAGAAACTACCTAACATTGCCTTCTCAACCCTGAAAATTGATCTTTCTAAAGGCCTGAGCAGAATAGAAACGTAACCGGAATCGTAATCGCAAATGCAACCGGAAGAATGAGTTAGAGAAGGATAGATATATTATTTGTCCTTCTCTAACACATTCTACCGGTTGCGTTTACGATTACGATTCCGGTTACCTTTCTATTCTACTCAGGCCTTAAATGTGTCAACCTTTATGTCGATTGTGTCACCTCCGTGAAGTTAGCACTACAACCATAAAATATCCAAACTTTTTCTATTGAAATCGTTTGGTAATTGATTGGAAACCAATTTTTATCGTTTGGAAACAAAAAATTAAAAAGTTATGTTTCTGTGCTAAATTCACATTTGCATGCAAAATTGGTTATTTTGCAAAATTCTTTTTGCAATCGTTTGGAAATGTTTGGAAAGCAAGAATTTTCGCTTGGAGGTTATAATATTTAAGACGATAAAATAATTTCTAAAAAATTAATTATGCTGCTCGCAAGTATCTGCGCAAACACATCACGTTCCCAACCCTGCTATTCATGCATAAGTGTGGTCGCACCATAAGCTTTTGTGACTGTTAACTGATCTTTATTATGACTTCGTAATCGGGATCCCCCACATTACACAGGAAAAAAAAGTCTTACTCCGAGCATAGTCTAATTTTTAATTTTGATTAGAAAGTAGTTGATAACTAATATCAATCACAAATAATGGTCTAAAAATAAGCCGTTGAGGTCCTGATGAAAAACAAGATATTAATATGACAAATATTTAGTTCTATTAGATTCAAAACAAGCCTTTGTGGTCTTGGACTCAATACAAAATTTTATTCGCTAGAACAAAACTTATTTTTTCCTGTGAAGGAGGTTCTACAATAGATGCAAGACCAAGTCCAAGTGCAAATTTATTGTACTTGGATGCGCGCGCAACGTATTGCCAACTGTCGCTGAGGCGCAGTTGAAAATACTGGTGGGATTCAATTTTTAATTATAAATTAAATAAATTAAATATAATTGCTGCAACTGCTGGTTGCATTTAATTAAGTGAGGTAAGTAGTCTTAAAAAAATAAATATTATTTTGAAAATAAAAAAATTGTGGGTTATGTGTACATAACCTATATGCAGTTTTAAAACATTGAAAGTAATTTTACATTTTTCACAGCGTAATAAAATTGTAATTGTTTAATTATTAATTAATTGTGTTTTAAATATTATATATATATATATATATATATATATATTTATAATTTTTAGTTCGCATTTGTTAAGTATATTGACTGCGTTTCAACTGAGGTTCCATGGTATATTGACTCCGTACTTCATTTGAAAAGGACTTGAAAAAGGTAATAATATATTAATTTTATTTTTAATACCTAGAATTTGAAGTGTTTTAAAAATAATTAAATTTCAAAAGGTTTTAAAATGACATTTTTGGAATATTTGAATTACTGTATAAAAATAAATAATAGGTAACATTTAAATATTTATTTCTAAAAGTAATATATGCAAATTTCAAATGAGTTTATTATTTAAAATTCTGAAAAAATTAGGTTTTTCAAGAATCACACTTTTTTGCAGATAATTGTATTTTTGAAAATTTAAAATTGAATGGTTTTTGTATAGTTTAAATTTTGTAAAATTATATTGAAAATAATTAAACTTTTTAAATAATTTTATTAACGACGGGTCTATTATAAGCTACTTTTTTTATTTGGCCCGCCACCCTACTTCTGTATATTTCGAGATGGGACAAAAATAATAAAAGTAGCATATTTGTCCCGTCAAAAAATTTAAAGACGGGACAGTTAATAACAACACATTAAATGCATTTGTGTACACACCTTCTGAATGTCTTTATTAGCAGAAGTTTGAAATTAAAATCTATTTTGTAAAAGACTTAAAACATTTTTTAATTTTATTATTTTACGCCAGTTTTGAAAAGTATATAATAAATGAGGTTGAAACGTAGTCAATATATTTAACAAATGCGAACTAAAAATTATAAATACATATATATATACATATATATATATATATATATATATATATATATATATATATATATATAATATTTAAAACACAATTAATTAATAATTAAACAATTACAATTTTATTACGCTGTGAAAAATGTAAAATTACTTTCAATGTTTTAAAACTGCATATAGGTTATGTACACATAACCCACAATTTTTTTATTTTCAAAATAATATTTATTTTTTTAAGATTACTTACCTCACTTAATTAAATGCAACCAGCAGTTGCAGCAATTATATTTAATTTATTTAATTTATAATTAAAAATTGAATCCCACCAGTATTTTCAACTACGCCTCAGCGACAGTTGGCAATACGTTGCGCGCACATCCAAGTACAATAAATTTGTACTTGGACTTGGTCTTGCATCTATTGTAGAACCTCCTTGAGAAGGAGAATTGTATGACAAAATGAAACCCATTTACAAATCTTACAAAGGTCGAGAAACACTGATTTTGCCACCAGGAGTTTGAAGTGACATAATCGCCGACGAATTTTGTAAGCAGCACAGATAACCTTGTGCATATTCATTCAAGAAAGCTACTGTGGCAAGAAATTTAGATAAAAAGCATTTATTACTATAATCGGAACGTGCAAAAGCAAATCATGCAATGCGAGTTTTTATGCGTACGCCGAAGAAGAACCTGTTCCTGGCGGATGCCTTGTTTTAAAAGTAAATACTAAAGACACAACTCAATGTCATCACGAATCGATACAGCGTCAACTCCGCAATCTTAAGCGTCAAGTTTCAGGAGAACAAGTTGTAGCGAAAGGAGCGTCAAATATAGTTCGCGAACTGACAGTCAATGAAGGTCATAGAGGGGACATAAATAGGACAAATGTTAATAATTTACCAGTTTTGAGAAAATTGAGGCAGGAAACTCGCGACAAGGATCTAGGGGTAACGACTTCTGATGGCAAAGATGTAAGTATTTATATCCAAAAATGTTTCTTTGCATTGCGGAATCAAATTACTGTTCGTCCGGCAAACACATTTCTGCGATTAGATGTTGCACATTTGATAACGATGATGATCTCCAGAGCAAAGTGTTTTCGAAAAAATAAGCCAGCTGTAAAAGACTTTTATTTAAGAGGAGTTATGCATTAATGGTTTCATGCGACAATTTTGCAAGATTTGAAGAAATTCTGAAATTGCTACTTATTGTCTCATTGCATGAGTATGATGGCAATGTGTTCGGATCAGATAAAAGCACTCCAGCTCAAAGCGCAAGATTGAAACTACAGAATTTCATTGCAACCGAAGAACACAATATTATGAATATTTTGCCCGACGAAGAAAGAGACGACTGTAAAACATTTTTACTAAAAACTGAGTTAAAAAACAAAGGCGATTTATTGAGGGAAGATGAGGTCGATGGTATGATGCGACAGTATGAGTATTTTTTAAATCAACACGGTAAAGCTGAAAAAGAACTTAATGATTGGATAGAAGGCTTGCAAAATTCTGCGAAAATTAATATCAATGTCAAAGGCACATTTCCAAATGGTTACCGAAATATTGGATTCTATAAAGGATTACTAAAATTAGCAAAAGAATTTCTTGTGTGGACTGGGGTTATGACTTCTTCGTTTCTCAAAGCAAAATCATTCGCACTATCAGTTCGCCTGTCGAAGGCGAATTCAATGAATTAAAAAATAGAATTCTTTGGAACTATCATTCAAGAATGAAAATTCATAAATTTGTTATCGTTCATCATCGAGCATTGCAAGCTTCAGCGATGATTGCCTCAACTCGGATATTAAACAAATGCACCAAAGAACAATTCGAACGCCAAAAAAGAAAAGCAGATGCAAAACTTGGTCAATTTCAAAATAAACCGTTCTCGCTCAAAAAGCAGCCTAAGTCGATTTTCGAGCCCTTTTTTCGATTTTAGCTATTTAAAAAAACGCTTATTTTTCGGATAAAATATTTTTATTATATTAGATATCCCAAAGTTATTTCTCATGCGATTCAACATTTCGAAGAATTTGATTTGGACACAATATTTATTGTCACAAATGCACCAGGCCGCAGTGCGTACAACTAAGCGGAAAGGACGATGGCTCCTCTTAGTAGTGCTCCTCTTATAAGTACTAGAGATGTGTTAATATTACTAAGTTAAAATATAAAATAATATTGTTTTTACCAAAGTGAAACTTTTGTTAAATATATTTTACATAAATGTTTAAAAAAATATATTTTAATAAATACAGAATTAACTAAACACCAAACATTAAGTAATATTTCAAATCAACATTCAATTAAACATATTTTTGCAATGTTTTTAAAATTTTAAATATAAATTCCCGTAAAAAAATATATGAGAAGAAAATTACGTAAGATAGGGGGGGGTCAAAAACTTACGGAGCCTTACAGACGTGGGTACATGGGTCAAAATTTAAGAAAAATGCCTTACGTAATTTATGGACGACCCCTAATAAAAATTTTTAAATTCAAAATAATCTCACATTTGTCTGTTTCCGGTTCGAATTGATATTTTTTCTCACTATCCACACTCATTGAGAATCTTTTCTTGTCACTACCAGACGAGCTCGTTGATGCTCGCAAAGCTTTATCAAACTTTTGTATTTGCCTACGATTATATATTTTTTAAATCAATTAAATTATTGGTATTCAATTTTTTGTTTAAATTATTAACAAGATTACAATTACAAAATTAACTCTTTAAATTATATTGCAAATCTAATTGATTAATTCCAATTAAAAATAATTTAATTTAAAAATAAGACTAAAAGAATAATAAAGAAGTTAAAAAAAATAAATTTCATTTAATAAAATAAGAATTAAAAAGAAATACTTACAGATCAACTAAATTGGCCTTCGCGGGACTATTTTCATCAGCATAGGACAATTTTCTATTCGTTCGATCCTCGGCTTGAAAAACTTTATCATTTTCCGTTGAATTACTATTATTTAACGATGTGTTTCCACTAGATTCCTGTATTAAAAAAAAAAACAAATTTCGCATAACTTAATAGGTTTATATATGAAATTTTTAATACCGTCTGGATATTTACGATTTGAAATTAATAAAAATCATTAAAAAAAATTAGAATTAAATTAACAGAAAGTCAAAAAATACTACCAAAGAAATAATAAATATAAATATAATAAAGTAACAAAAATTATTATTTTATAGAAACGAATTAAAAAACGAATAAACAAATAAACGAATGAAAATAATAAATAATCAAATTTGTACAGTTAAAAAAAATGTAAAATTTCAAAATTCAACATTTAATATCAATTTAATATTATCAAATATTTTTTTAATTTAACTAATAATTCGAAAACTATTTTTAAAAATTATTAAAATTATCATCTACCTATATATTATTTCTTTTTTTTATATTTAAAACTAGGTAATTTTTAAAAATTCGAAAAATATTCGTACCCCATCCAATGGTCCTTTTAATTTCTCCCAAAGTTGACGTTTAAGATCTGAAAATGGCTAAATAAGAAAATAACTGATCAGTCATAATTATGACACATTATATATGTGAAAATAATTCATTTCTCAATTGAGGGTGTCTAACAAATCAAAAATATATTTGTGTGGGTATTTTTTATTTTCATGAAATTTTCATGATTTCTATTTCTACTTCTTTAACAGATTGATTTTTTTTTCTTTAAAAATTTTGTAATTTAGAAAAATAAAATTTTGATCTTTTAAATTTGAAACTTATTTCGGTATGGAACTTTCTATTTGAAAAATTTCAACCTGAATTTAATAATTATAAAATCGGGAAATTTATAAATGACTGATTTTTAAATTCATGACAAAATATTTAATACTTTAATTTTTTTTCGAAACAAAAAAAATGTTCGACCAAATACCTAGATAAATAATTACATTTATATTAAATTACAATTCGTGCAAATGAAAGTTCGAAAAAATGAAGATTTTCCAAAATGGAAATTTTACTCTATTTCAATTAATTGACCAGAAATTTTGAGAAAATTATAAAAATTCCCTGTTCATTTTAATTCTCTGAATTATTCATGATTTTTCTGATCGTTAGACGTACTCTGTAAAATAAAAATAATTTTGTGTATAAAGTAAGAAAATAAAATAATTACAGTACTCGGAGCTCTTCTCTTTGTCGGGGGAGGATTATCAGTTTCTCTTAAATCAGGAAAATTATTAATCCACTTGACCCATCCTTTTCTTGTGTCCGGCGATGGATTGTCCTTGATAAATGCACCATAAGGTGTTTCCGGTGTATTGACATGAAACGGTGATTGCGGTGTTTTATTCATAATTCCACTGAGTCGTTTATTTACAAGTGGCGTTTGCATTCCCGGCGTTTCTTGTTGCTGAAAAGAAAAAAAATATATTCAATTCTATTTTTTTTTCTCAAAATCGTGATTTTTTAAAATTTTATTCTCAAAATTCCTAAATATTTATTTGACTTTTGCGAATTTTTTCTTTTTTTTTTGACTGAAAAAATGTTTAATTATACAAATTTTCGGTATTAAACGTTTAATTTATAATTCAATGATAATAATAATGTCTAATTAATAAAAATAAAATAAAAAATTATTTTTTTAATATAAAAATAATAGAAATTATTTACTTGAATAGCTGCCAATCGAATTGGTGTAAATGCTTTCGATGGAGTTTGTGTAGGAGGTTTCATTCCAATGTTTTGTGATTCGGGTACTGTGAAAATAAAAATTTATTTTTTTAATATATGAAAGGATTTGATTATTTTTGCATTTAATTATCTATATTGAGAACAGATTTGCCTCATTTATTATTTAGCTTAAATAATAAATTTTATATTTCTAATTTATATTTTATTAAATAAATAAATTACAATTAACATTACTTTTTGTTATTCCCACGAGATATGGCGTTTCGTTAATGAACGATGATTTATTAGCACATTCCATAAGCCATTCGGCAGAAACTGCTGGCAAATTCCATTTGACAGCCGCTGAATATTTGGAACCTTCTGGCAAAGGACAAATCAAATGAGTGTTTGCTAATGTTTTTTTCACCAAATTTGTTCTCCTTGCAAATGTGTCTTGATGTCTGTAATAAATATTTTACTTGTAAAGATTAAATAAATAAAAAAAAGTTAAGTAATTATTTCAGACTAATGAAAAAACAAAAAAAGTGGAATAATTAAAATGACAATGAAAATTACAATGCTCCTAAACTTTCAGCCAACTGTTGAAGAAATTGTCTCTCTTGTCCGGAATAAGTGCTTATTGCTATAACACAATCTTGCAAGGGTTTCACGTCTTCTTTTATAACAATTGGACGATGATAATATAGCAATGGAACCAATTCATCTCTGTCGACACAGTCATCCTGGAAAATTACAATTTTTTAAAACACATTAAATTAAAAAAAAAAAAACAACATCTACGCATCTAGATAAAAATAATCAAAATTTCGAAAGTATCAATAAATTTAAATATTAGAGAGAAATAACCAAGACAAAAAGAAATTTAATTAAATTCAAATAAAAAAATTTATAATTTTAATGAATAAAAAAAACAAAATGCAAATATTAATAATTTTCTTTTTTTATTAATTTATAAAAAAAAGAAGAAATACTCACAATGAACATGTCGGTGACAATTTCGTTGACGGAACCACGAAAAATACCGCCACAAAATGGAACAACACCAAAATCAGGTATTCCAGGATAAGATCGAGAAACAATTTCACCGCCCATTGCACGAATACGCATTTCCAAATGATGATATTCCTCGCGTTGAAAACCAGACAAGATAAAATTTTGCCCTGAAAAATTTTAATGGTTTTTTAAATATGAAAAAAAAAATAAAAAATTATTCTTGTTTATTAATAATTATTATTACGAGATATTTCATAAATACCTTCAAATACTTTTCCAACAATTGTGTCAGTTTGACTCAATGGAACTGACGATTCACTGTCTCGTGTTTTATATCTAAACGACGTCGACTGCGATGTTGTATTTATACTTTTTGTTAATTTTTCATTGGAATTTTTACTACTTATTTGAAATATCTCAGCCGTTGATTTTGTAGGAGCTTAAATAATTAAAATGACAAAATAATAATAAATGTAACTAAAAAAAAATTAAAATGTAAAAATTTTACCTGTAGGTCTTCTAGAATATTCCGCAATTAAATCTGGTTCATCAAAAACTTCAGCTTCTTTTAAAGTATTGTCGTTGAATAATGGTGGAGGCGGTTTTTGTGGTCGTTTAAGCATCTCCATATTCTTTGTTAAAAAATGTTTAATAAAATTGTCAAAATATATTGAATATATAATTTTTTTGTTAAAATATATATATTTTTTTTTACCTTTTTGCTAAGCGGCGAAGGAGGTTCAGCAACTTTTTGCAATGTATTTTCAGTTTCTATTAAGAAACATTCTTCCGACGCAGGTTGCTTTAGTTTTATACTTTCTTCCAACCATTTAAAATTTACAATGTATGGTCTAAAAATATTTACAAAAATAATAAAATATTCACAATTTGACGTTTTGAAAAGAAAAGTAAGAAAAACAAAATTAAGATTTGTAATTTCTTTTTTTTAAATAAATTAATTTAAAAGAAAACGTAAATATTATGTAAATTTACCTCAGTCCGTCCGAATAAATTGTTTTGAGATCGTTTTTAGCTTTAATTACATCTCCGACCAATACGTGAGTTATATTGTCGGTAATATCATCCAATCTTGTCGCAGAACTTACGTTTATAATTTTATTCAATTTATCTTTATATTTTGATTGAAATCCAGTTAGAAAAATCTGAAAAAAATTAGAAAAAACAAAAAAAAATAATTAGTAAATGAATTTATTTAATTAGAAATTGAATAATTAAATCTTCTGACGAATTTTTTATAATTTTATATGGAATTTTATGGAAAATAATACTTACGTTACAACCATCGAGAAATGGTCCTAATTTTTTAACAGACACAAGAGTGATGCCATCGAGAAAAATCATGTACGATTCCTTATTTGTAAGAGTCTGATTTGGTAAAGTACTCGATGGTGTGCAAGTACTGTTTATTTTATTCATTGTACTTTGTGCCAATGATTCGTCAACAATTTGATTATCAAATGGAATTATACTTCCACAAGTGAAATCGAGTGTCGCGTTTGCTATTGTTAAAAAAAAAAAAAAAAAATTGGAACATTAAAAAAGAAAAAAGCAAAACAAAACTAGAAAAGTACGAATTTTAAAAAAAAAATAAAAACAAAAATTGTGATCAATTTTCACGTTTATAAAACGAAGAAAACAATTATTTTAATTCATTATAATCGATAAATTGAAGAAAAAAAATAGGATTTTTATTTTTGAAACTCACTTCTTTCTGGAGTGGAACATGCATTTGATGATGTCACCAAATAATCTTCAAAAGCAAGTGCATGACCGGCTTTAATACTATCAGTAATCCATGGATATCGTAAACATGCAATGTCCTTTTGCAAAGCAAATTGCAGCTTTTTTGTCATAGTACCTCTTTCTGAAGTTATGAGAATATTTGTTTGCGAGCCATCTAAATCTCCCGTGTACTCCTAACAGGTGGGTAAAAAAAAAAATTAAAATTAAATATTTAACTACAAAAAAAAATGTTAAAATTTTTTTTTTTAAATAAAAAAAGGGTGAAACAAAATATTAAAGTTTTCTATTTATATACTTACACCACCATTTGCATTCACAAGAGTCATAATTTCTTTCTTTTGATGCTTTTGTAAATCTGTCGAAGTAATAAATGTATTCAAAAAAACGGGACATTTATATCTGTCGAATTTTGAATCTGTTGCCTTGATAAATTTCGTCATATTCTCTTTCCAAATTGCACTAATCCAATCGATTGTCATGATTTTAATTGACTCTTTTTTTACCGCAGTCTAAAATTCGAATATTATTTTTTTATTCTCAATTACATGAAAAAGTGAAAATTTTACTAATGGAAAACAAATTAATTTTATTTATAAAAAAAAAAATAATAATAATAATAAAAGAGATATTTACCTCGTATTTTTGAGACATAATTCGATCGGTTACTAAATACATTACACTGCCTACTAATTGACGTGAATAAATTCCGCCCATAAATTCGACTTTTTCTTGAATCCAAAGCTGAACGACACGGTAAATTTAATTAATTAATAAAATCGAAACCTAATTTCTTTTTACATTAATAAAAAGAAATTATCATTACTATCAATCAATACTATACAAACAAAAAAATAGAAAATATCAAAAAGAAAAAAAAATGAAAGAAAAACAAATTTAAAAAAAATAAAAATATTCACCTTTTTCTCTACTGGAAATCCAGAGGCGCAAACAACGACATCTCTCATTGCAGTAACAAAAACAGGATTTGAACCTTCAGGAATTGGCTCGTTATTCATTAGGCAACAAAGTAAGCATCGAGGCCCAACAATTCTGCTAAAAAATTTGTTTTTAAAAAGGAAAAAAAATACATTAGACCTATTCTAAGAAAAAAAAAATGACAAAAAATATTTTACAAAAAAGCAAAAAAAAAGAAAATTCTCATCGAAAAGAGAATTTGAATATTTACGAGCATTTTGAAGATCTCAGTGTTTCAAAAAGTTTTCCTGAAAATTCCTCCATTATAAAAACATCCACTTTTTGTGGTTCCATATTTTGGCATTCCTTTTCAGTGATCCATATTGGATTTATATCAAATTCTTCACATTTCTAAAATATTATTTAAATTTATTATACAAGAAATTGAAAATAAATTCTAATTAATTTAATTAAGAAGAAAAAATTTTAAATATAAAAAAAATTAAAATAATAAAGAATTTTTTTAAATTTATTTTAAGAAATTTAAATGAATTGTATTGTTTGATTTATTTAAGTAATTTTACTTTTATTAAAATTTTATTAAAATTACAAAAATCAAAATATTTCGAAAAAATTTCTTTTTAAATTATTTTAAGTAGTTCATAATTTTTATATCAGTTCCATAAAAAAAAAGTTTTAGTAAATTCAAACATTTTAAGGTATATTAAAAAATTATTGATTTTTATTGAAATCAAAAACTTTTTAAATGCATGAATTATATAAATTAGGCTTTAAATTAAGGTAAAAAATTTTATTATTTTACGCGTAAAAAATATTAACTTTTTTTTAAATAAGGGTGTCTAACAACTGCTAGGAAAATAATTCCTTGACCTAAATTATTACACTAAAAAAAAATTTTATTTTGATCAAATAAAATTTATTTTGATACAATTAAATCCATTTACCTGTCTATTATCCACTAATTTCATATGTATTTGAACCAAATAAATAATGTTTTGTAAAAAATAAAATATTTAAGTGAAATAAATAAACTAATTGGCGACATATAAATATTCTCAACATTTAATTTAAAAGAATTTTTACGGCGTCAAATCTTAAATTATCAAATTTTTATTTAGTAAAATTATATAAAGCAGATTTTCTTGTACATCGAATTTCAAATTAATAAAATTTCAATTTAACGAAATTTATGTCAAGAAAAATTGCATAAAGAAAAATTTTTTTTAACAGAATTGTTATTTTAGTAAATTTTGATTTATCAAAATATTTATTTAACAAAATTGTCATTGAATAAATCCACAATTAACAGAATTTCTATTTAACAAAATTTTTAATTAACAAAGTTTTTATTAAAAAAAAATTTAATTCCAACTAATTCTTATTTAACAGAATTCTCATTTCAGAAAAATTCTATTTAGTTCTTTTTTTTTTTTTTGTCAATTTTTATAGACATAAATTTCGTTAAATTGAAATTATATTAATTTAAAATTTTTAAAAAGTATTTAAAAAAATGCTTTATAAGAGTTCTACTAAATAGAAATTCTTTTCAATCGAATTTTAGTTAAATTTAAATTTTGCATAATATAAAATTCACTTTATACAATTTTGCTAAATAGAAATTCGATAATTTAATATTCGACGCAGTAAAAATTTTTATAAGTTAAATGTGGGGTATTAGCATTAAATCATAAATTATTCGTATTAATGAATAATTTACTTTATTTGAAGTTGAATCGATAAAATAAAATTGTATCAAATAATTTTTATTTAATATTAAAAAACCAAATATTTCACTGAAAAAAAAATTAATTAATTGTTATCCAAGTTTAAAAAATCATTTATTAGATTCAATAAATAGTAGTAAATAGTTATTTACTTAATGAATATAAGATATATCACATGCTTAGTAATTGAGTGTGAAGGACAACTTTTTAATTTGCATTTGCTTTGGGAAAAAAGTAAAAAAAAATTTTTGAAACTAATAGTTACTTTAATTTATTTATAAAAAAAAATTCCAGAAAATTAAAGAAATTCCCTGACTTTTCCGTCTTCCCTGATTGTGTTAAACACCCTGTAAATAGTTGATCATAAATATTAGGAACTTCACGTAAATAAAATTTGAATTACGAAATAATTTAATAAAAAAATAAAATTATAATTAATTGTAAATAAAACTTACATTATATGCGAGCCACATGTCATCGGAACATTCTTTATCGCTATCATATTTACTTGGGATAACAAAATAAACGTTTAATCCCTCACCACCCAATGTACTCTCCTGAGTAGCCATGATTTTAATTTTATGTTTATTATATCTACAAATGTAATAAAAATTTGTTTTTTTTAAGAAACGAAAAATCATTTCAATTTTAAAAAATTGAAAACTTGTGTATAAATATAAATAATTATATTTAATATAAACATTTATCAACTAATTTCAAAAATTAAATAATTAAGTACTGTCATAAACTTTCGAAACACTTTAAAAAAAAAATACATTTTTTTATGCAAATTGTAATTTTTTTGATTAAAACAATTTTTTGCACCTTTTTTTAAACATTGATTTTCAAATGAAAAATTTGTATAGGAAAATAATTTTAGTATTTTTCACATAAAGAATGATTCCTTTTTTTAAAAAATCATTTGCAATTATATTAATTTCTCATAAAATTTAGTTATTCCATAAGATTTATGAAACTTTTGATAAAAAAAATAATTAACGAATTACAGTTATTAATGTAGGTAACATAAAAGTTAAGTATTCATTTTATCTTTTACAGAAAATATAATATAATAATAATAATATAATAATAATGTAAAACGTATTTAGAAGCTAAAAATTAAAAATTCGTATAATATTCAAATTGACAGTTGACATAACCTTCAATTGAAAAAAAAAGTTAGCAAAATTCCCTCAACAAAGTCTAGATATTAAATGATATCACTAAAAGAATTTATTTTATTTTATGTGTAATAAAAACTTACGTTCTTTCTTATTTTTCTTAATATAAAATATAAACTCCTATAAAATGTATATAAAAAGACTTAAAAATATGAAAGGTTATCCTGTGGCCTAAAGTTGACAGGTACACATTTCCTCAATGAGATCAAAAGCTTACATATTCACGAATGGTTTAAAATTGAATTTTATAGAATTTCGCAGTTTCAGTATTGTTGCATTTAATAACTAAATAGAAAAATAAAAAAGTACAACACAAAATGATAATAAAACTTTCCCGCCAGTTATGATTTTCGTATACACTTTAATGACCATAGAATATATTCAGAATATAGATTTCCTACTACTACTACTATATGAAGTACGTTATTTACCTATCATTGCACACAGTTTCCGTTTGTTTCTAAACTAGGATTGGATGAAAATTTTTGCCTGCGCGTGGCATAACCTTGGTATAGTTGGATCATGCCCCAAGCTACAGAAAAATTCAATTTTCAGCCCTGTTCGGATATCGTCTGCTCCACCATCGAATAATTTAAAAGTTTTGACAGTTTAATTTTTAAAAGATGGATAAAATTTCGAAAATTCGAGAAAAACATCAGACTTCTGATGTGTCTGAGTTAACAGAAAAAATTATTGAAAATTTAAAACTAATGAAGAACGAGGACGATAAAAAGAAGCAAATTATTGAAGGTAAAAATTAATTGTAAATTCTCTTTTGTTATACCTATATAATATATTTATATAGACGTATTAAATCGCGAATCCCTATTAGAAACATTCTGTAATAATTTATGTTTATTTATTGTTGTTTTTACAGAACAGGAACTTGAGCTTCGAACAGTTTCATCGAAACTTACTTCACTTCTTAATGAAATGGATAAGTCAAATAGTGTTTTAGATGATAAAATTGATGAATTGAAAAAGTATAAGGAAGAAATTGTAAGTAAATACATAAAAATTTTGTATTTAATAAGTATTTTTCTTTTTTTGTTCGTTAAGAATTTTTCCTGAAATTTTTGCATATGTTTTCTTTTTTTAAATTAACGTTTATATATTTTTTTATTTATCGAAATAAATTTTGTTAAAGGATGTAAATTTTTTTTCTATCATTATTTAACATTTAAAATTATTATATATATTATTAAAATTTAAAAAAAAAATATTTTTGTCCATTTTGGAAATTTTTTTTTTGTAAAAATTTGACATTTTTAAAAATCAATAAGATTGATTGTTTAAAATCATTAAAAAAAAAAATTTATAAAAAATTTGTCGATGAAAAATAATGAAAATTGTGGAATAAGTTGAATTTTTAAAGAATCACCAGTAAAATTTAAACTAGTAAAAAAAAAATTTTCTGAACCTTAAATCACATTTCACTATGAAAAATAAAAAAAAGTAATTTTATTTTACAAATTTTTTTTATTTTCCAAAATTTCCATTTTTTGAAAAAATTTAAATTTTTCAAAATCCATACGCTCGATTATTTAAAATCATGAAAAAAAGCCTATAAAAAAAAATAGAAATAAAAAATAAAAATTGTGAGAGAAATTCAAATTTTTAGTTTTATTTAAAAAAAAAAATATTAACAAATTAATTTGTTTTTTAATTTTTCATATTATATTATAATTTTAAATACACTCAATACCTCAATACTCCCCTCAAATACTATTTTTCTTATTATAATTATAAATGTTAATTGTATTTGCTCAAAAAGATTTTATTTCCTTTGTATTTTTTTTTTGTTTTTCAATTTTTGTATTTGTTTATAAATTTGTTATAAATTAAACACTTATAGGAACTTCTAGATTCAGAATGTAAGCAAATCGAAGCAGAATCATTGAAATTGCAATTAAAAAGAGATTCATTAATTAATAAGAAGCCTAATCCCAAGGACCAAGCTACACTAGAGCAAGGAGTGTAAGTTTCTTTTTTTATTTACACAATTAAATCGAGTATGTTTATTTAATTGATAATAGTAAACACAAATAAACTAAAAATAAACATTCATTACAGAAACAAATTCCATCTGTTGAAACAACTTTCTGGAATTCGTTGGAATTTCGAAACATTGGAAGAAAATACAAGTGGCTGTATCCTTTTTCAAAATATAATTTTTTATTTCAAAAAAAAAGAAGAAATTTTTTTAACTTATTTCATTAAAATTAAATTTATTTAGAAAAAAATAAATATTTCTTTATAAACGAATTCTAAGAAAATAAAAATCAAGAAAATTTAACAGCAAATATTAATAAAATAAAGAATTTTTTATCACAAAAATTATTATAAAAACAGTTTCCTTAACTGTATATATGCAGATATACATAATAAGGATAAAAATTACATTCATGCTTTTGATTTTGATTCAAAAATACAGGATGAAAAATTAAGCAATGCATTATGGGAGGAAATTGAAAAATCAACAAATCCTCCAACATCAGAGACAAAAGGAAATAATGATAAATTAGAAAAAAAATAAAGAATCATTGTCTAATTAATAATATTATTTTATTAAAATAAAAATTCTTTTTCTATTTTTATATATAAATAAATGTATATAATGTATAATATATTGCGATTCTCTTTTTTAATTTAATACAAGTGTTGTCACTAATTCTTTCTTTTTTTTATCATCAAGATTATTAATACTTATCTTTTTTTTTTTTTTTTTTTTTTTTTTTAGACAAATCCTTTTAAGTTTTGCGTTTTTTCAATAACATAATAAGATAACAAAATACAAGATAAACTGTTAATAAGCTTAGAAGAATTATACCGACCGTGGTTGCGACAAAAAAGACCGAACATGACATTACCGTGGCACCAATAATAAAAATTGTCACTGAAAACAAATATATTTATTTTTTATTATTATTTATCTATCATTATCTATTTTATATTTTATTACTATTTTTTTATCAACATTTTTTTTTTTTGTCAGGATTTGGAAAGTTGAACAAATTTACAGAAAAAGTCAATTATATACTTTTTGTATGCGTAAAAAGTTTTAAAAAATATTTTGATATTTTGGTACTTTTTTTTCACTTTTCTCATGATTCGATTAATTTGTGAATGTAATATTGAAAAAATAATTTTTTACAATGTAATAACATTGATTGAATGTTGAAAGAAAATTTATTAGTTTATAAAAATTTTTTGTTAATATTCCTGAATTTCAATTTAATTAAATTTTATTCGATTCAAATTTTAAACAATCCAATTTTCAATACAATATAAATTTTAATTTAAATATCAAGTGATTCAACTTTCAATCAATTCTAATTTTTATTGATCAAAACAAAATTTATCAATTAAAATTTTAATCAAATGCAAATTGAATCGATCGAAACTTAAAGTTTTAGAAATTTCAATCTATATCTAAAGATTAATCAAATTTAATTTTAAATTAACGAAATTTTGATTTTAATTTATCAAAATTTTATTAAGTTTCAATTTATGTAAAATTTAATTTATTCAAATTTTAATATAAAATTGAAAAATTTATCCTTATAGCAACCCTGTTTTATGAAAATAAAAGGCCATTATATTTCACCTAAAGTCGTTGCGGCCTAAGTTTAAAAAAATCTTATAATTCGTAATAATTTAAATATTAAGTGAAATATAATCGATTGACCCTAAAATTAATTATTATTTGTCTTACCTTCAAGTATTATGAAACCTGTAACGACAAATGCAACACTGGCAATAATAAATAGAACAAAAGTAATTATGGGAAATGCAATTCCGCCCAATAAGACAGCTAACGAACCCCATGCAAGAAATGGATTAGTTTTGAAAAATTCAACTACTTTTTCAATGTACTCTTGAAATTCACGATCTTCGAGAATTTCATTATATCGCTGTTTAATTCCTGTACCTGAAATTGAAAAAAAAAAATAGAAATCAATTTGATTATTCACGATTGAGAAAAAAAAATGTTTTCATGCAAATTATTATTATTATTTTTACCTCCTTGAAGTTGGCTTCGACGCTAAGCGCCGAAAATTGTTTTTCGCAGAATCAAAAATATCAAAACATTTTTTAAAAAGGTTTTGGGTCCACACAATGCCTTGAGATGTATTTTTCAAGGTATTCTTTGGATTGAAAAATTAAAAAAAAATAATTTAAAATTTTTGATTCTGCGAAAAATAATTTTCGGCGCTGAGCGTCGAAGCCAACTTCAAGGAGGTTTATTTTTGATCTAAAAAATTTTTTTTAACATTTTTTGATCAATTGGGTAAATGCACTAATTGCGGCGCGATTCGAGTGAAAACACATTTGAAATAGAAAATTCGACATTTCTATTGTACCAATTACGGCGCGTTCATAAAAAATAACTATTATTACTATTATATTACCCAGATAGCACGTAAGCTTGCCGCGCAATATTGCCAACCTTGCATGGCAAGTTTGCCGCAAGCTTCAAATTTCCCACCTAACCCAAGCTTGCATGATAAGCTTGCCGAAATATTGCAGTGTAAGGTTACTGCAAGATTGCACAGTAAGATTATCGCAAGATTGCATGGTAAGCTTACCGAAAGATTGCAGTGTAAGGTTACTGCAAGATTTCATGGTAAGCTTACCGAAAGATAGATTGCAGTGTAAGGTTACTGCAAGATTGCATGGTAAGCTTACCGAAAGATTGCAGTGTAAGGTTGTTGCAAGATTGCACAGTAAGATTATCGCAAGATTGCTCAGTAAGCTTGCACGATAAGCTTGTCGCCAGGTTGGTGCAAGGTTGCCAAATAACCTTGCCCAATCAGCAGAGAAGTTTGCATTGAAAATGTGAATTATGCGCACTTGCAATCATAAGCACTTACGGCTGCGCAGTAAATTTTTTTGACCTCCCAGGAACTGGTGCTCAATGTATGTATACAAAAATAAATTTCCTTCCCCCCAAAAATTTTTTGTTATATTCCGCAAGCTTGCGCCAAGCTTGCCATAAGATTACCGAGCAAACTTGCATGGCAAGCTTGCTGCAAGTTTGCTGCAACCTTTTGTGTTGATTGGCAAGGTTATTTGGCAACCTTGCGGCAAGCTTAGGATGCAAGCTTACAAAGCAATCTTGCGATAATCTTACTGTGCAATCTTGCAATAACCTTACACTGCAATATTTCGGCAAGCTTACCATGCAAGTTTGGGTTAGGTGGGACATTTGAAGCTTGCTGCAAGCTTGTGGCAAACTAGCCATGTAAGGTTGGCAAATATTGCGCGGCAAGCTTGCCGCAAAGTTGCTGCAAGCTTACGTGCTATCTGGGTAAATATAACTGTTGCCAAATGATTAAAAAAAATTATTTCAATCTTTTTTTTTTGATACAATTACTTCTAAAGATGCACATTTAAACAATTATTAATTTTTAATTAAATTTGAGATCAAATTTTTTTCTCCGCCGCAATTGTAACATTTTTAAGATTTCCATTAGCTTCATTTTCGGCGGGCATAGTATCTTCAAAATACACGTAATTTTGGTCACTGCAATTGATACAAACGCGCCGCTTTGGAAAATTACGGTATTAGTTTTAATTTCTCATATTTGTTTAAATAATCGATTTTTATAAAGTTAAACATTTTTTTTATATCTTAATAATATAAGCTTTTAGTTTAATAAGTCTTTAATTGACTTTATAAAATAGAAATGTTGAATTTTCTATTTCAAAGGTGTTTTGACTCGAATCGCGCCGCAAATTGGTGCATTTATCCTATTTAGATATTGAAAAAAAATTGGACTTTATAAAAATCGATTATTGAAACAAATATGAGAAATTAAAATTAATATCGTAATTTTCTAAAGCGGCGTGTTTGTATCGGTTTCGGTGACCAAAATTACGTGTATATTTTGAAGATACTTTGCCCGCACCGAAATTGAAGCCATTCTTAAAAATGTTTCAATTGCGGCGCATAAAAAAAATATTTGATCTCAAATAATTAAATTAATAATTGTTTAAATGTGCATCTTTATAAGTAATTGTATCGAAAAGAAATTGAAATAATTTTTTTTTAATCATTTTGCAACAGTTATATTAAATATAATAGTAATAATAGTTATTTTTTATGGACGCGTCGTAATTGGTACACTTACTCTAATTATTCTTTAAAAAAAAATTTGGTTTTTTTTTGTGAGTGAAAAATATTTTACTTTTTCAATCTTTGATCATAAACGTTGTGAACTTCACCAAGAGTTTTTAATATTCAATCATTTTGTAAAAAAAAATTTCTAAAAATCTCTCAGAAAAATTTATCAATAAATAAATAATTATAAAAATATAAATTAATATATAATACAATTTTCTAATACATAATTATAATTTTCTAATATTGTTAACAATATAAACATTAACCTAAAAATAATAAAGGTTATGGATAATTTTTTTTTTTTATATAGAAATATATTTCTTACATAATTTTCCGATTCTTCCTTTGGTATGCATTTTTTGTTCATTCACTTTTGTATTATCTTGTTTGGGAAACGTAAATTGTTTCTCCTGTAAATATTGAATTTATTTGTTATTTCATAAAACAGTAAAAATTTTCATAAATTAAAAATCTAATATATGTATATATATACCAAAACTTCAATTGAATCCATTGTTAATTAAAAGAAAAGAAAAAATGTAACTCTATGATACATATTTATTTTTGTCTGTCACTTTTTTTTCCTCCTTCTAATTTCAATATATATTGTAATCATTCGACTCGCTTGACTTCACATTAAAATTGCGTATGCATACATTTTTGTTTACATAGATATATAAACGCAGGTTTCTTTTTATTTTCAGACGCAATTTCCAAAAAATGATGAGCAAAATCAATGTTTTCCATTGTAACTGATTTATGATTGTCTAAATATTATCCAATGAAAATAAGTTTCGCCTCAGTTATGTCCAATTTAAAATAAAGCGCGGGAAAAAATTTAAAAAATTCTTTAAAAAAAAATTTAAATAAAAAATTAATAGGTAGGTAGTACAAAATTTCAAATTTTTATAAGACTTGAAAAACAAGTTATCGAAAAATTTCGAAATGTGTCTCTTTTTTAAATTTTGTTATTACAATTAAAACTCCGTTATATTTATTCATAATAATATATTCTAATAGATTTTTTATGAAAAAAATATGTCATTAGCATATATATATATATACATTTTAGTTGTCGGTGACGCACACTTTCAGAATTTCTGTATTTTCCAGAACATTCTGAATAATTACTTATTTGTCTCACTTTACCCTAAAATTAAATTCACATTATGCTATTATGTTCTCTGATAACAAATCCTATTTATTTTCTTTATAAATTTTATTTTTTTACTACTTATAATATATTTAAATATTTTATCATTATAGTTAAAATTTTTCATTTTAATGAATTCTATTATATAATATTATATTTTTTTTGTGATTTTTCATCTTTTGAATTAGCATTTTTGACAAAATTTATTTTAAAAAGAATTTTACTGTGAAAATTTTTAGGTACTTAACTTTTATTTAATATTTATTGATAAATAAATCCTATACAGTCATTAGACCAGTTACAGGATTATCGTAGTACTAATTTATTACAATAGTATTATAATATAAAGATATAACAGATAAAGAAAAATGGTATTTGTAAATTATATAATTTACATAATACATATATATCTATATATAATAATTATACATACCTATTTTGAGTTTACGTTTGGCCAATTTCTAGAATTTAAAACTCTTATTAATATTTTATTATTTATTTTTTTAAATGTTATTTATGATTTTTATTAAGGGCATCCGGGAGAAAATAATGGTTTTGTAGATTTGTTCTCATTTGAAAAAGATAGAATATTTTAGGTTGTAATTTTTTGGAAATAATAGAGGAAGGTACTTCTCGGAATTTTGCATAATCTTGATAAATAATTATTGAAAAAAATATTTAAACATTGGCAAAAAGGGGTTTCGTAAATTTCTTCTCATCTTTAAAGGATAAAGTATTTCGAGTTGGCATTTGGAGGAATAATAGAGGAAGGGTTACTGAGTTCATCACACTTCTCCATTTTTGCAATAATATTGTGAGGAAATTATTTTATTAATAAAGATTTAAAGTGAAGTAATTTGGGGTAAGTTAATTCTCGCAAGGGAAAACACTTTTAGGTTAGGAATTTTTCCCGGATGGCCTTAATAATAATTTTTATTATTTTTAATTTTAAAAACAAAATTTATCTAATTTTTTAAATTTTCCTGCCAAAATTTGACCTACATTTAAGGTTATGTTCCTTTTTGGTTATTGTCCTCCAAATTTTGGCCTAAATTTTGAGGTTATGTTTGTTTCTTGGTCGTTTCCTAACAAAATAACATAACCTCAAAATTTAGGTTATTTTTGGCTGAAAATCCACCATCCCTTAACGAAATGGAGGGGAGGGGGCTTGCGGCAATATTCAGAGTCTTGAAACTAACATAACCTATAAATTCAGGTCATTTTTTGCGGGAAATTTACCCCCACCCTTCAACGAAGGGGTTGAATTGTAGCTATATTTAGAGCCTTGAAACGAACATAACCTCTAAATGTAGGTCATTTTCGTCATTTTTGGCGGGGGTGGTGGAAGGGGTAGAAGGGGGGAGGAGGGTGAAGACTTACGGCTATATTCACAGTCTTGAAACGAACATAACCTCTAAATGCAGGTAATTTTTGGCGGGATTGGAGGGAGGGGGAGGACTTGCGGCTATATTCACAGTCTTGAAACGAACATAACCTCTAAATTGAGGTAATTTTTGGCGTGATTGGAGGGAGGGGGAGGACTTGAGGCTATATTCAGAATCTTGAAACAACGGCGGCGTTGGCGGCGATATCTTTTTGTAATATATAGGTATATAGATAGACATATTTGTCAGAATTTTGTATTTTAAATAGGTACAAAAATAAATGAGAAAAGAATAGCAAAAAAAATTTCCATCTGATTACAGTTATAGTCTAGAACCCACATATGAGCCGCCGGAAAGTAAAACCACCCATTTGGTTTAGATTCATTATAGGGTCTTATAAACATTTTTGTAAAATAGTTTTACATTTCGTTTAACCGTTTAGAAAATATTATTATTTAATAATAAAAAATAATAATATTATAAATAATATTTTCTAAACGATTAAACGAAATGTATAAAACTATTTTACACAAATATTTATAAGACCCTAAAATGAACATTTTCTTCACTGAAAGTTTCTGTTTACTGAAAATTTTTCAGATAAACGATGAAGCCCTTGAAAATAGTAAAAATTAATTTTTACAATGTAAAAATTTTCAAAAAAAAAAATATTTACTTTTATCAAATGTTTGTTGTCTTAAGAATAGTTTAAACAATAACTCCTGTAAGTTTCATCAGAAACATTTCATAACTTTCTGTTATAAAACGATCGTTGAAGTAAAAAATGTTATTAAATTTTATAAATTAATTGATTAATTAAATTTAATTAATTTTATTAATTTTCATTAAAAATTCAGTTTTTTTGCATTTTTTTCGAAAATGGTAAATGATATCGATTTTTTTCATATGAAAATTTCAATATTTTTCAAATGTTGCATTATTATATGAAAATTGAGAAAATTAACTAACGCTCTCTGTTTCACCAATTTAACCATACCTACCCTAACTCCTGAATTTATTCGTTCAAGAATATAGGATTTTAATTACCTATTTTTTTCTGAAAATGACCACTTTTTAAATCCCCACTCTTCTATTTTTGTTAAACTTCTACTTTCTGAAAACCATCCTTCTTATTGTAACATGATTTAGTATTGAAAAGAACTCCAAATAAAATTGTTACTGTCGTTATAAGAGCTTTCGAACCAAAACTTTTCCATGTAAAAGCTCAATTTAAAATATTTACAAACTAATGTATTTTTATAATTGAACTTGTGAGGTGCTATTAATTTAATTGCCTTTTATTATTCTATTAATCGAAATGCATTCAGGTAATAAATAAACTAAATTTTTACAATTTAAAAATTAAAAAATATTTTCACTCTTATTTTAAATTAATATAAGAATGTAACGAATATTAAAGTGTGGAGTATGAAAAGTTTGAAAATGTGAAAGTAAGAAAATATGTTTAATAAGTTTTGATTAGTACATATTATTTGGAGACATTTTGAATAAACCACCCACATAGCACGACTTCTTGCTGTGAGGTTACTGTAAGGATATCTGTAGGGTTTGTAAGGTTACTGTGTAAGCCTGCAGTAAACTTGAGGTCATCTTAAAACTTCCGCCTTACAGTAAGCTTACACAGTAAAGCTAAGGTAAGCTTACACAGTAAGGTCATGGTAAGTTTACATGGTAAGGTTGTGGTAAGCTTAGACGGTAAGGTAGTTGTAAGCTTCCTTTAAGGTTACTGTAAGGTTGATGTAAGCTTACTGTAAACATAGAATGTTGTTAATAAATAAAATTTATTAATATTTATGCGCAGTAGTTTTCTATGGCACATACGGCTGCGCAGTAACTTTTATTTGACAAACCCTATTGGGGTTCATAAAGTACTTTACCAAATATATCATTTTTTATACAAAAAAATTTATAATATAATATATATTATAATATAATTATTTTTAATATATTTTCATATTACTTTATATTAACAGTAACCTTACATCAACCTTACAGTAACCTTAAAGGAAGCTTACAACTACCTTACCGTCTAAGCTTACCACAACCTTACCATGTAAACTTACCATGACCTTACTGTGTAAGCTTACCTTAGCTTTACTGTGTAAGCTTACTGTAAGGCGGAAGTTTTAAGATGACCTCAAGTTTACTGCAGGCTTACACAGTAACCTTACAAACCCTACAGATATCCTTACAGTAACCTCACACCAAGAAGTCGTGCTATGTGGGCATTGAATTTCGGAGCTGAATTTTAATTTTGAAAACAGATTGATTCGGATTACCTAATTCGGAATGAAATTTCAGGATAAAAATTCAGTTTGGATTTATTTGAAATGAAATTTCTAAAGGTATTAAAACTTAGCTTTGGAGTGAAACAGATTGATTCGTAGTGATCCGAAAAGAATTTTTTTTTATTGAATTACACAGATTTAACTAAACTCGGAAACAAATTTCGAAATGCCTCGGAATAATATATACTTACTTATCAAAACTGATTGAAGTTCAATAATCCGAAACTTTCGACAGAGAATTTTATAAATTTGAAAAAATCTCTTTTTAAAAACAAAATAAAAGATAAACTAAAATTATTATAAAATTAGTTAAACTATTATTACTTGCATAACTTTAAACTTTTAAAACATTTTTTATTAAATATGCTTTAAAGGAAGGAAAATGCCTAAGGAGAATAGATATCATGTGCCCTTAGGAAAAGATAATTTTAAAAGCATTAAAACTAAATTAAAATTTATCGACTTTTTCTTGCATGTATTTGTATTTAAACTTCTTAAAAAATTATTCTTAATGTAACATTTATTACTTTTCTTAATAGGATTTATGGTATCCTGAGCAATTAAAAAAAATCCAAATTGAGATTTGATATTCGACCTGTCTATATATATATATAAAGTGCAAGTGTAAAAAACGTAAGTCTTTATAAATATAAACATAAAAGTATAATTTAAAAATTGTATTGTAAACGTTTGTGCGGTTATTCTTAATTTATTCGAATGATTAAAATATTTTAAGAAGAATATAAACTTTTTTTAAAGTTTATGTTTACAATGTGTAATGTATAAACAATGAACGTAAATTTTTTCGCACTTGTCATTTGAATAAAAAATGTTAATTTTCTTTATGAAAATGGTAAATTGATATTATATGAAACTGGGTAACTCTATACGTTATTTGGCTTCAAGAATACTAATAATAATAAGTATAATTATAATAAAATAAAAAATAAGGTAAAAGCACCAGTACCTGGACAAAGCAAAACTTGGAACCAGTAGATGGGCAGTAGCAAAAAGAAATTAAAATAGCCCTCAAATTCAGTAAAAAAAATTTGAGATACTCTTTAGATAATTAGCTTTTAGGCAAAATAAAATTTATTAATTGTAGGAGTAAAAAAAATATAAAAAACAATTTCTCTAAAATCGCTGTCCAATTATGTCTGAATTGACTGTCCAAGTTAACCTACCACTTTATATGTTGTACCCCCAATAGTTGGACAAAGATTTAATTCAATTAACTCAATCAGTTTAATTAATTTAATTAATATAATTATAGTTTAATTATATTTTAGTTAAATTATTTAATTTATTAAATAATCAAAATAACTGAATAAATAAATTATTATTTAATTTACATATTTAATGGTCAACTTCTGGGTCTTATCATGTCCAACTACTACGGCTTTCGAAATACCATGTCCAACTTCTGCTGCAAATGTGCAATTTCATTATTTCATGATTTTAATTTAATTAAAACATCTAATGTTATTAATTTTGTCTAATTAGTATTTTTTAAAAGTAAATAAAACGAAAATACAAACATTTTATCAATTATATTGAATTATCTTAGTATAAAACACAAATAAATTTGAGACCCATTCAATATAGCGTCCAGGTACTGGTGCTTTTAGGTCTGAGCAGAATAGAAACGTAATCGTAAACGCAACCGCGGAAGAATAAGTTAGAGAAGGACAAACCATCTATCTATCCTTCTCTAACTCATTCTTCCGGTTGCGTTTACGATTACGATTCCGATTACGTTTATATTCTTCTCAGGCCTATAAGCATTATCTGAAATAAAAAATGATTTCGAGTTAAAATTTTCAAGAAATAATTTAGGAGGGTGCAAGGCATATGGCTGTTCTACTTCATTTACTATAACTTAACGCAAAAATAATAAAAATAAAGCAGTAAATAGTAAATAATGTATTTAATCATAGTTCATTCAGCGGCCACTTGCTCGAATTGGCGCTGTTTCCTGGAGCACTGAAGGCCAACGCAGAATAGAAACGTAACCGGAATCGTAATCGTAAACGCAACCGGAAGAATAAGTTAGAGAAGGACAAACAATCTATCTATCCTTCTCTAACTCATTCTTCCGGTTGCGTTTGCGATTACGATTCCGGTTACGTTTCTATTCTGCTCAGGCCTTGACACATTTACGCAACGTCTGCGTATGCGCCTCCATGTTTGTTTTCATTTTTGTTTAAAAATTAAACTTTTTAAACTTCCTTTTTTAAAAATTCAACGCAAAATTATGTTTTTCAGGAGAACAGCGATGTGCATTGTACCCAAATTTATCAATCCTAAAAATTTTAGCCCAAAATCTGTTTTTTCATTTTAGAGAATGTTTGGTTTTCGCAAAACCGTTTCCATGACAAGTTTCCATAATCGTTTTTTCCTCAGTAACGATAACATTAATATTGGCCACGAAACCCTAAGATGGAGACGCCATGCGCCTGATTCTCTCATATTTTTTATTTTTTTTTATTTATATATCAATTTACCATTTACAAAAAGAAAATGAAATTTTTTATTCAAATGACAAAGGCCAAAAAATTCCCATGGTTTGTTTACATTTCACAACTTGGACCTTTAGGTTGGTTTCCACTGCCCCCACTCGCCATTTTTTATCATTCTCGTCAACTACCGCACTCTGCTTTAGTGAAAATTTAGTAACTGGATAGTAGCTTTTAATTTTACCAATAACAGTCTAAGCAGAATAGAACCGTAATCGCAACCGAAAGAATGACTTAGAGAAGGATAGACATATTGTTTGTCCTTCTCTAACTCATTATTCCAGTTACGATCCTATTAGGTTTCTATATTCTACGTTGGCTTTTTCACGAGAGCAGGGTGCGGTAGTTAACGAGAATTATGACAAATGACGAGTGAGGACAATGGAAATCAACCGCCATTATATAAAGGATTCTACATAGGATACATGTAAGAAATTCTTAAGGCCAGGTGCAACTCGTCAAATGTAAATAAACATGAAAATGTACGTAATTATTGACAAATTTGCGACAGCCTTTTTTTAAATAGAAAATAAAAATTGTTCTTTTTCTATGTGAAAATGGAAAATTTATATATAAAACTACAGCCTGACACTGTATTTGACTAATAATATTAATAATATTAATAATTATAATAAAATGAAAATTACACTGAAACCACAATTTTCTCAAGGTTACGAAAAAATAACCATTTGAGTATATCTGACGCACGGACGAAGTAGACCGGAATGGAAGAAAGAATTGAGCCATTGGTTCTGACTTTCTGAGGCACGGACGTTGAGAACCTAGGTGGGAGAAATAGTGTGGAAAGGGGTAAAAGACCTAGTCTCTGTCCTCTGGTGGGGGTATAATTTCAGAATTTTACCCTTTCCAAGATGTGACCGTCCAATCGCTCAACTCTTTCTCCCACCTAGGTTCGCAACGTCCGTGCCTCAGATATACTTAAATGGTTTTTTTTCGAAACCTTGAAAAAATTGCTAATTCAGTGTACTTTTCATTTCATTATAATTATTAATATTATTCATATTATTAATCAAATACGGTGTCAGGCTGTAGTTTTATATATGAATTTTTCATTTTCACATAGAGAAAGAACAATTTTTATTTTCTATTTAAAAAAAGGCTGTCGCAAATTTGTCAATAATTACGTACATTTTCATGTTTGTTTACATTTGACAAGTTGCACCTGGCCTTAATAGAATTTACAATAGGGTATTGCACTTATTTCTTTAAATCAAAATTCATAATATATTGATTTTGAATATTTTCTTAAATAAAAATTTTTTTTCCAGATTAACCATGATTCAATTATTTTCCTGTATAATTTTTATGGTTGCTTTTACCATTTCAACCACTCAACAAGCGCCTGACCAATATCTTGATACAAAATTTAACAGAACAATGGGCATCTATTTTGAAAGGGTTGATCCACTGCAACACATCACTGGTATGTGGCGAGCAATGGTTTTTCTTGAAGTCGATAAATCAAAAAAATATTTGACATCCTGTGAAGAAAAATTAAAAATAGCATTAGATACATGCAAAAAGGCAAAAATGTTAGAATGCGAAAAAATATTGAATTATGAAAGACTAAGTCAAAAATATAAGCTTACAAAAAACTTACAAGAAATTTTGGACAACACAATCGAAGACCTCCGATATCATACTCAAATCCACAGTTATCATACTGCAAATAATCGTTCACCATCAATTATGAAAAGAAATAGACGCAATTTACCTTGGTTTGGAGTCGTTGGTAAAATTGCAGGACCCGCTTTTGGTGTTCTAAATTATGAAGACGGTGAACGTTATGATGAAGCCATAAAAGATTTGAATGAACATCAGAGAAATATCTCTAGACTCATGGGAGAGCAAGCACATATCATTCGTTCAGAATTATATCGGCTTCATGAGCGAGAAGAGCTGAGAGATAAAGAGCTAGACTCTATTAATCAGAATTTAAGCAAATTCACAGAAAAATTAAGTGATATAACAAGGTTTACCACAAATATGAATTTTCGCTTTAAATTGGAAGAATTTGTTCTCAAAATGGAACTTACATTTGACGAACATCAACGATCATTAAATCAGATTATAGAAATTCTTCGATCTGCACAGGATGGTAAACTTCATCCTGCCTTGCTCTCTAGAGAACAACTGTTAACAATGGCCAGAGAAGTATACGAGCAATTACCCGCAATGGAGTTTCCTACAAATCCACAACGAGTCAACATCATGGATCTTGTTCGAGTGTCTACAGTCTCCATTCGTCTCCATGGAAATAAATTGTTTGCTGCTCTAGATGTCCCACTTTTAGAAAGAGAACAATTCCAATTATATCAACTACATACATTACCTGTTAATCAAAGTACAATCAACAATTTAACGACAAGGGCATACATTGTACCAATAGATAAATTCCTTGCAACAGACGACAACAAACGAAGATACTCTTTCTGGTCTGAAAGTGATATACAAAAATGTATTCGATCAAATGGAAAACGAATGTGCCAAAGTATTCGTCCAATTTATGATTCATCAATTGTTCCCAGCTGTGAAATAGAACTCCTAAAAATAGTGAAACCAGCAAAGGATGTATTAAAAACATGCAACATCAGATTATCCCTTAATCAGCAACCTTTCTGGACAGCTTTATCTACATTGGGAGGTTGGTTATATTCCTTGATGGAATCTGAAGTAGCCTACATCACATGTAATGGTAACGCTGCTCAGGAAGCAAAACTTGAAGGAACAGGCATTCTGCAATTGTCAAAAGGATGTACTTTGAAAACCGATAGCGTGTCCTTGATGACACCAAAAATTCAAGACGACCCCCATGAGTATATATATTTACCACCATTTAATTTAAATGTGACAGATGTATTACCAAATTTTTCGGAAATTCAAGAACTAGGAATTTTCCATCAACAAATACCAATTTCCAAACATACAACCACCTGGAATAGCAAGGCATCAGATGCTACGCTTATGGATTTGGAAAATCAGTGGAAATTGTTAAGTCAACATGAAATCTCAACAAAAAGAAGCACAAATTTAAGTAAAACTGCCCTCGGAAGCTGTGGTCTACTGGCTATAATTATCATTATATTTTTACTACGAAATGTATTTTTGGAAATGTTTAGAAGCGTACGGATTTTTATAAGCAAAAAAAGAATGCATTCGAAAGCTCCCCCAACAATCATCTACGACCTCCCAAGGGTTCGACAATTTCAGCGATCTAAGAGCCTACATTGATAGTTGGGAACAGAAAGGGAGAACAACCATTTTCAGGAATAGTCGTAACGGAAAGGGATAAATAAATCACAGAAAATTATAAGGTATTAAAATAAGCTGCAACGCTTATTATTTTAATCCAATTTTGCTTATTTTAATGCCAAAATGGATTAAAATAACAAAAATTGGATTAAAATAATAAGCGTTGCAGCTTATTTTAATGCCTTTTAATTTTCTGTGATTCTATAGCAAAGTGGCATGATTATTTTCCCCATTCTAAAATCAAAATTTACAATTAGTTAATATATAAGAAATTCTTCGATATGAAAATTAAGCTCATCATAAAATCTTCTTTATAAAATTTTGCTAAATAAAAATTTGATAATTTTTAATTCTAGACATCTCGTATATGCCTTTAAATTTTCAAAATTAAAAATGGCAGGTCCAATATGGTAGACTTTTTTTAAGTCCATCAAATTCGCTTGAAACGCATATTATACTATTTTCTATTTATATTGTATATTATTATTATTATTATTATTACTATTTATATTATATTTATTTTTGTTGGTTACGAATTTGACAAAATATTGTATATTTAATGACTCTGAAAACACCTGAGTGACAAGTTTTAAGCGAATACAATTAATTTTTAAAAAAATTTTCACCATATTCGATCCACCATTTTGAATTTTGAAAACCTGACGTTGGATTTATAATCCAGGGTATAGCCACAAGTCAGGGAAAATTTGGAAAATTGAATATATATGTGTAAAAAAAGTTTTAATTTTTGTCTCTAGTAAAAAACAGTGAAATTATATAAAAAAAACACACACAGAAAAGTAAAACTATTTTTCAAACCTTATGTCCTGCATAATTTGATAAGTATTAGCATAATATTGTAATGTTTTTGTAATATATAATATTTTTAAATATAAAAATATATATTTTTAAAAAATTGTTAATTTTGTAAGAATTTTTAATAACGAGAAAAAGTATAATTACCTTTTTAAAAAATGGTGATAGTAAAAGACTTCAATATATTATACTATTAGGAGTGTTTACCTATTTCTGACAACCATTTTCTTTTTTCGTCTTTCTTTAATTAACACGATAGAAAGAGAAATAAAAACCAAAATGTCTGACAAAGTAGGTAAAAGTCCCTAGACCGCCAATCCCAATGGCTTTTGAAAATTGAAATTCAACCTAAAATCCAACGCAGAATAGCTCCCCGAAAGACGTTCGCGAACGTAAAAAATGAGTTAGAAAAGGACAGAAATATATTTGTATCCTTTTCTATCTCATGCACCTCGTTCACGATCGACTTTTGTGAAGCTCTTGTGCGTTAACCCTAACGCCAAAAAGAGGAAAAGTTGTTAGGTTAAAAATCATTTTCTAGTTTGTAGTTTGTAATTATCGCCCTATAAAAACGGCACTAAACGTGAAAATGGTAAACATGATTATAAAATACTTTTTCCATGAAACACGGACACTTTTTACAAAATCGGTCAAAACACCAAGGATCCTTATCCTTCTAAATTTCTTAAATCCGAAAGATTGTGCGAATCCATACAAATGGGATCAGAAATCACGCGAAACTGACCCACCCCTGAGCCTTCTTGTGACAACCATCTTGGTTTTTTATCTCTTTCTTTTGTATATGTTAGAGAAACACGGAATGAAAACATGGTCACCACAACAAGGCTCTCACCAGATGGCGTATCGCAGTATTTCAGATCCCAAAAACGCGATTGTAAAACGAAAAGTAGGAAAGTAAAGGTGCTTTTATACCTCCAGTATTTTGGTCAAACCAGTGATGGGTAGGTAACATACTTCACGTATATTACATAGTTTGTTACCATATGTTACATACGTATAATACTTCAAAATTTTGTTACACAATGCATTTTTCGGTAGTGAGGGGTAACATACGTATTTTACCTCTGTAACAAACCATGTAACATACGTAGAAAACCTCGAGTTTGTTACATTTACCCATCTCTGGGTCAAACAATCGGCTGAATTGAATTTTCACGGTGGAAATGGAATTTTTTGTCACAGCCAATGAAATTTAGTGATACAACCGTGAAAATTCAATCCAGCCATTTGCTTGATTAAAATACTGGAGGTATAAAATCACCTTTATATAATAACAAGTTCATTACGTCCTGCCGCCGTCAGATGGCAGAAAGCACAAAGTTATTATTATTATTAAAGATTTGTCCTTCCTAAAGAATTTCAGAGACCGTTCAATATTCTTCAACAAAATATTTTATAACTAATTTTTCCTGCAATGTTTTTAACCTACTTTTTAATTGCTGGAATTTATTATTTAGAACTCATTTTTACTGTTAGAATTCTCAATTATTCTAAATTTTGTTTGTATTGAAACGTCTTTAAATAAAAATTCGACGTTATGAATTTCAATAAAGTGCAAATTCAAGTGAGATTTCAATTATTTTGGAGTAATTAAACCATGAGCCAAAAATTTTGAACGTTCAAATGAACGACATTTTTTTTGTACAACGCCATCTTATTTTTTTCCTTTTTTTAAAAAAAAAAATAAAGTGAAATTAAAAAAAAAATGTTTAGGGGGTTCGCAACATAAAAATCACCCTATAGAATGCCTTTTATATAAAATTTTGATAAATAAAAAAGATATTAACCCTTTGCGGATAAGAAAATGAAAAATTTATAGGAATGGCTTGAAACTTGTTACTCGGGGGGTTTTTGGGTCGCTCGTTACGAATATGATGTTGGATTATCAAAATTCAAAATGGCGGATCCAATATGGCGGATGAAAAAATGAAGAATTGATCGGATTTGCTTAAAACTTGTTACTACGGTGTTTTTGATGTCGCTGTTTATGAAAATGACTTTGGATTTTTATAATTCAAAATGGAGCTTTTGTGTGTGTGTGTGTCTGTGATCAATTTGATCAATTTTAACAAAATTGTCCGCTATATTGGATCCGCCATTTTGAATTTTGAAAAGCTGACATCGGATTCGTAATCAGCGATTCTCAAAACCCCCTATAATGCACTTCAAAGATAAATTCCTGTTAAAGAAAAATGTATGCTTCAAAGGGTTAAATAATAATTGAATTATAAACTTACCTGTGATTTCTTTAAGATTCAAAAAAAAAATCGGTTCATCAAGAATTTCTTCGTATAAGATTTTAATATTTTTGATCGTAAACAATAAAAGTTAATTTTTTTTTTTCATTAAAGCGTTTCAATTTTATTTCTCACTTTTCTTTATTTTATTTCGTTATTATTTATTGACATTATGTATTAATGCTCAGGTCAAGTATAACAAGTCGAAAAATTGTTAAAATATAAGGAAATGTGCGCCAATATTTTTCTCTTATTTTTGTTTTTTTTTTTTCATTTTAGATAATTGATTATACCTATTATGAAAAATAAAAATAACAAAATAGTTCTAGATTTAAAAAAAAAAAAAAAAAAAAAAAAAAAAGAGGGAAATAACTTATTGTGGTATTGTACAAATTTTATCGTTTATAAAACGTAATCCAATTCGTATCTAATATACTGATTCTTTGGATCGTTCATAATTCGCGGATAACCAGCGACCAATGCGTCTTGTCCTCCAATATAGAGAGAATTGTAAATTTTCCAATAAACATCACGAACTTTTCGTGCTGGATGAAATAGACCCTGAAAAAAAGAAAGAAAAAAAAAAATTTTTTTTTATCGTGAAAATTCACGTTTCAATTGTTTAATAAAATTGATATCAATATTTTTTTTGTAGTTTTTATTGATTTCGCAATATGTACCAGTTGAAAAATTTGAAAAAAAAAATTATTCTTAAATTAAAAGAATAAAATAAAAATTAAATTTTTGTAAAATTTCTTACCTGAAGTGTGTATTGTAATATTTTTATTGGACCAAGTGCAACTCGCAGACCATCGACAGCGTCCATGAATGCCTGAACTAAATGTGGCGATGTTTCAAAAACATTTGGCCAAACATGATTTAATAAATGTATTAATGCATCCTCGCATCCAAAACCATAAACACCAAGAGCCATGTGTTTAATTGCAGCGCATGCTGTTTGTCTGTGTACCAAATCTCTGAAAGAAAAAAAAAAAGTATTTTTAACTTTATCAACTAAAAAAAACTTGTATAAATAAAATAATATCATTTTGTTTTTGAACAAAGTTTACATATATAAATTAAAATTTTATTAATTATGAATATTTTTTTCTTCATGTTTGTTATTATAATTTGCCATCAAATTTTCTTTGATTTTTTTTATATTATCCATAAAATTAAAGACAATTTTATTTAACAATTTTTTTTTCAAGTTTTGAGTAAAAAACAGTTTTTTCTTAAATAATAAATAAAATAATACGAAATTTTTGGGATTCCTGAAGTCGAAAAAGATAAATAAAGAACAAAAAAAAAAAAAAAAAGAATTTTATTTCTGGTATTATCCATGAGGAAGCAATAATAAGAAATGAACTCACCTGTCCATGAGTGCATCTTCAAGTAATGGACTGACTGCGTAAATATAATCTTTACCCATTTCTCCAATATATTCAAATAAAAATGACAATGACTTGAGAACGCCATTTTGAACGTTTAACTCAGGTACTCGATATTCATTCATTAATGCAGGTAAAACTGTAAATGGACTGCATGTTTCGGCAACAATGGCAATTGCCACCGTTGTACAAACACGATTTTGACGTTCTTGAACTTTTAAATTATTCAATAATGTTGCCAAAACATCATGTGGTCCAATGGCTTTTGCAATATAACCAAATGTATTGACAGTGGCACGTCTAATTGCTTTTTTATGTGCCTTCAACAATTCCAAAAGTTCGAAACAAATTCTCATCCATTCTCTTGCCGAGACATATTCAGGTCCTCGATCTGCTATCCTACCAACTAAATCAATACAATTTTCTTGTACCTGTTAAAATAAAGGAGTTAAAAAATTAAAATCATTTTTTTTTTTTTTTTAAACAAAAAATTATATTTCACACCAATTCGTTATTGACTGATTTGAAATAATTTTTTTTTTAAATTTACTAATATAAAAGAAATCTTTATATAAACCTTTTCGTGTCTGTTTTTCAAAATAGGTGTTAATCTCGGTAGTAAGTCTTTAATTGGTGGCGTCATTTTGGTCATGCCAATGACATTGACAATTGCTTTAAGTGCTCCCAAAATACTTCCTAATACTTCCGGATATTCTTCACCTAAATATTCATAGAGAACGACACCCAAGTGTCCCATTAATTTTTCCTGAAATCAATAATCATTCAACACATTATTATTATCGATTTCTAAAAAGTTAAAAAAATAAAAAAGAACTTTTTTTTGATCACAAATTTTCGGAAAAAAAATGGAAAATTTTTTTTCATATAAAAAGCAGAATAAATTTTTATTTAAATTTAGAATAAAAATAATTTGCTCAATTTTTTACCTCTTCACATGTTTTCATGACGACAGCAATTCGAGATATAAGATCGGCAGCTTGTTGACGAACTTTAGCTGATTTATTATTCAACCTCCACAAAATTGTACCACAAATTTGAGGAAGATACGCCTTTACTCTTGTGTTCAATGTATTCACAATTGTACCAAATCCATTAAGCATAACTACATCCTGTTTAATTTTATTATCCATTAATTTACAATCACTATTGTTATTATTATTATTAATTATTATTGCATTTAAATTTTTATTAAATTAAAAAATTTAATTATTTAAATAAATTTCTTATTTTTATTATATTATTACTGAAAATAATAATAAACATACGTAAAATAATAAATAATTAATTAGCTAAAAACAAAATGAATTTAACAAAAATTTTTAATCTTGTTTTTTTATTATAAATGTAAATATTTAAATTTAATATTTTTATGATTGTTAATCAAAATTGAGAAAATATGATAAAATTTATGAAAAAAAAAATTGCTAATAAAAATAGATAATAATTTAAGAATTATTAATTTACCTCGGTAGTTTGTTCCTGGAAAGCGTATAAAATACCATCAATAAGTTGTTCCTCAAGACGATCGTCAACATCCGTTGCACCTAAATTTCCCATAATTTTCTCAATTGTTTCCATAACCATTTTTCGATATTGTTCATTTTCATCTTTCAAATCATCCACAACTCGATTAATAATTTCTTGCGCACCAACTTTATTGGCAATTTCAACTGTTGTGTCAACCAACTAAATGAAAAAAAAAAAAATTCAAAATAAAATCAAATTATTATTATTTTTGTAAAATTTAATTAAAAACGAAAATTTAATATATATATATATACAAAAAAACATTAAATTATGAAAATACAATCGCAATGGATTATAAAATTATTAAAATGAGATTATTAGAAAAAATTATCTCACCTGTCTGTAGTTCCTTCTATCAAGTGCCATTCTATGATTCCAGAAATTCTTGAAGAAATGTGGAAGAATTTCATCTTTTATATATTGAGCTTCCACACCATCTGTTCCGCAACACTGTTTAACTACCTATAAAATTGAAATTTGTACACATAAATTAAATTGTAAATTGAAGCATTTTAAATAAATATCAATAATAATTATTTTCTAAGTGAGGTGTTTTTAAAATAATGATTGATTTTACATTTTTTTAGAACACAAATTGAAACGATTTTTTATTAATATTTTTTTATTCTTTCACGAATAAATTTGAATTTTCTGGGATTGGATCCAATTAATTCGTAAAAGAAAGTTGATTTAAATCGCATTAGGTATATTTTTTAATCAATAATAAAATAAAAGTTTAATTTATGAAAATTATTCTAATTCAGATTTTTGGTAGAATTTTTGAAAAAAAAACATTTTAAACAAATGGAAAAAAACTTCTAATTTATTAATGATTTCACAAAAAAAAAAATTTCAAAAACCAATGACTTTGGCTTTAAGAAAAGTTCCATTTTAGAATTAATTTCAATTTACTTTTTTTTTTGTTACTTTCGTTGCACAAATCTTGATCTTGAATGCGTTAATTTGAACAGTGGATCCAAAATTTAAGAATATATTTCAAAATATTTATAAAAAAAAATTACATATTTTTATCAAAAAAATGTGAAAAAGGTAAAAGAAAAAAAATTTGTAAAATGTACCTGCATATATTATAAAAGGAATTGTAATTTTACTTTGTAGATTTGTTAATTTTAGAATAAATTAATAATTATAACTGTTTTCCTTTAAGCGACAATAAAATTAAAATACTACTATTTTAATTTTAATTATAAAATGCCACTTGAATTTAAAAAATAAGTCGTTTTTTTTTTAAAGTCGAAAATAGTCGAAAAAATCATACACTCAGAATCCTGTATTTTTATTCTTTCTCGAGAAGAAATTGAATTTTTATTAAAGAATACTTAATATTCAACTTTAAAGCAAATTTCTTAAAACTTAAAAAACAATTATGTAAATTACAAATTTTTTTTACAAATTTTAATTTAACAAACTTTTTTTAACTATGAAATTTTTTTTATATTATCGGCGTAATTAATGTTTTCAAATAATTTGATTGACAAAATTTACAAATTTCATAAATAAATAGTTATATAAATTGATTGTATCTCAATAAATAAAGAAAAAAATTAATTATCTAATTTATAGTTTCTTATAAATCGATTTTTAGAAAATACAATTTTTCATGAAATAGTATTTAAAAATAAATTTATATTTTCAATTATTTTACATACAATATTATATACATTACTAACTATATATTTTTTTAGAAAGAAATTCTTTTCTCTTCAATTATAATATTCTGAATTTCTTCAATACAAACAAGATGTAACTTTGAAAATTGTTTACAAGTTTCTGACCATTTTTTAAATTTCATAAAACAATCTAATGCCTCTGATACTGTTATTTCTTTCGATTCCATAATTTCCAATCGATTTTCATTTTTTTCATAATTAACAATTTTTTCCAATGTAATATTTTCACATTCATTTTTAATTGTGACATTATCATTAGAATTATCAACATTGTCATTAATTTGTTCAAATTCGGCATATTCATATCGTTCATTATTGTCAATTTGTTCCGATTTAATACTTATAGATTCAATTTCAATTTCTTCATCGTCGTCATCATCATCACAATCCATTTGATTCAATTTGATAGTTTCGAATTTATTTCCACTATTTTTATCACTCTTATTATTACATTTTTTCATAATTGTTAATTTTTCGCTATTTATAAAATGTACAATATCATCGTCTGACAATGGTTGCCAACCACAATCAGTGTCATTTGTTTCAAACCACATGACAAGTTCTTCTTTTGTCATTTTCAATGAAGAATTTAATTCAATTAAAATTTTAACAAATTTATCGCCAATTTCATAAGGAAAATTTAATGATTCATGTAATTCTATTGTATCATCATTCTTCGATTGATCAATAAATAATGGATCATCAGTAATGCATGAATCACCTACAAGTGGTTTCCAAACTTTTCGAAGTGTTGTTATTTTTAATTCATTCCACGTTTCACTAATAAGACGTAGGCCAATAAGAAAAATATTGAAATTTTTCAAAAACTCTTCTACCCCTTCATTGTGAAATAATGCATTTTCCAATAATTTCATTTTGCATTGTTTTTTGAAAAATATCATTAAATCACGATTCATGGGTTGAATCATTGCCGGTACATTTGCTGGTAAATATAAAACTTCAAAATCTTTATTCACTGCATTGAGAATTTTTAAAGATAAATGTATGGGTGCATTGTCCAATATTAAAATTACTTTTCCAATAATTCCACATTTTTTTCGATGATCAACAACATGTGGAATAAATATTTCCTTGTACCTAAATATTATTATTTTCATTAGAAAATTATTAATTATTTTCATTTCATTATATTAATATAAAAATAGAATTAAATTACCAAAGCAAAAATATGTCTTTATCCATTAACGAATCATTTTGCTGTGTATAAATGACATTATTAAAATCAGACAAATATTGGAGACGATTTATTTCAAATTTTTGAGTTATTGAATTTTTTAGAAAACATTCTGATGATTCTGCTTTGGAAATTGTCAACAGTGGAATTTTATTAGTGCCAGTGGCATTGGTACAAAATAACATTGTCATTTTGTCACAAGATTCATTTTTATTATTCATTTCATTTATCTCTTGTTGACCAAAGGAGATCAATGCTTGCCAATTAATTCCACATTCATCAGCATTATAAATATTTTCCAAATATAAATTTTCTGTAGCAATTTTCTCTGCTAAAATCCATGTTAAATCTTCTTTACATTCAAAATCATAAGATTTAATACCGTGACGCCGCTTAAAATTTCTCAACCAACCATTGCTTCCCTAAAAAAAAAAAATAATCACCAAATTTAAAAATTTTACACATTCACAAATTTTTAATTTGAATATTTACCGAAAAAATGTTTAATCTTTCAATTTTTAACCAAAAAAATATTAAATGATTCAAAATTACGATTTTAAATACACAATTAATAACAATTATTTAACTTTTTGTTTACAGTTACTAAACATTTATAATCTTTATCCAATTTTTATTTAACTCTTTGAAAGACAATTTACAATTTTATTTATTGAATTTTATTGTTGAACAATATTTTGTTCAAAAGGTATTGAACGAAAAATTTTTTTAATATTTTTTAACCGAAATTTAATTTTTATTCGTTCAATAACTTTTTAACAAAATTTAAAAAAAAACAGAAAAAAACCTTTTAAGGAGTTAAATGAAGAATGAATAAAAATTATAATTGTTTACTTACTTTAAACAAATAATTAAATATTTGTTATTCAACAAATTTAACAGAAATAATTTTTTTTTCATTTTTAAATTTTTTCAATTGAGCTGCTCGGAAGAAGAACTCGCTTTTCGCTCGGAATGGATAATTTCATTCTAGTTTTAGGCATAGAAATAGGAAAAAAAAAATTTCAAAATTTTGATTTTTAAAAAGTACTACCTTTGTATAAAATATTAAGGCGCATCTTTTTTTCCTTTGAAATTTTTTCGTAGAACGAATATTTTAGTTAATAATCACTTGAGAATTGATATCCTAACACATTGAAGAATAGAGAAAAGGATAATGCTCGTAATCATAATTTGTTTAATAATTTTTAATTGTTATTTAAGGAACTATCGATAATCATGTTTTCTCACCTTTTCCGACAAAAAGTCTGCGGGGAAATTCCGAGTTTCAAGAACTTCCAGTGAGACATTTGTTTATCAATGTATAATAAATTTTTTTTTTTTTGTAAATTTCCAATGCGATTTATTAAATATAGTTTAAAAAATATTCTATTTTTAAGGAAACGCGTGCAGCCGGATATCACGTCGCCACGAAGAGTAGTCTTATTACTCGCAGGGCGTGAAAACATCATCTTCCCATTACTTCTAAATAATATTATTAGTTATTTTAATAATATTATTAATTAAATTGTTTAAAATTATGAACAATTAATAAAAAATTAATTAACAACATTATTAAAAAAAAAAAAATTTAATATGTATATTTATTGTATCTAAATTTTTATTAAATATATTATATTTTTAAATATTTTTAATTTTTATTACAATGAAATAAAAATATTATTAGTAATAATTATTAAAAAAAAACGCAAAATAATTCCAAAGAAATTTTCAGTTTAATAAATAAAGTTAATTCAAAAGAATAATCAATATCATTAAAAGAAATTAATTTTATATTATTCATTGTTTTAAAATATAATTATTTTACTTATTATCGATAGTTCCTTAAATAACAATAAAAAATTATTAAACAAATTATGACTACAAGCATTGTTATTAAGTTATCCTTTTTTCTATACTTCAATGTGTTAAGATATCAATTCTCAAATTATTTCATTAATAATTGTCAAAGATATGACAATATTTATGTTTTAAAATTGAATGAAATTTAAAAATTAAAATTTTTCAGTTTATATGAGCCAAAAGTTTTGAACATTCAAAATGAAGGAAATATTTTTTTCAATCTATAAATTATTAAAAAATTATGATGTCAATGTAAAATAAAAAACAATAAATCAAACAATTATTAAATTAAATAACTTTTTTTTTTAATTATTTAAAACGATATTTTGTACTAAAATTCGTAATTAAAGAAGTTGCAAAAAAATTTCGTTCATTTGAACGTTTAAAACTTTTGGCTCGTGTTTTTTTTGTTAATTATTAACTAAAATATACTTTTTAAAAATCAAAATTTTGAATTTTTTTTTCCTATTTCCATGCCTAAAACTGGAATGAAAAATCCGATGAAAGCAATATTTTAATTATATTCTTAAAAGCAACTTTTTAGTTTGAGGTTATGTCAAAACGTTGAATCTTAAAATTTTTGAAAATTTACTGTTTTTTTTTCTTTGTGCAATGTACTTACTTTAAATTTTGGAGAAAACGAAAATTTTTTACTTAAAGCAAGAGCCTTTTCCTGAAGAATTGGCCCATTAATTGGTTTGCCTCTGTCTCTGGCCTGTTGAAACCAAATTAAAACAGCGTCATCTAAACATTCATAGCTACTTGTTTTTGATGTTTTTTTTCTTCTTGTTTCATGATTATTGTGAAGTTTTTGCAATAATTTTGATTCACGACTCAATAAACGACAACACGTTGACATACTTATTCCATATTCATGTACAATTGTTTCATTTGAGATACCAGATTTAAGTTTTTTTATAACTTCATGTTGTTCTTCGTACGTTAAAAAATGTTTTTTCTTTCTTGCCAACATTTTTTTTTTTTGTTCTTCAAAACACAATCAAATGATAATAAATTCTTCGTTGTCGAGTATATTGTTTAAGAGTTTTGTTGCAATGCAAACAATGGATGCCAACAAAGCTCCAATCCATGGAGATTCGATCGTAATACGAAAGAGACGCGTTCGTGTATTTATAGATAGAGTGCAAAATGTGAGAGGGGGGAGAGTTTGAATGCGGTCGAGGTTAACACATGATACAGGAGTGTATCAAGAATAAAATTTTCCCACATTCTTTAAAAAAAATATTTCATAGAAAAGTGGACAATTTAATAATAAAAATTAAAAAATATTAAGTATACCTAAGATTTTTTCGACTATTCTCGATTGAAAAGAAAAAAATATTACTGATGATATAGCAAAAAGGAAAGTTTTTCCTATTTCGCAAATTTTTTTCGATTTATATTATTCTTGTCAAAACAGTTTCATTCTGGAACTGCAATTTTAGGGTGTCTACTAAAAATCTGAATTAAAATTCCAGGACATTTCCAGGACTTCCAGGACTAGTAGACACCCTGAATTTATTCGATTTTTTAGAGTAAAATAAAAAAAATTTATTTATCAATTAGCAAATAAAGTAGATAATTAATTTGTAAAGGAAAATTAAAATTTTTTCATATATGAATTTAAAAATGTTGAATCCATTGACATAACCACAAACAGAAATTATTTTTAATAACAAAACTATAATTAAAATTGATTTCACCAAAATTTGGAATATTCAGTTGAACAATTTAAAAAAAAAAATTATTTTCAGTTGTTAAATAATAATTTTTTAACTTTTTGTGTTATTTTTTTTTTTTGCATAAAATTAGTAAACAATTTTAATTTTTCTCCAATTTTTATTTTACATTTTTGACTGATACTTTACAATTTTGTTTGTTGATTTTTGTTAAATAATATTTTGATTAAAAATTAATAAAGAAATTTTTTTTTTATATGTATATTTTTTATACAAAACAACAACAAACAATATTGTCAAAAATCTTTTAAAGAAAAAAAAATGAGCTTTTGTTTATAAAAATTGAATAAAAATTACAATTGTTCATTAATTTTAAACAAAAATCATAAAAAATGTTAAATAATTATTATTTGACAAAAACTTTAAGGTTGAAATATTTTTTTCTGCAAATTATACAACTAATACTATGGATGTTTCAAAATTTAATAAAATTAATTTTAATTAGTTTTATTTGGCGCGATAAAATCGATTTTTTACTTTGAGGTTATGTTAAGGGGTTGAACGGCCTTAAATTTATCACAAATATTGATGATCTACTTTATCCTCAGTTCATAGTTTGGAAACTAAATAGAAAAATAAATAGAAATTTTTAAATTTTTTAAATTCGATAACAAATAAATTCTATCAAATAGAAATCCTGATAAATGAAAATAGTACGTAATACAAAAAAATTATAAAAATTTATTTAAAAAATAAAAAATAATTTCTATTTGAACAAAAAATTGTTGAAAATTCAGTTAAATATAAGTCTGTTTAATTAAAGAAAAACCGACAATTAAAAAAATTAAATATACCTAATTTCGGCTAAATAAAATTTCGTTTGATATAGAGTTTCTGTTAAATGGAATTTTCGTTATATAAAAATTATTCAAAGTAAAAATTCAATCAAATATTTAAATTTAATGTACCTAAAGTTTCGAACGTTTTGAAACTTTCGGCACATTTTGTTAAACTTATAAAAATACAAGTAAATTTAATAAAATAAAATTTCGATAAAAAAAAAATATATACTTTACAAAATACTACTATTTATGCATTTTTTGAAAAATATACCGGAAATTTCTGCTCGCTTTCTGTATTCTGATTTAGTATTCTTTTACAAAATATTACAAGGCCTACTAAACTGTTCTGAAGTTGTGTCTAAAATTAATCTTTATGTTCCATCTGTTGCACTTCGTCATTATCAATTATTTCGTGTACCTATACACAGAACAAACTATGGTAAAAATTCAGTCCTTAGTAGAATATGTATTGAAGCGAATGATATTTCCAATGATATTGATTTTTTTGAACCAAGCAAAAATATATTTTGCTCGAGATTACGTGGCTTGTTACTAAATAATAATGAATAATTTTATCATAGCACGCTTATTATTTGTTACTATACTCATGTATCTCAAGGGCTGTTGCCCGTATATGTTTGTTAAATAAATGAAAAATAAAAATAAAAAAAAAAATTATTTAACAATTTTTTTTTCTACAATATAAAAAAAAAATGCATTCCTACCTTTAGGACAATTTTCTTCATTTCCTCATCGGGCGACTGGAATTCTCGAATAAGAATCAACATTACTTCACGAGTATAATAATTGGCATATTCAGCGTCCATAAGTGGAATGAGATAACCAATGGCTTTTAAAAAGGCGGCAAGACCTTTTCCACGATGTGTTCGTATACCTTTCCAAAGTGGTTTTAAAACTGAATCAAAACTCTCGATACCATATGGTGTTGCTGCTTCTGCCAATGCAGCAATAGCCAATGCCGTGATTGTACGTACTTTTTGTTGTTCATCAACTAAACCATGTTCAATAATTTCCACTAAACTCTTTAAATGTGGTAAAATTGCACAACCCATTAAAATGGCAATTTGTTGAACAATTTTAATACCCGTGTGACGTGCTTGCCATGATTTTTTACTGCGACAAACGGCTTTCAAAAATGGTAATAAAGATGGAATTCCCAATGCCGATGCAACAACAGCAAATGCTCTTGCCGTTGTATTACGCACATATTCATCAATATTGTCAATATCGGGTCTCATTGTGGAAATCATTGTCGCTAAACCAGCAGCTTTTGCTAAATTTGAAATTATTTCTCTGCCTTCAACACGAGCATAGTAATCCTCGTCAATCAATAATGGTTCAATGACGACTAAAATCTGAAATAAAAAAAATAATGTCCTCATGAAATTGTGATAAAAATTGAACAAAATTGAAAATCAAATTCCATTAAATGAAAATTGCATTCGGGTTGAATAAAAATTATTTTCAATTAAAACAGAGTAGACAACAACAAAAATTTTAATTTCCTGACATAACAAAATTCGTTTTCCTACCATATTTCACTTCTTTCACTAAAACAGGGATCGCAGTAATTTTTTTCTTAAAAATAGTATCAAATAATTATTTATCGAAAATAGATGACAAAAAACTGATTGCATTGGATTAATAGTTTAAAATTTGGGTAAATTCAATTTTGAATGATAAACTGAAACTTAAATCACTCGAAATTTTGGTAAATTGAAATTTCAATAATTTAGAACTTAAATCAATTTAAATTTAAATAAATTAAAATTCGAATAATTTGACATAATTAATTAAAATTTGGATAATTTAATACTTAAATCAATTAAAATTTGGAATTAGTGAAATTCGAATAATTTGAAACTTAAATTAATTAAAATTTGGATAAATTTGTACTTAAATCGATTAATCTTTAGATAGATTGAAATTTCGTGAAATTTAAGTTTCGATTGATTTTATTTGCATGTGATTAAAAATGTTAAGGGGGGGGACGCCACAACTAATTTTTTGACCCCCTTAAATTTAAATTATCAAACGAGGTTACTTATATATTTATTTTTTTTTGTTGCATCATTTGGGTTTTAAAAACAAACAAAATGGTCAAAAATAAAAAATAATTATTTTTTACCAGTTTAGAATTTAAAGTCTTAAAAAATTTTTAATTTTACTTCTTTCACAATTTTTACTATTTTCTTTTGATAAATTTTTTCCCCACTTTTTTAATGATTCTTAAAAATCTCTCGTATGAATTTTTAAAAATTTTAATTTTTTCAAAAAATAAAAAATTCTAAAATGATCAAAAATTAAAATTTTCTTTTTTTGACCACCTTCCATATTTATAGGATCCAAATGATGAAACAAAAAAAAAATATAACCTCCTTTGATAATTTAAATTTAAGTGGGTCAAAATTGATTAGAATTAGAATGAATTTAAATATCGATCAATTACAATTTTAATCAATAAATGTTTCAACTAATTTTAATTTAGATTTATTGATTTATTTGATTTATTTATTGACTTGTGGCTACCCTGTATTAATAATTTTGTCGTTAAAAAAATAATTTTTTGGCTATTAAAAAAAAAAACCTATCCCTAATATTTCTTAAAATAATTTAAAAATTTTCTAAAACTCATTGGTTCAAATTTTTATTTAAATAAAAAATTCTGTTTAATGAAAATTGCAGTCAAATTAAAATTCCATTTATTTGGTTAAATAAAAAATTTTGTTAAATGGAAATTAAGTTTCAAAATAAAAAAAGTAATAAAATAAATTACAAACCTTGTGAACATACGGCCTGACTAAATCATCCAATTTATAGAGAATTCTATCAATAACTTTAACAAGAAGATGTCTCTCCTGATCCTCAAGTGTCGGCGACATAAGAAGCGGTAGAATTTGATTAAAAAGTGGACCAGCGCCAAATTCACGTGCCTTATCGGTAATTTGTCGAAGTGCAGCTTTACGCATTGGTGGTGTGCCATTTTTAATTTTCAACAACAATTTCATTATTTTCCTTTCCTTTTGATCTTCTGGACTCAATGTCTCCTCATCGACATCAACCAATAATTTATCAAAATATTGCGCATCCTCAGGTTTCATAAATGGTAAATTTCCCTTCGGTTGATTATCCATATATTTTGCATTTCTGTCTTCAGTTTGCATAAAGAAACCTTGCGGTGTACCGGCAATTGGCGTTGGTGTTGCCGTCAATTTTCTCGCTGGTGTACGTATTGGAATATAACCGGCTGGCACTTGTAATACTTTATAGCCAGGTGGAAACATTGAATCAAGTTCATCGTCAGTCAATGGTTTATTGCGCTCATCAATTTCACGTTCCCAACGATATGCCTGCAATTGTTCGGGTGTCATTGACATTAAATGACCGGGCGTTGGCGTTGCCATTCCCATTGCTTTTGGACCAGTTGGCGTCACTCCACTTGGTGTCAATATTGACGATTGATGTGGTGTTGTCATTGGCGTTGCCGGTGTTTGTGGCGTCATTGAACCGGGAGTTTGATTCGATGGTGTTTCATCCCATCTACTGCGTCGTTTACTTGCCGATGGCGTTGGAGTTTCTTGAATTAAATCACCGGCAACACGATCGGTTCTTGGGGTTTCGGCCCAACCGCTACCGTGACCCGGTGTCTCTGTTGAAAAAAGCAAATTCATTTTTAGTAAAAAAAAAAATATATTTTTTATTAGATTAAAATAATTTTAAATAAATTTTTTTCAAAATCCACTTTCAATGTAGAAACTATAAAAATTTGTTACCTCGCTCGGTTTTTGGCGTTTCATCCCAACGATTTCTGCGACTCGATAATTTTTCATGTGAGGGAGTTTCTCGTCCAGGAGTTACAGCACCAGGAGTCGCGTGTCCAGGTGTTGCATCCCACATTCGTGTACTAACACCAGGCGTTGCACCAGGAGTTTCGCCACCTTTTCCATGTCCTGGAGTTTCATCCCATCTGATAGTAGCAGGGGTTGCCTAAAAGAAGCAGAAAGTTTATAGAATTAAAAAAAAAATTAAAACACAAACACATTTCATATGGTTTCATATGACTTTCACAGCTTTATTTTTATAATTTTATAATTTAAATTTTTTTCTATTAAAGTACTCTTAAAATTAAGATAAATATAATTATATTATAAAAATAAATTTGAGGGAAAATCTTTTCAATGAACTTTCTAATCTTTTCTAATCAATTAATAATTTTTTAAAATAAGAACGAAAATTGAAATCCATATTTCAGGCCTCGGATCGTTTTAGTAGATTTTTTTTATTTTAACAAAATTTAATTGGTTAATGAATAGTTTAATTTAAATAACTAATGTTATTTCATATTAAATTCATTTTATTAATGCTGTAATAAGAATAATTCTATAAAAATATTATCATAAAAAATTTATTTCGAATATTTCAGAATCAAACTAATTGTAAGAAAATTTTCAAAATTTTTTGAAGTCTAATTTAAGCAATTTATTCAAATTAAAAATTTTCTCATAGTTTTTTTTTTTAGTTTTGATGGTAAAAAAATTTCAGGCAATACTTAATAATGTTTTACAGATTTTTAAATAAAAATTTTTTTCAAATAATAATTTTGGAAGAGTTAAAGTTGAAATTTTTTTAGAAATAATTGAATTTCAAAAGATTTTATTAATTTTCAGACAATAATTAAATTTTACAGAACTAAAAATAATTTATCAAATAATTTTAGATAAAATTTTTTAAAATTAATTGAATTTTCAAAGATTTACAATTTAGATTTTTGAAATTAATTGAACTTCAAGTGATTTTCAATTTTAAATTTTTGATCATTTCACTACAAAATTTATTAGAAATTTCAGACAAAAATACAATTTGAAAACTTTTTAAGCGAAAAATGGTTTTAGATAGTTGAATTTTCGTAGAATATTATAAAAATCATTAAAAATAATTGAATTTCAGGAGAGTTATAATTGAAATTATTAAAAAAAAAATTTTTAGATGGAAAATTTTAGAAATAATTAAATTTTAGAAGCTTTTAATTTGAAATTTTTGAAAATAATTGAATTTCAAAAGATTGTGTTAAATTTCAGAAAATAATTTATAATAAGAGAAATTTTTAGTGATTTCTGTTCATGAAGAATTTATTAGAAATCACATACAATGATTCAATTCCAAAAGTTTTTAATTGAAAAATGCTTTGAGATAATTGAATTTTCGAAGAATATTACAAAAATAATTAAAAATAATAGAAATTTTTGCAAATAATTAAATTTCAAGTGATTTTGAATTAAAAATTTTTGGTACTTTTATATGCTACTTTTTTTTAAAATTATAAACAATTATTAAATTTCATAAAAATTTGAATTGAAAAATAGTTTAAGATAATTGAATTTGTGAAGAATTTCACGAAAATTATTAAAAATAATTAATTTAGTGAAGAATTTTAGTTCAAAATTTGTTAAATAATTGAAATAAAGAAGATTTTAAAAAGATCTGCATTGTATACTAAAAATAATTTGTATTTTGTTAAAATTTTTTTTTTTTTTTAAATTTAAAAAATGTTGCATTTTATTAAAATAAGTCGGAAAAACTCGAAAAAATCGTATAATCCGAGGCCTGCTATTTGTGAAAATAAATAAACCTTTAAAAATTTCTAAAAGTAGATCTACAGTAAAAACTTATATTTTCAATAAAATTTACAGTAAATTAAATTTTCGATTTTCAAGATTATTAATTTAAATAATATATAAGTATTTTATAATTTCGATTTTTCAAAATTTGCAATAATTGAGAAAAGAATTTCATACAAAAATTTAGATTTTCAATAATCATTCTTAATGAACAAAAATAAATATCTTACGTCTGCATTGTCCCAAGATGTTGGTGTTGCTGCAGTGCTTGTTGATTTTTTCGGAGTCGGAGCATCGTCAGTTTGATCCCATCGACCACGTTTTTTCGGTGCCGCTTTTGCTTCACCATTTGATTTTAACGTGCCATCTCGAGCCTTTTCAACCAATTTTCTTCTTATCTGGGAAAAAAAAAGAATAAATTTTAATATTTATAATAAATCAATATATTCACATTTTCATAAACTTAAAAAAAAAAAAAAACAGTGGACATTAATAATTGAATAAAAGAGGAATAACTGTGATACCTTTTAAAATATAAAATTTATTTCTTTGTAAATTAGGCATTCCCAAATTGTAATTTTTTTTTAAAATTAAATAACTTATCAGTAAAATAAAAAAAAAAATTGATTCTTCACCTCTGTTTCTTCGCCTTTGAGTTGCTGTTCTCTCATAATTTCGGTGTAAGTCCTGGAGCCGACATCAGGAGTTTTCCCACCTGCAACCATGAATCAAATGTCACGCAAAGCGCAACAGTTAGTTTACTTGATTCAATGAGTATTTATAATTCTATAATTGAATTGTTGATGAACCTAATCCACTTCAAAAAAAGTATTTCCTTTTTTTGCTTCTTAGAATATATTGTATATATATATATTGAAAATATATTCTAAGAAAACTATTGAGATCACTCTCTGCATTATTCTACCTGCATGATGAGGAGAAAAAATTTATTTTTTATTTCTTGAAAAATTTTCAGAAATTGTTTTAAAAAAAATTTTTTTCTTTTCAATATTTATTGAGAAAAAAAGCTTTCTCTTTGAGAAAGCAAAAAAAGAGGTAAAAAAAATAAATAAATAATGAAAAACAAAAAAAAAAAAAAAAACATTAAAAATTGCAGGTAGGAGTGATTCGTCAATAGCTAGCAGTGTATCATACGTACGTGGAGATTTGTTGCCATACGGAGAGCATTGTCCTGCTCATCTCTTCCACATCGAAAAATACTTTAGCCATCTAAAAATCAACTCATTCTTGTTATTAATAATATTTGCATTCAGACCATTCATTCTATTCATTTGAAAGAAACACGTTCTCTAAAAAAACCTGCATGATAAGCCAAAAATCGTCGATATTTTTTTTTCTTTTTTGATATTAAAAAAAAATAATAATAATCATAATAAATCTGAAAACATAGTATCCGATTTTTTTTTTTTCGAATAGTTGCAAAATTATTTCTGGAATGATTAGATAAATCGTATTTGGTAAGTATTTTTTATTTACATTAATTTTTATCTATATAGGTAAATTTTCATAAAAAATTTTGTATTTGTAAGAAAATTTGTATTAAAATTTTTTATTTCTACAAAGATTAAAATAATGTTTTTATTTTTAATTTGCATTTAAAAGAAAGATTAAAAATGTAAACCAACAAGCTTTTTAGAAATAAAAATAAAATTTTCATTATTTTCAAAAAATTAGTTAAAAACAAAATTATTTTTTAAATTATTTTATTCTAGCAAATATTTTAATCATTTTTTTTTGTCTTGAATAAAAATATATTTTAGTTTAGTTTTCTATAAGTGAATATATCACTTTTTTAAACAAGGTGGTTCTTCAAAATTGCAAAATTTTAATGGCATCTATCGAATTAAAAAAATTTATTATTTTTGAAAATTTTAATGGCTTAGAAACACTATGAATATTTTTTTCAAAAATTAATGGAATTTTTTTTTTTTTTTTTTAAATTATATCTTTTGGATTAATTTCTATAAAGCTTGATTATTAAATAAAAGAAATTTGTAAAAATAAAAAGCACATTTCAAATAATTTTAAGTGTTGCTACTTTTGGCTTATCATTATTCTAAGCAGGTTTTTAGAATAGGGCTTTTTTTACATCTCAGTATCGTTTTGACCTTTGATTTATAGTACCCAGGGTAAGTTGATGATTCCAAATGTGCAGACCGCCACTAAGATTGGAAAAAAACGGTAACATTAGTATGAGCTCGAACGAAACGCATTCATACTTTTCCATTCAATCCAGACTTACAAAAAAAAAAAAATCATCAATCATAAACAATATTCTGGTATTAAAAAATTCTCAACTATATTATCAGGCAGTGTTTTCTTTTTCTTTTCTATAAAATGTGTGGGTGAGTGACAAAATCTAAATGTCCGCATGTGTTGTATTATTATTAATATTGTTTCGATACACATTCCATATGTTGAAAATGAATCGAAATAAAATTAAATATATAAATTGTAAAATGACAGCTGTTAAAAAAAGGAATATTTACATTATTAATCGGCAAAAAAAAAAAAAAATTAAACAGAAAATAGCGAAGAAAAATATGAAAGAGCAAAGCTAATAGTGAATGAATAAATTTTTTTCCTTTCGTCTTAAAATAAAATTGCAGTTTAGAATTAAGCATTTCCTAATAATGATTTGAAACTAAAAAAAAGATTTTTCAAAAAGAGCAACAATTTTTAAAGACAAACAAAAGAACACAATAAACATCAATGAGAAATTTTCTATTTTCATATCTGTTGAAGATATTTTCTTTAAATGAAAATTTCCCTTGTGTTTAAATTTAAAGTAAACGTTTCATTATTTCCAAATGAAGTAAATATTAAAGAAAGTAATTATACATTTTGCGACAAAATTTTTAAATTTAAATAGTTCATTAATAAAAAAATTAATTTTTTTTTAAAAATAATATTTCACTTTTTTTTCTTCATTTGTACTTTCCAATTAATATCAAATTAATGAAACATTTTTCTCGATGCTTTATGTATTATAAAAAATAATATAAAATTGAGCCCCTAGATAAAATAATTTTTGTATTTGAAAATTTTTGTTTAGAAAATAAAATAAATAATTTCTATAATTGATTTAATTTTTGTAAAATAAAATTTAATTTCTAGAGAGCTCAATTTTAGTTCATTCTTAAAATACAAATAAAAGTACGTTTACCTTTCTTATAACAAAAAGAAAACTTTAAAAAAACAATACCAACCTTCAGCAAAAGGATCAACTCGTTCAGGTGAAATTTTCATGAGACGTCTCTTTTGTCTGTAATCATCTTCTCTCTCAATTATTTTCGCTGTTCGTCGTTCTGCAAAAGGATCGTAATCCTTCTGGCTCTGGAAACAAAAAAAAAAAAAAAAAAACGGATAAGAAAAATTAATTTTTTTTAGTAAATTATATAAACGAAAATTTGAGAAATAAAATCGAGAATTTTCTCTGCTTTGTAAAAATAAATAAAATTTTAAGAATTTCCTGAAAAACAATTTTAATAAAAAGAATATTTTCATATTTCTGCAATATAAAATTAAAAAGTCAGAATATCATATGAAAGTACATTGAATGTACTTAATATTAAGCTTCAAGAATTTTATACTGATAACTTTAAACCATAATATAAAATATTTTTTAAAAATAAAATTTAATTCTAATTTTTACGTAACCTTTTATAATCATTTTTAGATTTAATTTACAGATTTGAAAACGTTAAAAAATTATCAAAAATAAATTAAGCGAATGTAAAAAAAAAAAAGATTATTACGAGTTATAAAATTTTTCTAAAAATAAGGCGCAACGACTTTAGGTGAAATATAATGAATTGATTGAGTTAATTAATTTTTTAATAGAATTCAAAATTATGAAAAATTACAATTTTTTAAAAATAATTTCTATTATTTTTCATCGGCAATTTTTTTCTACGTTTTTCTCATGATTCTGACGATTAATTTGTGTAGATTAAAAAAATTTTAATTTATTAAAAAAAATTTTGTTTATAAAATAGAATAATAAATTAAATGATGTAACCGATTAAAATTTAACTGGTAATAAATCTTTTTAAAATTCAATTTTTTGAAAAATTCTTCCTTGCAAGAAAGTTTTATTTAAAAAGAACACAAGAATGTTAAAAAAACAAAACATTAATTATTTAAGAATAAATTAACAAAATTTATAAATACATTGAAAATAGTAATTTTTTTTAAATATCTGATTACAAAATTAACATAACTAATCCTTAAAGCTTTATCTATTTTTATTTTTGTATATGGAACACTACAATAAATATTTAGTAACCCAATTATAATCTAATAATGTGACCGCGGGGAAATATGTATAATTAACTTTTTGTCATCTTTTTTTTTTACATTTTGACAGTTTTGAGAATTTATATTTAAATTTAAAGAATTTTTTTTTTTATTTCAAAAAATGGTTTGAACTTGAAGATTTGAGAAACTAAAAAATTTCAGAGCTTTTTCATGATATTCAGAAACTTTTTAAAATTCCATACTGTTTTTATGATTTTCAAGTTCCGTACGAACCCTGAATAAATAATTAATTGAAATTTTTTAAAATTATAAAAGAAAGTTAGTACAAATTTATTTTTAAATAAATGAAAAGGTAAACTCACTCGAGAAACATCATTGAGTACTGAAGCGGGAGCTGTGTAACCAGGTCTATTTTTGCTGAATGTTGACGAGTCATAATCATCATCCTGAGAATGAAAAAACATTATTAATTTTATACATTACTCTAAAAAGAAACTAAATTTTAAAAAATAATTTATTTTCTTTTGAACTTATTAAGAACTTCTAATCTTTTTATTATAAACACATTTTATTTCAGATGATAATTAAATATTTAAAAAAATTACTGTCAAGTTTAAGTACATTAAACATTTAATAAATTATTATTTTCTAAAAATGACGTTTTCAGGCCTCGGATCGACTTAAAGGCACAAAAAAGTCGAAAAAGTCGATTTTTTTTATTTTAACTAGAATATTTTACAGATTTTTAAATAAATCTTTTTTTTTTAATAATAATACTTTTGGAAGGGTTAAAGTTGAAATTTTTAGAAATAATTGAATTTCAAAAGATTTTGTTAATTTTCAGACAATAATTAAATTTTACAGAACTAAAAATAATTTATCAAATAATTTTAGATAACATTTTTTAAATTTAATTAAATATTCAAAGATTTACAATTGAGATTTTTGAAATTAATTGAACTTCAAGTGATTTTTAATAAAAAATTTTGGATGATTTCAAAAAAAAATTTATTAGAAATTGCAGACAAAAATACAATAATTTGAAAACCATTTTTAATTGAAAAATGGTTTCAGATAATTGAATTTCCTTAGAGTTATAATTGAAATTATAAAATTTCAAAAAATTTAAAAAAAATTAAATTTTAGAAGCTTTTAAATTCAAATTTTTGAATTTTTGAAAAATTTCCAATTATTTTGGGAAATAATTGAATTTTAATTGAAATTTTGAATAATAATTTAATTTTAATTGATTTTTGATTGAAAATTTTGATAATAATTAATGTTGAATTGAAAATTTGGAAAATAATTGAATTTAAATTAAAATTTTGGATAATAATTTAATTTTAGTTGGTTTTTGATTGAAAATTTTGAAAATAATTGAATTTTTCCAATTATTTTGGGAAATAATTGAATATTAATTGAAATGTTGGATAATAATTTAATTTTAATTGATTTTTGATTGATAATTTTGATAATAATTAATTTTAAATTAAAATTTTTAAAAATTATTGACTTTTATTTGATTTCAAATTGAAATTTTTTAAAATAATTGAATTTTATTTGATATTGAATTGATTTGTGATTTTGAATTAAAAAATTTTGGTAATTTTTTTTGATATTTTTTTAAAATTATAAACAATTGTTAAATTTCATAAAAATTTTAATTGAAAAATAATTTGAAATAATTGAATTTGTGATGAATTTCATTAAAATTATTAAAAATAATTGATTTAGTAAAAAATTTTAGTTAAAAATTTGTTAAATAATTGAAATAAAGAAAATCTGAAGATCTGCATTTTATACTAAAAAAAATATATTTTATTTACAAATTTTTTTTTAAAAAATGTAAAAAAAGTCGAAATAGTCGCATTTTATTAAAATAAGTCGAAAAAAGTCGTATTTTTGAAAAAAAGTCGGAAATAGTCGAAAAAGTCGTATAATCCGAGGCCTGGATTTTTTGTGTTAAAAAACGTAAAAATAAGTGAAAAAATACGAATTTGAAATTTTTTGATATTACAATACTTCGTCAATGAGGAAGGAAAATAAAATAATATTTTATTATTTATAAATGGGGCATTCTATGGGAAATTTTCATTAAAAAATTTTTTTTTTGTTAGAACGAAGCTGAAGTACGCAACATTTATGATAAACGATTTTTTAAGAAATAATTTTTTTAAATAAAAATTCTATAATTTTTTGCCTATAAAGTATTTTTTTTATAATTTGTTGATTAATGAAAACTACAAGAAATATTTTTTAGGTAAAAAATTATAGAATTTTTCATTTTAAAAAATTTTTTCTTTAAAAGTTGTTTATCATAAACGTTGCGTACTTCAGTTTTGTTGTGCGAAACATTTTTTTTTGAAATCTATATGAAGACCTTTTAGACCAACCAGAAATCCAACTCTGTTCAGACAGTCTTTTCAAAGAACAAACTATGTAATAAATTCTGTTATAAATAGGATAACAAGAGAAGCTAATGAGTACCATAACAACCTTGATTTTTATGGTATTTCTTTAAGTAAATTTGTATGTAAGCTACGCTCTAAAATTTTTGATAATGCTTGAGAAATAACAAAACATTGTTTCGCACTGTCATTTTTCTTATGTTCTTTTTTTTTTTTTTATATACTTTAGTACTCTTGTACGAAAGGGCATTGCCCGTATATATATGTAAATAAATAAATAAATAAAAAATAAGGAAATACGTATTTTTTTTTTATTTTTTTATTTGATGAAAATAAAGGAAGTATGATTTTTTGAAATTTAACGTCAACGAAGGAAGTGTGTTTTTGGAACATTTTTTTAATCTATTGTACTAATAAATTAAAAATTATACTATATATGAAATTTGTTCATTTGTATAATTTTTAATTTATTAGTACAATAGATTAAAAAAATGTTCCAAAAACACACTTCCTTCGTTGACGTTAAATTTCAAAAAATCATAACTTCCTTCATTTTCATCAAATAAAAAAAAAAAAAAAAATACGTATTTCCTTATTTTTCATATATAGATTTCAAAAAAAAAAATGTTTCGGAGAAAAAAAAAAATTTTGAATTGAAAATTTCCCATGAAATGCCCCAAGTGCAAATTTTCACTTTTATAGTTTTATTATTTGCAAAATTATCATTTAATAATAACTTTATGGAGAAAAATAAATCAATAAAATTAAAACAAAAAGGGAATAATTTATTTAGTTTAAAAAAAAAAAAAAAACATTTGCAATTTAAAAATTTTTACCTCCATTTCATCTTCAACAACTGTTGTTGAATATTTCATGTTATCGAATCTATTGGCTTTGTCATAAATGTCTGTATCGTAAAATCCAGTCGTTCCCAAACCGACTTGGTCAATTTCGCCTCCCATTGTAATGTCATTTTCATGATCTCTCTGATTGACAATTTCCTTTTTTCTCGACTGGAATTCACGAATTTGTGCTTCGATGTCTGAAATAATTTGAAAAAACATTATTTCTCACTTTAGATCAATTTTAATTCTAAACAAAAGGGAAAAAGAAAGGTTATTTGAATAAAAATTGAGAACTTTGCATCACAAAAGAATCGATTATCACATTTTTAGGTTATGTTTTTCTATAATTTTTTTTTTTTTTTTTATTGACAAGTTATTAATTTATTTTCATTTAAAATTAATAAAAATTACTCTCTAATTATATAAATAATTTTAAAATTACAAAATTTTTGTTTCACGCTAAATAGGAAGTTGAATTTTTCATTTCTTCATGATGAAAATTTTATAGCGTTTGAGATTATATATTTAATAGAAAATATGAAAATAATTGTTTCACTATCATGTAAATATTAAATGACTTTTAGTTTGAAATAAATGATAAATTGCTTGCAAAAATTAGAGGAAACCAAAAAAAAGAAACGTTGTTGTTTTTGGAAATGCTGTGTTCAAAAGAAAAATGGTTTAAATTCTTACCTTCGTGAGTCCGTGGAATGGAATCCATTGTGGACTGTTGTGATGTACTTTAATAATTGAAATCTTTCAATATATCGTTATTTTTCACTATAAAGTTTTGATTTAACAATAAAGTGTAAATTAAACACAATTAAACAGATTGAAAAAAAAATTTATGCAAATTTGACAAACTGACAAACATTAACAATTCGGTCAATAGCCGCCATTTTGAAGAATGTGAGGGAATAATGGTAGGTTCACAAGACAGAATTGTGAAACAATGCTTATTTAGGGTGAATTTACATTAAATGATAATTAAAGGTGAAATCATAGCGCTATTTTTTGATCAGTAAACCAATTAAAATTTAAGTTACAAGGGAAATAATGCCTCCTTGTGATTTTACACTTATGTAATTATCATATTTCATGTCTCCTTTCTAAACTTTGTATAGTTAAAGTTTTTTTAAATTAATGGTTGACGTCTTTGCCATTTATTTGGTAATTTTACCAAGAAATTAATTTTTATTTTCATTTTCATTTTCCTCAACAATGACATGTTTTATTTATTGTATTAAAATAAAAAAAAATCCTTTAGTAATTTTTTTTCCGTCTATTTTTTTTATATAGACATAAAATTTGTCATTATTGAGGTTATGTAAAAATGAAATGATGAGAAAGTTGTTTTTTTTAAATAAAAAAAAAAATTGTATATAAATGTTTTTTTTTTTTTTTGATTATAGAGGAACATTTTAAAATGTCCGGTCTGATTCGCCTTCGTGCTCTACAAGGCTTAACAAAAAATGTGAGTCTATTGACGAAAAAGCAAAATTTTTATCGTAAAATTGGTACGTCATCGAAAAAAAATGTTACCGAAGTGGCAAGTGAGAATTCCGAACTTTATCCAGCTCATAAAAATTGGGTGAGCTGGGGATACAGTACAACTGATAAAAGAATTGATCGTCATGCAATGCATTCAATATTTTTTTTCACCGTAACAATTTGCCTTGTTTTTGGTAGTTATTATGTAATGTTTCTACCAAATAAAAACATGTTAGATTGGGCTCAACGTGAAGCTTATTTGGAATTACGACGAAGGGAAAAACTTGGTCTTCCACCAATTGATGAAGATTATTTTGATCTTTCAGAATTTCATCTACCAACTGATGAAGAACTAGGTGATACTGAAGTTATTATTTAATTCTTTTCTAACATTGATGCATCTTCTAAATGTGGTAGTATTTCAAATAAAAACTTCACGTACTGCTAATGTTTTTATATAAAAAAAAAAATAAAAAATTGTAGTTTAATTCTCAATTTATTAATTTATAAATATTTTTGTTCAAAAGTGAATGAAATATTTAAAAAAAAAATACAATTACATCTCAATTCATTGTAAATAGTGTTAAGAAAAATATAAATTTACTGTATAGATATTTCTTTTTTTTTTTTAATGTTAAAAAAATCTCGATTAGTTGAATTAAAAATATAAAAACAATGTAAAATATGCATTTGAATTTCTTTTTATTTTTAATGTTAATATAAAATACACAAAATTATTGCGGAAAAGAAGAAAAAAATTTTTGTAATTTTTTTCAAAAGTACAAGAATTGTAAAATTTTAAAAAATTTATTCTGTAATTTACATAATAAATTCTTAAAATTCAAAACGTTAAAAATTTGTTAAAATTACTCTTGTTTTATTGACAAACAAATAAAAGATATTAAATTCCACATTCGAAAATAACGATAAAATAAATATTTCTTCTTTAAAGAAGAAAGAGTTATACGTTATCATTTGATTAATTTTTATTTCATCTACTTTTTTTTTTTTTTTTTTTTTTTGATAATTTACCTTTTTCAACTTTCTCATATGATTCGATTAATTTGCGGATGTAATATTTTTAAAAATAATTAAATTTTCAATGTAAGAACATTGATTTTTTAGTTTAAAAAGAATTTGTTTTAATATTTACAAAATTATTATTTAGGCAAAATTGCAATAAAAAATCTAAATTTAAATTAATTGAAGCATTTATTGATTCAAATTTTTTAAACAATTTGCAAATTTTATCGAATGAATCTTAAAATTAACGAAATTTCAATTATATACCTAAAGAATAATCGATTTAAATTTAAATTTCTCCATTTTTAATTTGTCCAAATTTTGATTGATTTAAGTTTCAAATTATCTAATTATCCGAATATCAATTTGTCCAAATTTTAATTGATTTAAGTTTCAAATTGTCCAAATTTTAATTGATTTTAGTATAAAATTATTTGAATTTTAATTAATTTAAGTTTCAATTTTTCCAAATTTTAATTAATTTAAATTTCAAATTATCCGATTTACAATTTATCAAAATTTTAATTGATTTAAGTTTCAAATTATTCGAATTTTAATTAATTTAAGTTTTATATTATTTGAATTTTAATTATAATTGAAATTATAAATTATCCAAATATTAATTGATTTAATTTAAAAATTATCCGTCCATTTACCTAAATTTTAATTTTTTTTTTCTTCAAATTATTATCCGTATTTTAATTTGTTTGGATTTTTATTGATTAAAACTGTTATAATTTCAATTCCTGATGGAAAATTTGAATAGCTTCAAATTATAATTATTATTTTGCACGTTAATTGGTTTTAACTTACAGTTTTTTAACACCTATTTTCGGTAATTTCTCACCTGTTTTCGTAAAAAAGGTAATGTGATTCCTGTTCTAGTGAAAATACTTCAAAATAGTAGAAAAACACATTTTTTGTAACATTAAATTATTATATTTCTAATTGAAGAAAAATTTTTTTTTTTTGGTCGGAAAAAAGTTTTTAATGTTAATTGAAAAATTTATTCTTATGCAACCCTGAAAAAACATTACAAAAAAGAAGGAAAAAAAATACGTTACGATACTTATCAAGTGTTTATATAAACAATTATTACAATCGCACATTTACATAAAATTTTTTAAATTCACGCTTTATTTTCACGTTTCAATAATTCTATATATAAGGTATCTACGAAGAAATTTCGTAGCACAATTTCTTACAAATACATAAATACCAATTTTCTATAATCCATTCCTTTATCAAATTATTTAAAAAAAAAAAAAAAAATTAATTCAATTTAAAAATGATATTGATTAATTTAATATTCTTTTTTGCATATATTTATATACAATTAAACATGGCAGATGGTATCAAACAAATATAGAATGAATAGAAAAATTTCATATGATTGAAAAATTCAATATATTTATATTTAAAAGAAATATTTATGTATGAAAATTAAAAATACAATTTAATATTACATTTCTTTTGAGAAAAAAAAATGTATTTACGAATTTTAATTTACATATTCACTCTCTACTTCAAGTTAAATGAAAATCAACTCAAAATATATATATTATCTTCTTAAGAAAAAAAGAAAGAAAATTCCCGGTTAATAAATCAATAATAAAAAACCAAAAAAAAAAAAATACTTTAAAAACAATGCAAAAAATGTGCCATGCTTTTTATAATTTTTAAAATTACAATTTTCTTATCTTACTTAGCAGAATTTGTATTCCATTTAAAAAAATAATAATGCACATATAAAATACAAAACTTAATAAAATTGGTAAAGCAGTCTGCAAAAAAAAAAAAAAAAAAAAAAAAAAAAAAAAAAAAAAACAAGAAAAAGAAAGAAAAACAAAAACGATAAAACGAAATTTTTCTCTGATTAAAAAGTTCTTATTGTGTCGAAGCCGTTGTTGGTGGAGGCACAGAATGAGATGTTGATAAATCAGGTTGTCTCATGGGTTGATAAAAAGAGGGATTTTGCGGCATAGCAGCACTAACAGTAATTGGAGGCATTCCAGGCAATGAAATTGGAGTGACAATTTGCGATTGTGGCACACCGTATGGTAATGTTGTCGATGGAACAGTTGATGTTGGTATTGGATTATAAATTTGTTGCTGACTACCACCGAGAGTCGGGACATTGCCAATTGTATTGATATCAAATGGAAGCGGTGGTAAAGGTGAAGTTTGTGGCATTCCAGGAATATCTGGAGTACTTTGATATGTCGTATGTTCAATATCTAAAACAGAAAAAAATAATAGAATTTAATTAATTTAAAATCGAACAAATCCGAGTTAAAAAGATGTAAGCGATACAGGGAGGAATAAATTTTCTAAAATTTTAGAAATAAAAAAAATTAAATTTTTTGAAAATAATTGCAAATTCAAGTGATTTTTTTATTCCAAGTTTTGATTATTTCTCTTGATGAAGAATTTATTAGAAATTAATTCAAAAATTTAATTAAAAATTTGTTAATTAAAAAATTTTTTCAGATAATTGAATTTTCAAAGAATATTATAAAAATCATTAAAACTAATTTGACTTTCAGACAAAAACTGCAATTTTTATCAAATTTTTATAAAAAAAAGAAAAATAGGCATTACATATCTATTTTTTTTATCAGAAAGCAAAAAAAAAAAAAAAAATTCATAAAGTCGTGAAAGTGAAATAGATTGTTTTTTTAAGTTTGCAAATTGCAAAGTTGAGGGTAATTTTTATTAAGAAAAAAAAAAATTGAAATTAAATTTAATTAATAAATTTTTCAATTAAGTTTTATATTTGAAATAAAAAAAAAAAAAAATGTTGCGATAAAATAAGAAACAAATCAAATAAACGTATAGTTTAAAACTAATGAATTATTAAACTTACTTGGTAACACGGTTTGCGGGGAGGAAAACAAATGTGCTGTTGAATTAGTCGAGCCTGGTATGTCGACTAAAACTGAACTAATTGGTGCAACTCCAGGATTTGGTGGTGCAACTGTAAAAGCAACTTGAGCCTGAGGAGCAGGTTCTGTTGAAACAATTGTTGATGCCTGTGGAGTTTGTACAAAACTCGTGGGAATTGTAAATCCAGTAGGAATTGTCACTGACGTACTTCCAACATTAGCAGACACTTGTGACATTATTGGATTCGTAACTTGGGTTGTGACAACATTTGCCTGATTTGCCTATAATCATTATTTATCAAATATTACAAAGTATATAAAAAAAAATATATATATGATTAATTATATAATGAATTTTATTTTAATTTTAAAATATGATTTTTATATAATAAATTTATTTAATTTAGACAATAAAATAAATTTATAATTAAATAATTGAATTTAAAAAATTAATAATTACTAAATTACACATTATAATTGGAAATTGAGGTCTTTAAAAACAACTTCTTAATAATAATTTAATAAATTATTATAAAATGTACATAAAAAAAATTTTTTTTTTATTAATTAAAAAATTTATTTATTGAAAAAGATCAAAAGGGATCAAACAATGCATACCACATAAGAATTCATTGGTTTGGTCTCAGTTATACTTCTAATTGGTATACGATGTAGGTAACCATATCCAATGCCGCAGCCCAAACTAAAAGAAACAATTCATTTATGTAATTAGTATTTTTAACAGTTAATTAAAAGAAAATTAAAAATAATAATAATTAAGAGTAAAAATTTCAACAAATACTTTTTTTATTATAAAAAAAAATAATTATTTATTTTTAACAACTTTTTATATTTTTTTTTCATTAGAAATGTAATTGAAAAATTTTGTTTTTTTTTTTTAAATATATGTAAATTTTTAATCTTTCTTTTAAAAAATGTGTAATTTTTCTCTCTCTTCATTTTGAATATATATTTTACCTTCCTTCACCTCCCCATTTATTATTGGGAATAATCGTGACTTCCCGACATGAATCTAAATCCGTATTATAAACATAAAGTTTAAGCGATCGTGATTCATATCCTTCGATTAAACTAAAGAGATCTTCACTTTCGTGTAAAATCGAATCAGCACCAATAATGTAATCTGTAAATGATTGTAATCCAGCTAATTCAGCTGGTGAAGACGGATGAACTTCCTGGGAGGCGAGAAAAATTATTTATTTAATAATATTGTATATTTTAAACAAAAAAATTAATTAAATTATTATTAAAAAGAAAGAAAAAAAATCAATTTTTACAAGTTTATTATGTAGAGAGTTTGATAAAAAATCGAAAAAGAAGGTTTTTAAAATTTTTATTTCTCGAAAACGACCAGTTGATCATAAAAATTTTTTTTTAATTTTAAAAGTAGTTATTTATAATTTCTAAAAAAAAAATTGGTTGTACTTTTTGTTGCCTTATATTTGGTATTTTTCCTTAATAATAGGTGAAAAATTAAAAAAAAGTAGAGCTTGAAAAAATTTTTTGTATTAAAAAAAAACACACATTTTTTTCGTGATTTAACATCAAAAAATGAAGGAGAAAATAAAAAAAAACATTTATTCTTTAAGGGTTCACGACCTGTGAGTATTAGGTACTAAATATAAGGCTGTGTGTAACAGAAAAAACAAAAAAAAAATTTCTTTTTTTTAAGAAAATACAAAGCACTACATATAATTTTTGAGAAATAAGTTTTGAAAAACCTCCTTTTTTCGACTTATTACCGAACTGTTCCCTTATAGATCAACTTTCGTTTGAGATATGTTTAATATATATTTAATGTGCGTTTAATATTATATTAAATATTGAGTCTTAGAAAAAGTATAAATTTCTGGATTCTATTATATAACAATTTTTCTGTATTTTGAAACTTTTTTTTGAAATCGACTAAAAATTAATGAATTTTATTTTTATTATTACCCAAATGTGTACTTAATTTACATATTTTTTTTTACAATTATTATAATTCAATATCAATATTTTTTAAGACAAAAAATTCAGAAATAAAAAATTAAATGAAATTAAAAATAAATATTTAGAAAACAAAGAAGAATACCTTCGTAAAATTTTAGTAAAATAAGTGGTAAACTATGTCGACATTCAAATTCAATTACAAAACCACAAATTTTTTAGTGATTTCAAAATAATTTCCGAAAAATTTCGAAATTGTTTTCTGGTATTATTTTTAAATATATATATATATATATATATATATATATATATATATATATATATATTTAATAATAATATATAATAATAAATAATAATCTCAGAAGACAATTTTTTACTTTTTATTTAATTATAAACAAGGTTCGTAAAAATATGTTGAATAATTATACATAAATAAACTAAAAATATGTAATTAAATTTTATGGCCTTTTCCGGTTTTTCAAGGTAAAATTTCAGAAAAAAATTTAATTTTTAAGTAATTATTATCATATTTAAACAATAAAATTTCAAAATAAATTTTCAAAACAAAATTTTAAAAAAATTCTAAAATAGTAAAAATATAAATCTTTAACCCCTAAAGGACGTAAACTTTCATTGGTTAAAATTTCAATGTTAACAATTTTTCAATTTAAATTTTTAAACAAATTCTTTCTTGTAAGAAAGTTTCATTGAAAAAAAGCACAAGAACGTTAAAATCATTTACGAATAAATTTACAAGCCGAATGTTTTGAACGTTCAAATGAAGGAAATATTTTTTTCAATCTATAAATTATTAAAATTTATGATGACGAAGGTAAAATAAAACAGTTAATTAAACAATTATTAAATTAATAATTTTTTTTTAGATATTTAAAACAATATTTTGTAATAAAATTCGTACTTAAAGAAGTTGCAAAAAAAAAATGTTGATTTGAACGTTCAAAACTTTTGGCTCATGATAAATTTACAAATTAGGAAAAACATTTAAAATAGCAAATTTTTAAAATTTCTAATTGAATAATTAACATAACTTCTTCGTTTAGGCATAATTTTTTTTTTCAGATTTCTACGTTTTTCAGAAAATTATCCTTAAATTAAAAGAACATTTTTTAATTCAAACAAAAAAAAATGGTTTGAACCTGAAAATTTGAAAAGCTTAAAAAAATTCCAGTACTTTTTTATGATTTTTAGAAACTGTAAATTTCAATATCACTTTTTTTATTCTGATTTCCAGTTTCTTTACGAACATTGGTAACAAAAAAAAAAAAAAAATTTGATTTTATGAAAATCATGAAATAGTGTCTTACATTGATGTGCCTGAAGTTCTGAAAGTTCAAATGAACAAAAAATTTGTTCACTAATTTTTTAATTTCAAAATTTTATTATAAAATATTGCTTTTTGTTTCAAAAAATAAGTTAATAATTTATTGAATGTTTAATTTATAAATTTTTGTTTTTAATTGCTGTAGTAATTTTACAATAAAATTTATAGACAAAAAAAAATGATTTCGTACTTTTGAACGTTCAGAACTTAAGGTAATTAATTGCATGTAAAAAAAAATTTGTATTTGAAATGAAAATTTTTTTTTTTGAAAATAATATTACCTCAACAGCTCTCGGGTAAAATTTAATAGAATTAAATATTAATTTTGTAAGTTAGAAGAAATAATATTAAAAAAAAAAAAATGATAATTTTATACATGTATAAAAAAACAACTTACAAGGACATGCCAAATGTTTTCATTAGCTCCTTCAAAGGAGCAAAATCGAATGCTAACTCCAAGTAAACCTTGTCCTCCCCAAGTCATACTTGGTACAATTACAGTTTCCCTAACAGATTGTGTTTTACTACTATATACAGTAATCTGCAATTCCTTATCTATTCCATTTTTTAAAAGTTCCTTTAACGTGTCATTATCTTGATCCTATTGAGAAAATATTTAACAATTATTTCAATAAACAATCGACATCACTTTATTTCCTCTTTACATTCACTTGATTTCAATTTAAAGTATAAAATTCAAATTCAAAAATAATTTTTTTTTTTCGCATCTGTTAAGAAAATAATGTAACTTTTTTTTTGTGTGTGTGTATTTTTTTTTAAATAAACTTACCAGTCTAGTGTTTCCAATAGCTACAATAAAATCGAAAAAAGCCTCAAGACCGGCTTTTTGACCTGGTGAACCATCTTGTACCTGTGTTTAAAATAGAAGTTGTCATATTTTTGTATATTTTAAAAGTTTCATCATTGTGCAGGATTTACGTGTATATTTATATATAGAATATATTTTTTTGAAAATTAGGTTAAGTGATTTTGACAGATCATCATACCCGGAGAACGTGATAACCTTCAGTTCCGCCACCGGGAACTTCAATACTTTGCGATGATCCCATATTAAAACAAGGAAGACCGTTTAAGCCCCTTGACACAAATAATTAGCAAACATTAAAAATACTGTTTAATTGTTAATTCAATGTTAAGTTTTTCCTGTAAAAATACGTGGCACAAGTGCCATACAATAGGCATAAACTATATAAATTAAGAAAGATGGTAAAACATTAGAAATGATTTTCATGCATTAAGGTCTGTTCATAATGCACATTTTTGTGAAAATTTACAAATTAAAAAATTTATTGTAATTTTGTCTCTGGTTTTGTTTAATCCTTTTTTTTTTAATTCCACCAACAGAATAATAAAAATTAATTCTTAATTTTCCTGGCAACAATTTTTTATTTCTAGTTGTTAGTTATTGACTTTATAAACAAAGATACGAATATCTAAATATTAAAAAAGGAAAATAAGGAAAGGACGTGTTTTTTTGTAGTTTAAAACTTTTTTCTGAAATAAAAAATGATTTCAGGTTAAAATATTCGAAAAATGATAAACGAAGGTATAAGTAACATCGCTTTTCTGCTTATTTATTACATAAATTAACGGAAAAATAATAAAAAAAAAAAGCTATAATTATAAATATAGGGTGTTTTCGGGAGCTGCTGTGAGTATACTGTCAGTATGTTGTGATTGGCTGATCCATCAGCATGTTTATTCTGATTGGGTAATTTTTTACTGTCAGTATACTGTCAGCAACTCCCAAAAACACACATAAGGTTATTCAAGTTGGGTGTGGGAAAGCCAAGATGGATGATTGCTGGTGCACAAACATCCGGCCTATCAGCCTATCAGCATTCCCACGAGAAATTTCTCGTGGGAATGAATGCTGTGCACCAGCCATCATCCATCTTGGCTTTCCCACACCCAACTTGAATAACCTTACATATTAGGCTTTGTCAGTTCATCGAGATATTTCGAGTTCAAGATATGACGACAGAGGCCTGGAGGGACAACAAACAGACGACACAATGTTATTCTTATGGAGAAAAAAATTAGTTTCCACTTTCATCAATTTTATTCATATTTTAAACATGGAAAACGCTTGTTGACATATAATAAAATGAAAATGTGTGTTAATAATTAATTTTGTTATATATTTGATTCAATTGCATTGATAGATTCTCTGAATTCGTGACAGTTTATTTAATCCCCAAAATCGTATATATATAATATTACGATAAATCTTTGTATGTAGTACATACTATATATTTGTAATTTTGAATATATAAATACATTTAAAAGAAATAAAAATGTTTTCGAAAATACTTTTCCTTTGAAACATTTCTGTATAATTATGTAAATAAATATTTTAGAATGAAACAATCCAGAGAGCAGAAGTCTTATATTAACAATTACTCGTTAAATAATGATTAAATAATAAAACAGTAAATTAACATCCGGAATGTCTATTAATTAAAATCATTATTAATTATTTCTAAAAGATGAAGTTTCTTATCGGAGATGAGATTTTGATAATTTTTAACCACTAAGATTCGTAAATCATGCATGCTAAAACTATTGCGCAGCTGTAAAGGTTAAAGTAAACTATTGCACAGCCTTTGAAGTTTTTAATTTTTAGTAAAGAAAAACATGCAAGAACATGGACGTGTTCATGTACAAGTACTTATACATGAAATTGTACAAGATCATGTACATTTTCTTGTACAAGATTCAGCGTGAAAAAATACATGAAAATGCAGTATCGTTGTGTTTCGGGAAAAAAAATTTCTTTGAGCTAATCGACAAAAACTGATAAAAATCCTGAATTAAGGGCACATATAATTTTTTTTGCCGAAACACTACGTCAGTTTATTTCTTTGTATTTTTTCCTGCTGAATCCGAATACGATGTCAGAATTGTCAGATTGGCTCAAATTCCAAAAAACTGATTTTAAATTTTTTGAGTTTTTTGCAATTATCTCAAAACTTTGAGCGAATCTAATAATTCTGACTTTGGATTCAAATTCAGTGGTAAAAAATACATGGAATTACACTATCGCAGTGACATTCAAAATTTTTTTAACTTTTTGATTTTATTTTTCTTTCTGAGCAGTTTTTTGAGTTTATCTCAAAAATAAAAATCAACCTGGCAATTCTCACTTCGGATTCGGATTCAGCGGAAAAAAATGCATGGAAATAGACTAGTGAGTAGTGAAGTGTCTCGCCAAACCACTTTTTACTTTTTGTGTGCCTGATGTGTTATTATTAATTTTTATCAAAAACTGTAGAAGGGGGAGAGGATTAAAATTTTAGTGAAATATGAACAGTGGATTTTTTAAAAAATCACAACTACTGTATAACAGAGTGAAAAAAAATTGGATCGTTTTTTAATTAATTTATTTTTACATTAATTAATATTTCGAAAACAAAAAAAAATTTATTTAATTTGTTTATTAAAAGCATATATTTAAAACTTCATTTTAAGGGGTAAAAAAAAGAAATAAAAATTGTCCTTTATTAAAAAAAAAATGAAAAATATTTTTGATTTTCAAAAAAAGGGGTAAATTTGGAATATTTTAAAAAAAAATTTTGCACCATTCGAAAGAGTAGGAAAAAATCTTTCGAAATCATATAGGTCAACATTTTTTTCATCCCTTTTATACAATAGTTATGATTTTTCAAAAAATGCAATGCTCACATTTTGGCAATTGGATCACTTCAGGAATTTCGCCCTAAATGTAAAATGGACTGAGAAAAATGAATAGACTCCTGGTGAGATATTGTTATCTATATTTCTGTATTTTTTTTCATCCTCGCTCCAATCAGAGATCATGGAGCGCAGCAAACGCATTATCGATGAGTGATACATAATAAAATTCTTCAAAAATTCAATTATCTAAAAGCATTTTGCAATTAAAAAGATTTTTAAGTTCAATTTTTGTCTGTAATTTCTAATAAATTTTTCAATTATTTTCCAAAATTTTAATTGAATTTTAATAATTTTCAAAATTTTAAATTCGAAATCAAGTAAAATTCAATTATTTTCAAAAATTTCAATTCAAAATTAACTAAAATTCAATTATTTTCAAAATTTTCAATTTAAAATCAAATAAAATTCAATTATTTATTTATTTATTATAGTTTATTTGTTTTTGAACTACTAGTTTATGCAAAAGAGTAACATTGAGCTTTATTCATAACATTCTTAAAATAGAAAATTATTGACTGTACAGTTTCCTCAGTAGCTGGACATCAATACAGAAATCAATCACTGTTAATGTGTCGTCGCTTATTCGTAAAAATTGTTCTCTAATATCTCTATAAGAGTCGCATTCTATTAGTAAAAATGGTAAAGTTCACTCCCCCTCAAAATGAAACCTCCACAACATTGGTTGTCTTTCAACATTAAAATCTTATTTTTAACAATTATTCTTGAATTATAGGTTTTAAAGATATGATGTACTTTTTCGTTTCGACTTATAAATATAATAATATTCGACATTAAAAACTTGTTTTTCTTTTCTTTTAATAAGTCATAATTTTATTTTAGTCATTGTAAATATATAATATACACTTCCAACGACGTCAGATAAACCTTTCGACATCACACGTATGTCATTTTCAATATCAATATGGATACTTCAAAGAAAAAATTTTTTTTATTAATTTAGTTAACCTCAAAACATTTAATTAATGTCCATGTTTAATATTTAAGTACCTTATTTAAGTTCCTCATGTCCTTGTAACCACGAGGTAAATATTAATCAAGGACATTAATTAAATGTTTTGTGGTTAACTAAACCCTATTGAAAAAAAACACGTATAATTTATACGTATAATACGTATAATTACACGTATAATAATACGTATAAATATACGTATATTTATACGTATTATTATACTTGTCAATATTTTATAATATTTAGGTACATATTAATAAACAAAAATATATTCCATATTTATATATTTCTAAATATTAAAAATTATAGACATGTATTGGGATCGGCTAAACTGCAATACGCCATCTGGTGGGGACCCATTCTCTCCCTCCATTTTCTTTCTTTGTCTCTCTTCAATTAATAGGTTAGAAAGAGTAGAAAAAACAAAATGGAGGGAGAGAATGGGTCAAAGTTACTAGATTGTTACTAGACCACCGTTCCCAATTAGATACGTGTTTTTTTTGCACTAGGGAATTAATAAAAAAAATTTTTTCTTTGAAGTATCCATTGATATTGAAAATGACATACGTGTGATGTCGAAACGTTTATCTGACGTCGTTGGAAGTGTTTATATATTTACAATGACTAAAATAAAATTATGACTTATTAAAAGAAAAGAAAAACAAGTTTTTAATGTCGAATATTGAATTATAGGTATTTGTTAATCGAATTTGAGCGAAGACTTACGTAATTATTGACAAATAATATATATATAAAACTACAGCATGACACCGTATTTAATGAATAATATTAATAACTATAATAAAATTAAAATTGCACTGAATCAACAATTTTCTCAAGGTTACAATCTATCTATGATCTCTAATGGATTTTCTAGGTGATTGCATTTTGTAATCTATATACCTTCCCTTTTCTGTCCTTGTCTTACAAACGGGATTTCATATATATGTCGTAGGGAAATAGAAGAATCCGGGAGTAAGTCTACTTCCTAGGCAGTAGGCTTACTGATGGCAATTAGAGGAATTCACGTAGAAATCATTCACATTCATCTATTTGCGTAGGGAGTAAGCTTACTGCCCGATAAAGATTCGGCATTTAGACAACTTTCATCGTGTGTACATCACGTTATACTGCACTCCGAACCAATCTGCAGAATTTCATACATTTTGGAGTAATGATATAATTTTTTTTGACTTTTTTTCACTTCCATTAATCAAAATTGATTTCACTGCTTCATATTGCTGTTTACTCCACACGGATCTATTTCCTGTTTGAGCCTCCACTTTCGTTTTAAATTTTTTTTCAAATTCAAAGCGATTCACCGAATTAACTTCCATTATTAATAATTGTAATTAATTTATATAAAAAATAATAAAACGATAGAAATTAAAAATGAATAAAATCACTACTGTTTGCTTCAACGGTTCTAAGACGTTTGTAAATTGTAAATACAAATTTTTCACAATACCTATGAAGTCTTACACTATGAATATTAGACGAGGAAAATCTAGGAGTCATTAGTATCTAATTAAATTCATTGTTTTGAATTGCGACTTTGGGTTGATTCATAAACAAATACACGGATGACGATGTAAGTTGTCTAAATGCCGCATCTTTATAGGGCAGTAAGCCTACTGCACAGCAGTAAGCTTACTGCCTACGCAAATAGATGAATGTGAATGATTTCTACGTGAATTCCTCTAATTGCCAGCTGTAAGCCTACTGCCTAGGAAGTAGACTTACTCCCGGATTCTTCTATTTCCCTACGACATATATAATACGTATGTTAGAAAATGACAAAAAAAGTATAGGCCAGAAGGATCTTTTATGGTTTTATGGCTTTTCATTGCAAAAGTTAAAATTGTTGCATTTGAAAAAAATAATTTTTAAATATTATATTTGTAATGTACATATGTTAATAGAATTACAACGGTATATAATTTTTTGCAAATATTATTAAATTATTGAAAATTAATTTTAATTAATGGAGTAGATTGTTGTATAATCATTATGTAATTTTAAAGTTTGTGCATAAAGTTTTATATGATTGGAATCGTTAAAATCTAATAATTACAAATATAACATTTAAAAAAATATTCTTTTAAATTTAAATAATTTTTTTTCGCCATTGACATGAAAAAGTGTCTTTTTTGTGCCTGTTTTGGACAGATAAAGTAGCACTTTTTAAGACAGTTTGGGCCAACTGCCTAAAAAAGACTTTTTTTTTTTATTTATCAATTTTTATTATTTTATTTTATATACTATTTCATATATATTATATTATATATTATATATGTATATTATATATATTATATAAATATATATATATATTTATAATATATAATACATAATATATATATATATATATATTTCTTTAAAATTGTTTCACTTTTTCATAACAATGGCGAAAAAAATAGCGTATGTGGCTCGCACGTAGTAATTTTTAGGTTCGGATAATTTCAATAGGGTACTCGCTGTCTGTGCGACTTCGGTTGGACTTGGCTCGCTTTCGGCTCACCTACGTCGCAGTAACGACAGCTCGTACTGAAAATTACATCCTCACCTAAAAAGTACTACTTTACGTGCTTGCCACATAATATACTATTTATTTTGCGTTAAAAAGTCATAAAACCTGAAGGACCCTCGAAAGGACCCTTCTATTGGAAGAAGGGAATATATACAAAAGGTAAATTGTAGTGGGTAAAAGTAAATAAGAGGTTTGAAAGGAATAAAAAAAATTGTCCTGAGGATTTCAAATACATATTTAAAATTTTCATAGAAATTAACTATTCAATTTTTTAATTTTTAAAACTATTTATAGGATGTTTTGTATGTCTAGAATCCTGAAAAATTGAATCTTCCAAATATCTCATTTTCATATGAATAATACCAAAAATATAGAAAATTTTTTTGGGTGTACTTCCGAAAAGGTCCCCCCTTTAAATTTAATAAAACATAGGTATTCTTACGTATTTTGGTGCGTAGATTACGAAAATCGTAGTGAAAATTGGCGCAAATTTGATTATCATGGTAAAAACCATAAAAAACCCCATAAAATAATGATTTTTTACGATTATCTCGTAAAAAACAAAAAATTTCGAAAAAAGTTTTAGACAAAAGTTGTAGATCTCAAAAAAACACACATTTTATGTTTTATGCATTTTTTACCAAAAGTCATTATTTTTCGAGAAAAATCCAAAAAACGAAAAACACCATGATAATGAAAACATTTACAGCAGTCATGGTTAGACATATTATTTGACTCGTATATAGTATCATATTCACCATTAGTCAGGATCTAACGAATTTCGCAAAATACTTTCGGCCATATCCACCCCCTCACGCCAAGGTTTTTTTTAAAAAGAAAAGCGAGCAGTACCTTACCCGGCCGAGGGCCGTGTTTACTATTTTGCGTTTACCGCTGCTGTAGACTTCACCCCACAATTTCCGCAAATTACTTTCGGACCATTTTTCTCGAAAAATAATGACTTTTGGTAAAAAATGCATAAAACATAAAATGTGTGTTTTTTTGAGATCTACAACTTTTGTCTAAAATTTTTTTCGAAATTTTTTGTTTTTTACGAGATAATCGTAAAAAACCATTATTTTATGGGGTTTTTTTTATGGTTTTTACCATGATAATCAAATTTGCGCCAATTTTCACTACGATTTTCGTAATCTACGCACCAAAATACGTAAGAATACCTATGTTTTATTAAATTTAAAGGGGGGACCTTTTCGGAAGTATATCCATTTTTTTTTACAAATTTAATGGCTTTCAGGGAAAAATCCCTAACCTAAAAGTGTTTTCCCTTGCGAGATATTACTCTTAAATAACTTGAAATATTTTGTTCGAATTAATTAGATGAGGGCTCGCTGATTAAGAATCATATCCATTTTTACAAGTAATTTTGTGGTTATAAAAGTTGGATTTTTGACAGAAGTAGGGACAGACATTGAATCTATGTGGCGCCAATTTTAGCTAGTGGCCGCTGCTGAACTAACTTACCCCAAATTACAATATTATTGCAAAAATGGAGAAGAGTGATGAACTCAGTGACCCTTCCTCTATTATTCCTCCAAATGCCAACTCGAAATACTTTATCCTTTAAAGATGAGAAGTAATTTACGAAACCCCTTTTTTCCAATAATTATTTATCAAGATTATGCAAAATTCCGAGAAGAGCCCACTCCCAATAGAGTACCTTCCTGAGAAGAAATCAACAAAACCATTATTTTCTCCCGGATGCCCTTAAAAATCTAAAAAAGACACAAATAATATAAATAATTGAATGAAACATTTTGTAAAATGCATTTTATTCGATATTTCAAAAGTACAAATTTATAACGAGACTAGACAGCTACCGACTGCTTTTACCAAGTAAATTTTTTTTCATCTTAACTACACAGCATTAATCGAAAAATCGAATATTACATAATATGATATCTGCTCCAATTCTGATTAGTCTTTAAATAGGACAAAAAAGTGACAAATGACGTTGAGCGTCATTGATACTTTGTACTACACTTTTCTTTTCATATATTTTATATATATAATATAAAATTACAATTCACATAACAAATACTGAATTAAACACTTTTTTTAAACCAACTACATAATTAAAATCAATCATATTTTTTTTCTTAATATAAATTGAATGCTGCGAATATAGCTTTGCGCAAAGGAGCATTATAATTAAAAACATTTTGATACTTTGCCTATAAGATCAACATTTCACAATGGCTAATACAATGATACGCGTGTCTACTAAAAAGAAAATCTTCTTTATTAATATAATAAGAGTTCAATTAAATCTTGTATAAAGTTTTTTCTGCACATTCATTAAACTCTATTTACATATGATTGTTGGAACATAAATTATAAAAGGTATATATACGCTCAAAAATAAAAGTATAAAAATATACACGTTTGACTATATAATATACGCAATGAAAAAAAAGCTGCAAATAAATTTATTATTATTAATAATTAAAAAAAAAAAAAAAAAGAAAATAATTAATTCGTGTGCGATTATGTTAAAATCGCTCAAATATCAATTTATTTACAAAGGCACTGTTGTTGGGCCTTTGAAAACAAAAGTGATTATTATCACATTCAAAGTCTCGGTAATAATTTCTTTTTTTTATTTCTATTATATTTGCAATTATAATTAAATTAAAATTTTCTTTTTCCTTTTTATATTTGTTTCTTTGTAAATTTTCTTACATATTTCTTTTAATATTTAAAATCTATTTCAAATCTATTTCAAGTTAAACTTGGTTCAAAAAATTTTCATATCCAAATTTTTTTTAATGTCAGACATTTCTTTTTTTATTATTTAATAAATTTCTTATCAAAATTTAATGAATTTTTCAATATTGAGAAATATTTTAATGGGAAATTATTTTTGACGAAAAAAAAAGAGAATGTAGAGCGTAAAAATATTTTCTCTATCTTTTTTTTTATATCATATGCTATATTAAAAAAATTAATCAAAAAATTAAATGACAATAAATTAATTTCAATGAAGAGAATGATTGAAAAAGAAAAATTTTTTTTCTTTCTCTTTAAAGATTTGAAAAAATTTTATTTTTCATTTAAATTGCATAGTAAAAATATAAAGGGATTTTATAATCCATTTACAATTTCTTTTCTTTTTTGTATAAAAAAAAACTTTCATATCAGATTTAAATATTAATTATTACTATTTGATTGTGTGATTAATAAAATCTGTTAAAATTCTATTGCTAAATTTGATTCGATTACTGTAACTCGGATAATACAATTCTTTTTTTCTTCTTTTAAAATTGGATCTATTTTGTGCCATTTGGCACAGTGACGTAAATTTGTGCCATTGGATTCAAATTATTAAAGCAAGAATGGCAATATGATTTTCTATTTTTCTTTTTACTTATAAGAAAAAACTTTGTTCATTCTATACCTAATAGAGCCCATACGTATATTATTATAATTAATTAAGAATAATTGCTATCATTAACTTACAATTTATGAAAGACATTTTAATAGAACAGTGAAATAAATAGCGTGAATTTTAAAATTACAAACTAACATTAAAAGAACAAAAAAAAAAAACAACATTATTTTTTTTATTCCAAATTCAAATTAATTCAATTGCTTTTAGTTATAAATTAATTTGATTTAAATATTTTTCCAAAAGATATTAAATCTTATCTTTTGTTTGTTAGGGGACAAAAAAATTTTCATCTGTTCAGTTAGAATTAAAAGTGAACTAATGGTAGCAATTAATATTAAATAAAATTAATTTTTAAAGATCACTTTTGCAATGAATACTATTTAGACGACAGCTTATTATTTTTTCATTTTATGGTCATTTTTCTTTTGTTAATTTACTAGGGCGTAATAATAATGTTAATAAATCGTTGACATATTTAATATGCACAATTAATGCACTTTTTTCTTTCTTTTTTTTCATGAAGCAATTCGTCTATTCTATCAGAAAAAAATATAAATAGCCTAATAGATATTTTTTTTCTTAATATATATATAAATTCTTTTTTAAAATCTAATTTTCTGCACAATAAATATTTCCTCTTATTTACTTTATATTTTAGCAGGTTTGATGAGCGTTATTGTCAGCGTATATATATAAATTGTGTTGACCACATTCATTTTCTTTTTTTATAAATATTGTTCGTAATGATATACGCACATCTAATGAGAAATTTGTGAACAAATCTCACCTACTGAATTCTGGAAGTGGCTTTGCAATGCCTTCATTGTACGCTTTGTGAACAGCTTCACACACAAATCTATATTGACTCTGAAAATTGAAAAAAAAAAACCAATTATTTAATATCGCTTAATATTCGATATTTAAATTTTATTACATTAGAAAAATGAATTTATTGATTCTAATTTTTATTTTGATTTTGAATAAGGTTTTAATTTTTTTTTCAAAAATTACGAGTTATTAAAATTTTCCTTTTTTTCTAATTGAAAATACTTACAGCATTCTGTATCATCATTGCTCGTTGATCTCTCATCGATCGAACAATATCGAGAGGATATACAGGTTGATTGGCTTCTATCAAACACAATGCAGTTTCCATAAGAACAAGAACGCCAGTTCGTCCAATTCCTGCGGAACAATGAACAACTGCCGGTTCCACAATTCCTGTTCGTGCTGCTCTAACACGTTCAGTGAACGTTGTAAATTGTCTCCAATCATTTGGTACGCCATGATCTGGCCATCCACAATACTGCATATGCGTTATATCTCTCTCTTCACCTGTCTATTTTAAAAAAAAAACAAAAATTTAAATTAAATTTGATTAAAAATAAATTCAGTTAAATTAAAAGAAATTCTTCTATATAAAAATATAACTGTTCAATTGAAATAAATAATCTTTACTATGAAACGAGTAGATATTTAAATTAGACAAGAGCAAGATATTCTTATGTTATTATTATGTTAGAATTGAAAAATTTATTTAACCCTTTAAGGTGCAAATTAACTATCGTAATAATAATTTATCATCATATATCATTTTTAAAGTTTTTGGGATGCTGATTACAAATATGATGTCCTTTTTTTAAAATCCAAAATGGCGAATTTAATATGGCGGCCGAAAATTTAAAAATTCATCAGATTCGTTTAAAACAGTTTTCAAAGGGATTTTCGGGGTCGCTGATTACGAATTCTGTTTTTGTCAATTCAAAATTCCGGTTTCAATATGGCGGGTGTAATTTAAAAAATTCACCAGAGCATTTTGAATCTCATTACAATATTCAGGGGTTTTCGAGAACGCTGATTATGAATATAATAATGTTAGATTTTAATAATTCAAAATGGCGTATCTAATACCACGGCGAAAAAAAAATTTAATTAGTTTGGAATTTCTTAAAAGTTGTTATTTGAGTATTTTCGGCATTGCTAGTTTTCAATTAAAATATTAATATTTCTACCGTTTATAAAAGGTATATTTAATAAATTGTAATAAATGGTATGGACTATTTCATTCAGAATAGTAGTCCAAGATGAATAAATAAAGGCGCGTAGCGCGTAAAAATTAGTTCTAGTAATAAATAAAAGAACTTACATTGATATCACGAAGTATAAATTCACGAAAGACAAAAGTATCTTCCACTTTTTCCGAGGTAGATGTGAGCGTGAGGTTCCTTAACGTAAGCGTTTCATTAAGAAGTGGCCAATATTGATGACATTTGGTTCTGCCGCGTTCCACTAGCGTTGTTAACATTACAACAAGTGTGCTGCCAGCTTCGAGAACCATTTGCCAAAAATCTGCCACCGTCGATGATAATGGTCCTTGTGTTGCTATATATCTATTGATTATACCCGAACCTGGTATCTCCATATTCACATAATTGGCATTAATATAATCACCATTCACTGATCCCATCAAAATTACCCGTGTCACGTCGTCTAAAAATTAATAAAATTTCATTCAAATTTAAAAATCAATTCAATAAATTTAAAATATATGGGCATATCTCTAGAACCTTTAACTTTAATGTCCCTCGCATATATTTTGGTAATTTTAATAAATTTTTCGTTGGTTTTTGTTGGAAATATTAATGCTTGATACAATCAATCATTTCCAAAAGATTCCACTTTAATTTATTAAATACATAAATAATTATTTCAATTTTAATACGCGATTTTTAACAATCTCTACTTGTCCTTAACCATACTTTCTGATGCTTTAAACGATATAGTTTTAGATTTAATAAAAATTACTAATTCTGAAATATGTTTTTTCAATGTTAATTAATCGGTGAACACATTTTCGCAGGGAAATTAATATTTTATTAATTGTGAAAAAATTTATATAAGCTTTTAAAAGTTGTCCCTCACTTTTAACCTTTTCGACCGTAATCATCGTATTTATGATTTTTCTTTTATAAGACAAGCGGCACGTTAAAATAACTTATGGGAAATCAAAGATCAAGTTACTATAATTATTTTGAGACATAATAAATTGATGTGCTTCATGTCTTCAAAAAACTATTATAAGTTAAATAAACGAAAACACGCGTGGACAAAATTTGAAAACAACCGTAATACGAGTGATACTTGATGAAAATCATATAAAAGTATTCGAAAAGTACTTGTATATATTTCCACATGTGCCATTTAACATCCCGTGAATGTGCTTCGAGAAAAAATACTTTATTGCAAAGATAATGTAAAAATATTCATCAATTACGGTCGACCGTAATCGACCGAAATTTTTTAGAAAGAAATTGTTATGTACGAAGTTGCCGATTATAATTTTTTTTATAGAAACTGTCATTAATTATTAAAACCTGAAGGTTAAGTTTTAATGTTTATTTCGAGACACAAAAATGGATCCAAAAAAATTCATTCTGAAAAAAGATAAGATGCGAGAGAAAAGAAAAATAGAAAAGGAAAAAAGAGAAAAGAAATTGGAAAGTTTACGAATATTAAATTTAAATAGAAAAAAGTCTATGAAAATCGTATGGTAAATTTTAAAAATTACAATTTTACATTTTTAAAACAATTCACTATAATAAAAATCTGCTTTAAAATGTAATGTAAATATTCAAATAAAAAATTTATATATCTAGTTAATTTTTGACACATGCTTTTATACCCAGTGCATTATTTCAGTATTTTATTATTCATATAAATATTGAAAATATTAAACGAATTTTATTGCTTTTTAAAATTATAACCCCTTAGAAAATTCCCTTCAACTGTTTTTTATCCTAAAAAGCAAACACCTGTTGAATATTTTTTTGTTACAGGTTAAAAATAATTCTCAATTTTAAATATTTATAACTTTTTGAAGACAACTTGTTTTATCTGTCCACTTGTATAATTGGAAAGCTTAGTTCTTGAAGTTTATGTAGACAGAGTTTCAATACTGTGCTCAAAAAAAAAAAATTTTTTTCTTATTGAAAAGTTAAAGGTTTCAAAGATATGCCCATATATATTAAAAAAAAAAAATTAAAAATACGTTTGAGACAGATATATATATAATTTTTTATTTTTTTTTATAAAAAATAATTATTTGTTTTACGAATAAAAAACGTATAATTCAAAATGATAAAAATTTAATTTTTAAAAATGTAAAATTAATTATGAATATATAATTAATTTAATGTTAAATCTCTTGAATGTCGTGTATGAGAAAAAAAAAACCGAATTATTTACTCACATGGTGAAATATCTCTGTATCGATTTTTATTTTGATTTTCCGCCTTCTTTGACTCCAACGATGTCAATTCAGGATTTTTTCTATAAAGTTGTTCGTATTGCGCGATAAGAGCTCCACTAGCTAAGCCATCAGCAAGAAGAAGCATTGACTGTGCAAGAGCATCAGAACCAACCGCCGTATGTGGTACATCGGGCACATATCTAAGAAAAAAAAATAATAATTATTTTCACACATAGAAAGAAAATATTAAAAATAAAACATTTTTATTAACAATAATGTTAAATTAGTATCTTAATAATTAAATAGTTAATTTCAAAAAAGGTTTAACTTAGATTTTTTGAAATTTTACAGGAAACACAAAAATTGATGATTTATAATAGTAATTATTAAAATTATTATTTTGTAAAAAAAAAGAGTAAAAGTAATAATTTTGAATAATTTACTAATTGTAAAATAAGGTAAAATATTTAATTTAAAAATAGAAAACAAAAATTAATCAAATTTAATTATGGTAAAAAAATTAAAAATAATAAATCTTGAAAAAAAAAGTTCATTGTTGTATAGAAAAAAATACTTTGGCTATTTATTTATTTTTTTTTAATCTGTTTATTTATACCTGTAAGGTGGTTCTTCCTCAGAATTTTCATCAGTGCCAGCAAGAGCGTTATATAAAGCATTGGGTCGTACTGTCAATGTTAATTCACCGGTGCCAGTATCGCGCGATTGTCGAATTAAATTTACAACATGCTCGTGTAACATTCCATTTACATCGATTCCATTTATGTAAACAACCTAAATTACAAAACAGAAAAAATCATAAGTAAAATTTATATGTATAATATATATGAAATCATAATATAGTGATAATGAGCCAAAAGTTTTGAACGTTTAAATTAATTAATTTTTTTTTTTGCGTACGAATTTTATTACAAAATATTGTTTTAAATAACTAAAAAGAAATTATTAATTTAATAATTAATTTGCTGTTTTAATTTTTACATTGCAATCATAATTTTTAATAATTTACATAGATTGGAAAAAAATATTTCATTCATTTGAACGTTCAGAACTTTTGGATCATTAATGTAATTAAAAAAAAAACAGTTATTTTAACACTAGAAAAAGATATATTTCTCTTTTACCTGATCGCCTTCATTTAATTTCGGATAACAACGATCTGCAGGTGTATTGGGAGCAACGCGAGATACCAAAATTGGCATTTCCAAATCTAATCCACCTTTCACATTGAATCCAAATCTACCTTGTTCATCTGGCGTTAATCGAATTGCCACTAAACCATCTTCTAGAATTTGCTATAAAATAAATTAATTGACAAATAAAAACTTGTTTAAAAATAATTTTAATTAAAAAAAAAAAAAAATCATTATTCAGGTTTGGTTTATTTAAAATAAAAATTTTATTTTGTTTTAATCCTGATTTCCAGTCAGAATTTTAATTTTTTTCCTGATCCTAATAAAACTATTTCAAGGGGTTTTCAATTATAAAAAATTGAGATAATAATTTTCAGAAGCAAAAGTTTGAATTGAAAATTTCAAAAATTATAATTTTAATAGCATTTTTAAAAATTTAAATATTTTTTCAATAATTTTCATAAAATTCCCTGACTTTTCTCTGATTTTTCTAACTTGGGACCTTTCTAACCTATTATTATTATTATTATTATTATTATTATTATTATTATTATTAAATAATAATCTCGATGTTTAATACATTTCATTCACTTTATCTACATCTGGAGTTTTGTGTTTTAATAAGACTTTACATTCTTTTAAATTTAAATTGAAAATTGTATTTAACAATTAATTTATTTAATTTAAGAAAATTAATAATAATTTGTAACTTCTTTTTAATTTTTTTCAATTCTACGCTTACGCAGGATGTCTAGCACTTTTTCCAAATAAAATTCCAGGACTTTTTCCAGATTAAAATTTTTTTTCCATATACTATTTTAATAAATTTTAATGACAAAAATACTTTAAATGTAGAAGATTAAATTAATTTTTAATCTTTTTTCATTATAAACTATTAATAAATATATTTAATTTTTTGGTTAAATTACATTACAAGAAAAGTCAAAAAAATCGATTTCTTATTTTTAATAAATACAATTAGATAGTAAATATTTTATTATTATTATTATCAAACAATTGTTATTAGAAATTAAATAAGTTTTATTAATAATTCTCTAATCTGATTTATGCAAATTATTCGAATTCAGAAGTTGGAAATAATTAATTATACGAAGAATTTTAGAAATAATTAAATTTCAGGAGATTTTAAATCAAAACTTTAATAAATTTTAATTGAATTTTTTTTTTTTTACAAAATTTCTACAATAATTGAATTTAAAAGAAATTTCATTTAATAAATATTTTAAATAATAGAATTTTTAAAAATTATTGAATATAATTAATTTTGCGAAGAATTTTAATTAATATTAATTTAATAATTCAGTTTTGGAAGATGTAAATTTTATACTAAAAAAGTCGTATTTTGTTTAAAAAAATATTTTTAAAAAATTCAAGAACTTTTCCAGATTTTTCCAGGTTTTCAAAAAATTCCAGGTTGCTAAACACCTTGCTTAGGTATGCTAATTTTTTATGATTCAAATATCATTATAATAAAAAAAAATTTAATATTTGACGATTTCAAAAAAAACAATAAAAATTTTTGTAAATCCATACGATGGAAATATTATTTTTTTAAAAAATTGTCAATGAAAGTAGTAATAAAAATTATGTGAATGTAAAATAAAATTTAATTTTTAACATAATTAAATTTTATTGAATTAATAATAAGTGTAAAGCAATAGAAATAAGTTTTAAAAAGCAAAAAAAAAAAAAAAAAAAAAAAATTAATAATAATTATAATAATAGTAGAAATAAAATTTACCTGTGGAGGCGGTGAACTAGCGGGTTCACTGTAATCGGGAATATCGTAGATATTCCGTTCGACAGCCGTGTCGTCATCAGCATAACTAATGACTCGAGATCCTAAAACGGGAGAAAATGCCCCACCCTGTGTGTGCGTTGCTGTGATATCTTCCCTAGTTGATAAAAAACCGCCTTCACTGTTTAACAAATAAATCGAGTACAAAAATATTAACAAAATGAAACAAAAAAAAAAAAACCTATGAAATTAATTTTAATATTCTATTTCTTCTAATGTATATTTAAAAAAAATATATATTTTCTAATCGCTGAACAACCAACAATTTTCAACACTTATTTAAATTCATATTTTACAATATCAAACATTTTTATGAAATTAAATGATTTTGATACCTTCGAAATAATTCCTACTGCTATAATTTATTTTATTTAGTAATTAATTAGTAGTATATTTAAGTATTATAATTTGTTAAAATTAGTCGACGAACTAATATATAAAGAAATATATATATAATGTATTGAACCTACTATATTTTTAGAATTTAAATGTGAAAAAATTGACGAATGCAAATGAAGCTTTTATTTAATCATTTCTTTTTTCTTTTGCTAATAAAAATATTTTGTATACTAACTCATCACTGGGATTTCCTTCACCCCATGCTTGACGTGGTTCACGGGCACCAAGAGACTGTACTTTATTGTCATATGGCCTCGGTGGTCTTGCGGGAGGTGGAACAACTTTTCCTTTTTCCTCGACAGTCGGAGCTTGCGTTACACCGTGTACTAATCGTTTACTCGGTGATCTGCACGAAACACTGCGATCAATGTTACGATAATTTTCTCAATTTCTTTTACATAATTTTATTTAAATAAATATATATATCCTAATATAATTATTAATAATACTCAATAGTCAGAATTCAGAGTTTCTATACAAAAATCTGTAATTAAAATTAAATTTTTTTTTTTTTTTACATGATTTTTAAGATAATTTATAGAAATTCTAAGGATTATTGAATATTATTATTAGTACTATTATCATTATCATTTATTATTGTTTATTACCTTATAAATGTTTTCTCGACTCTTGCTCGATGTTTACCATCCTCAACTGTTTGGAATTCCGTGCGACCCGAATACGTGAATCGACTGCTCAATGTCAGTGGAAACCGTCGTGGTCTCATCTTAGGACTGTGAAGTCGAAAGAATGTATGATGCTCTACGCAGGCCTTCCACAAATTTTTCGAACTACGATATGTTTGCATGTTGAAGCCCAATAGAGTGTCATAATTTTCCGACTATACAATTAATAATAAAAAACAAAATTAATTACAAATTTAACTTTATTTATTTAACAATAGTTAACTATTTGTTGAAAATAAAATTGAAATAATGTAAACAACAATTTTGTGAAATTATTTTTTGCATATTATATTGTTTTTAATTTGGTGGAAAATAAAATTGTAATTAAAAAATAATTATGAGAATCTCTCAATTTTAATTAATTGAAAAAAAAATAATAATCTTAATTTGTAGATTTTCAAAATATAGAAATCAAAAATTTTACAGTTTTATAAAATTTACTTAACGATACAAATAAATTATAAATCCAAAAATAAAAGTAAAAAATTTCTTACCTGTTCTCTTCTAAGTTGAATAAAAAATTGTTTGCGCTTAAAGGAAATTTTCACAATTTTCGACCATGAAAATATATTGATTCTGATGTTATTTTGAAAGACAACTAATCCTATAGACGTGACACCCAATTGTATTTCCTTATTCGTCGAATCCTGTGGAAAGAGATATATATTTTTTTTTTGTTATTATTATTAATTTCTTTCTCTAAAATAATTAATGTAATCACAATTTTTTTTCTTTCGTTTTTTTTTTCTTTTTTTTTTAATAAACATGCATACCCTTGCCTTATGCAATTCGACTCCATACATATCCAGTCGTTTAGCATGATCCAAAAAATTGAATTCAGCATCTGCTGGCAGCTGTCCTCTATAAGAAAAAAAAAACACATTTTTTTTCCATTTTTAACACGTAAAAAAAAATTTCCATAAATATAATCATACTTGTGTAATTTGTGCAATTCTGCAATTTTCTTTTCCATTTCTTCGTTCTGACCGGGAATCAATTGTAAACGGGAAAGATAACCTGGACCATGTTCTTCCGGTTGATAGTCACCCAATTCAGCTGTAATTAAGACAAAAATTTAATTTTTAAAGTATTCTGTAATAATTAAGAAACAAAAAATTTTATATATAATAAATATTGAATTAAACAATTAAAAATAAAACTTATACTTAATAAAATCAAATTTTGTAAATAATTAAAATTTTTATTTTCGTCATTTAAAAAAAAAGAACAAAAATATTAACAAACAAAAATTAATTATATAAAAATTACAATGAGGTATAAAAAAAAAACATTCAAAACTATAAATTTAAAATAATCATTTGCAAAAAAAACAAATACTTACATTGAACAGTATAACTAGCAATGAGACAAGCAGTGCTCGAAGGAAGTTGCAATCTTCCTTGTAAAATGTCTCTTCTAATTTGTAAATAAAATTGATATCTAGTGTATTCCTCTTGCAATTTACTTGGATCTGACACGTAAAATTTCACTCTAAAGAAAAATTGTCCACCTGAAGAGAAAAAGTAGAAAAATTCTTCAAAAACTTTTTATCATCACTATTTACATGAAAGTAAGCTATTTTTAAAAAATCTTAAAAGCAGGATCTTTACCCTTACTTCTTATTTGCTTTTTCACGAGTTTAGAAGGGTCCAACCATCTCTGCAAAGAAAACAAAAAAATTAAAATTAAATTTTACTTTCTTTTTCTTTAAATTATATTTAATATAAATTTCTGTATCAAATTTTTACACACCATTACGTCTGGATTAGGACTCGAGGAATTTATGGTCCCATTTTCCGCATATTGAAGACCAAAATAATCTTTTTCAATTAATTCTAAATGTTGAAATACAAGATCTAGTAGAACTTGTCCCTTTGCACGTTTCTGTAATTACAAAAAAAAAAAAATGGATTAGGAAAATAATTATATATGACAAAGAAAGTTAAAAGGGACTTACGAGACAAAAAAATTTACAATTTTGTATTAAATTGAAACTCTACTATTTCATTTTTTTCCAAATTCAAGAAACTTAAAAATTTTCAAAATTTATTATATTGAATTTGAAAATAATTGAATTTCATTTATATTAAATTAATAAAGTACGTAAATTAATTAATTTTTTTCAAATTTGCTAAATTTGAAAATAAATATTACTTTTTTTTAATTCAAATGAATAATATTCATATTATTTATAATTTTAGAATTTCTACTCTTTCGCTACATTCATTGAATTTTTTAGATTTTCCAGGAAGAAAAAATGTATTTTTCCCGATTATTTATATAAAAGATTATGTATTTTAATAAATAATTAAAAGTTTCCACTATGTTTATTTGAAGTAATAATTACTTTTTATTTTTTATTTAGTTATCCAAAAAAAGGCTTCTGTTTATAACATTATAAACTCTGATATCTAAATTTGAATTAATAAAAGTTTTAACTAATTTAAATAGGAGACTGCTTGTTTTTACTAAGAATTAGTTAAATTTTACTAAATAAGTAGTAAAACAATTATTTTTAATAATTTAATGGTGGATTTTAATTAGTTCATAACAAAAAGTTTGTAACTAATTCAAAGTATTTAAAATTTTTATAATTAATAGTAAAATAATAACTCATTTAAAAAAAATATTGTAGTTATAACAAAATTATAAAAAATTCCACTCCTTTTTATCAAAATTAATTCTTATTATTCAATTTGACGAGACATTTTTTTTTATTTTCACTGAAAAGCTGAGGTTTTTTTTTTTTTTAAAAGGCTATGCATCTTAATATAAAAGTGGGATAACAATAGATTTTCAAAAAAATTTAAAAATCACGGAAAAACATTTTTTCTTTCATCTGTTCATTTCACTGGCAAAATGCTTAACTTTGCAATAAAAATAAAAAAAGAAAAAAACGTACAATTGAGTTAAATCTAAAAAATAAGACTTAATTTTGAAAAAAAGAAGTTTAAAATTTTATTTAATATTGAAGAGTAGTTGGAAAATCCTTCAAAAAAAAAAATATCTCTGTTTGAAAATTAAAATTTATTAGATACTTTTTAGAATTTTTTTTTTGAATTATTTAATATTTCAAGAATTTGTTGCTTTTAAATAGAATAATAAATTAGCAAAGTATCAAATCAATTACAAAACTTTTAACTGCGGGACAATTCGAAATTGATTGTTTTCCAGAATTTGAAAGAAAATTTCGATTAAAGAAAAATTTATTCAATTCAAAATTTGTTAAAAATTTTGTCAAATAAAATAAAAATTCAGTAAAAATAACAATTCAATTAAATGAAAATTCAATAAAAAGTAAATTTGATTATAAAATCAATCAAGTTGTATAAAATAGAGAAAATTAATAGAAAAAAAAAATTGTTTATAATTTAAATAAATATTTCATGTTTTCATGAGAATTCGAGATTTTTTAAATGCTGTAAAAATTCAACATTTATCTGAATTAATAAATTAAATTGTAATTATTAATTTTAATAAACAAATGACGTACATCAAGTTGAAATGTATGTTGAGTCTCATCAAGAAAAACAACAGTTGCTGAAAGAGACTTCAATCTCCTGTCTCGCGCCAGTTCTGCTCCTCGGACGTGGTAGCTCCCACTGGAGCCACTCAAAGCTCGTCGTGATACACTTTCAATCATCTCAAGAAAGCAAAGGGGAATTAACCACCTTCGCGGCACCACCTCTCAACCACTTTGACCACCTATTTTAAAAATAAATTCAAAAAATTATTATTATGTTAAAGATTAAAAAAAATACATTTTATAATATTTACGTAATTATTAATTTATTAAATTGTTTAATGATTTTTGAGGGAAAAATATTTCCTGCACAGTTGGCGAGCTAATTATTTTCAAAGCTACAATCAAGGTTTATAAAAGGGGAAGATAATTCTTCTTACCTTTCATCAATGAAATTTTTTCAGAAAATAAAAAAAAAAAATTTTCTTTTTTTTTTATGTACAAAAAACAAATTGATCAAAAGGTTATGTGATGTCATGTGTTGTTCCCGGTGAAATAATTTTTTTTTTATTAAGTCATTAACAATCTCACTGTTTGTAATTTTATTGAATTTCAAATGTTAGAGAGAATAAATTGAAATACTTGGCTGACAAACGCTAAGAATAAATTTAATAAGATTTTGATGATTTTTCGTTGAGTTATATAACTTTGTGAATACTATTTAAAGTATATGTGGAAGTAATGTAGAGCACAGTATTCTCAAAATAGTTTAAGCATCAGGCTAATCTAAATTCTCGTGAATTTGAATTTCTCTGTTGGTAACTGCACTGTTTGTCGCAGTGAAAATAAAGCTTTCCAAAAACAACTAAAACAAGTTTTATTTTCCATTTTTTTTTTTTTTTTTTTTTTTTATAGTGAACACGATTTTACATTAGAGGGTAAAAAATTACGAAAAAAAAATGAAGAGTTACTGTAAAATAAATATTTGTAATAAATATTTAACAATAATTATTCAATTAGAAAAATAAAGAATTTAAAAGACAAATGAATAAATACGAACAATTAAACGCTCTAAAACAATTAGTTTTGAAATTTATAAAAATAATAATTGTTTATCACATAAACAAAGCAAATTTATAAAATAAATATTACTTACATTCATGATACTTATACTCGAAAATGTTGGATGATTCTCTATTAATTAAAAGAAGATTGCTGTAAAAATGAAGATTATCATAAATTAACAAATGTATATAAAGTAAAAAAAAAATAAATAAATAAAAACTATTTTTAAAAAATTACCAAAAAAATTCGATTACAGAAATTAAATTTAATAAATGAAAAAGTATCCTAAATTTGTTAATTCTTGAAAATATTACTCAAGGTAATCGATTGTCACAAAGGATAATAATAGATTTTCATCAATTAACAAGACCTTATAGGTTCAAAATAAATTTATCACAAAAAAATCATTTCTAACGGTTTAATATTAAAAAGACAAAAAAAAAACTACAAATTTTAAATAATTTTATCATATAAATTAAAAAAAAATGTTTAAAAAAAACACATTTAAATATTTAATAAAATAAAAAATGTTACTTTCACTCACGTCGCTTATGAAGACGACCAGTTATGAGAAAGCTGCCTATGAACGCCAAATGTTTCAACCACTATGCTAAATGTATGTTCTCGATGACATTTTTGATTGTTTCTCGAATCTTTAGTGTCAAATAAAGTAACACTAGTGACTCATGCACTTCTCGAAGGTCATAAATTTAAGGAAACCACAATTACTTTCGAGATTAAAAGATAAATTATTATATTTAATTAAAGAAAATATCTAATGATTTGTAAGAGTCACAGCAAATTACACAAGTTGACGTTCCATAAACTATAAGCAATCTATAGAGAGGAAATTTATTTGTGCTTGTTGTAAAGGGAAAGTTACCCTTCTTGAATATATTTTTGTCACTGTCATGAAGGTCAACCAGGGTTGCGCAGTTACGCGTAACTCGGTGTTTCTTTTTACGTATATTACGTGTAATTTATTTTTAAATTAATTACGAATATTACCACTACTATTAAAAAATGCATTGTTTTACAGAAAAAGTATGTAATTTACGTATGTAATATATACTTATGGAGCATTTACATGTATGGTAAAAAATTTTCTTCATTTTGCATTTTCCGAAATACACATACCTGATTGGTTGTCCAGAATTTGATTCATTGTGGACAACCAATCAGGTAAGTGTATTTCGGAAAATGCAAAATGAAGAACATTTTTTACCGAAGGTGTAATGTAATGTAAATGCTCCATCCTTTGTCATAATTCTCGTCAACTTCCACACCCTGCTCTAGAGAAAATTTAGTAACTTTTAATCACTAAATTTTCACTAAAGCAGGGTGCGGTAATTGACGAGAATTATGCTACGTTCACAGCTCGGCTGCCTGCCTGCGGAAAGACGAGGCAAAGAGGCTCCGTGAGTGTGAGCGAGAAGAAAACTTTGAATTTTCTTTCTCGCTCACTCTCATGTCGCCCCCTCGCCCAATCTTCTCGCAAGCAGGTAACAGAGTTGTGTTTTTAGTATCGTATATGACTCATGTGTTTTCACCAAGAGGTACATACATCCCTTTTATATTGCGAAGGCTCCATAGAGACCTGAGTTCCACGGTCCCTCTTTTATAACAGCCACATGTTAAAGTTTGACAATTTTTAAAGTTGTAACAGTTCTTAATCCAGATGACAATTTTAGATAGCAACTAAATCTTTTTTATTTCTATTTTTTTTGTAGAGTACGTGATATTTTTGGTTTTCTCGATATTATAATTGTTTCGGTATTATTTTGAAATCATAAATTTATATTTGCGAGAGTAAAAATTTTTTCTCAATCAAGAGTAATATTTTTTATTTCAGGCAATAAATTATTGTTACTATTTTTAACATCTTTTACAGGACATTTTTCTTTATATAAAGAGATAATCATTATTATTTTATATATTAATTATTGTTAGCAATTTGCATTTTACTGTGTATTTAACTAGTTTCTTTTCTAGTAAATTAGGTTTATTTTTTTTCTTTAAAGGTGCCGTTCCATGACAGCGTAAAAGCGGAGAGCATGAGAACGAAAGAGATGAACATATCTCACTATCTCTTTCGTTCTCATGCTTTCCGCTTTTACGCTGTAAAGGCCAGAGCAGAATAGAAACGTAACCGAAATCGTAAACGCAACCGGAAGAATGAGTTAGAGAACGATAGACCTATTCTGCTGAGGCCATAAAGGCCTTTCTCCAATAGGATCCTAAACTCTTGCGTTGCGTATGCATTGCGTCGGTTGCTATTGGCAACCAATGCTAAAATCAACGCGTCAGTCACGCAACGCAAAAGTTTAGGTTCCTATTGGAGAAAGGCCTTAAAGGCCTTTCTCCAATATATTCCTAAATGTTTGCGTTGCGTGACTAACGCGTTGGTTCGCAAGCACACTGACGTTATCAAAGCATTGATACCAATCGCTAAAAAAAAGTTTGGTTTATGATTTGAAGACACTGAATTTTTTAATTATAAATATTAAATAATTAAAATCATTAAAAGCCGCCGAGAAACATTTGCATTAAAAATTGTAAAGTTGGAAAACAGGGATAAGAGGATCATAAACCAAACTTTTTGTTCGCGATTGGTATCAATGATTTAATGACGTCACTGCGCTTGCGATCGAACGCGTCAATCACGGAACGCAAATATTTAGGAACATATTGGGATCAGAAATCACGTGAAACTGACCCACCCCTGAGCCTTCTTGTGACAACCATCTTGGTTTTTTATCTCTTTCTTTTGTATATGTTAGAGAAACACGGAATGAAAACATGGCCACCACAACAAGGCTCTCACCAGATGGCGTATCGCAGTATTTCAGATCCCAATTGGAGAAAGGCCAAATGGAATGCGGACTTTCAGTGAAATGGTGAGTTTTCATTGGCTGCAAGTCGATATGTAAAGTGAACTTCCTGACGTCACAAAATCAAATGAGTGACGTCAGTACGTCCACGTTTGCACAACCAATGGAGACTCAACTGAAGTTGCTTTTTGAGAGCACTCGTGGTCTGTGGTCAGATACCTATGCGTATACTTTTTTATCCTTTTCTCATCCACATGTTGTCATAAAAAAATGTGCATTAGAAAGGAGCAAAAAGAGAAGGTATGAATGACAACGAGCGTAGAAGAGTAAGAAAATTCAAATTTGAACATCTTACTCTTAACTATTATAAATCAAGTAAAAAAATATATTAAAATATTAAAGATAAAATTAATTCCTTCGTAAAAAAATATGTTGGCCCTGAAAAGGGCCGATTGTTTTCGGAGAGATCAAGATAGATTTACTTGGAGCTGGTGTACTTGGTGACAGCCTTGGTGCCTTCAGAGACGGCGTGCTTGGCGAGTTCACCAGGAAGGAGAAGCCTGACAGCAGTTTGAATTTCCCGGGAGGTGATGGTGGACCTCTTGTTGTAGTGAGCCAAGCGGGAAGATTCGGCAGCGATACGTTCAAAGATGTCGTTGACGAAGCTGTTCATGATGCTCATGGCTTTGCTGGAGACTCCAGTGTCGGGATGAACTTGTTTCAACACCTTGTAGATGTAGATGGCATAACTTTCCTTCCTCTTGCGCTTCTTTTTCTTGTCAGTCTTGGTGATATTTTTTTGAGCCTTACCGGCTTTTTTCACAGCTTTTCCACTTGCTTTAGGAGGCATTTTGAATTTTCAGAGACAAACACGTGTAAACTCAATGAGAATACGGAGTGAATTGATGCTCGGCCCACAAACCGGGTTTCTTTTATGTTCTGTCGCAGTGGCTATGCTACATTGTGATTGGTTCGTGCACTCGTTGTAAATGCCCACCTGTCACAGTATTGTGGTAGAAGAAGAGTGGTGGGGGACCCTAATGGAAGTGCATAAATAGTCGATTTTACAGAAATTTTTGTATTAGTCATCCAACCTTTGAGTTGTTCGTTTCTTTGCTACTAAACTAAATCGAAAAAATGTCCGGACGTGGAAAAGGAGGCAAAGTCAAGGGAAAGTCAAAGACTCGTTCCAACAGAGCTGGACTTCAATTCCCAGTTGGTCGTATCCATCGTCTTTTGCGCAAGGGAAACTACGCTGAGCGAGTTGGTGCCGGAGCTCCAGTCTACCTCGCAGCAGTAATGGAATACTTGGCTGCTGAAGTTTTGGAATTGGCAGGAAATGCCGCTCGTGATAACAAGAAGACCAGAATCATCCCCCGTCATCTCCAACTTGCCATCAGGAATGACGAGGAATTGAACAAACTTCTTTCTGGAGTCACCATTGCTCAGGGTGGTGTTCTTCCCAACATCCAGGCTGTGCTTTTGCCCAAGAAAACCGAAAAGAAAGCTTAAAATTCTACCAACATCCTCTCTCAAACAATCGGCCCTTTTCAGGGCCAACAAATATTTTTTACGTGTGAATCTTTAGTTCCTTGCATATTTAACACTAACCATGACTGTCTATTTGAGCCGATTGATCTGACAACGTGTTTCGGCAATATATTCGTAGATGCTGATTATTTGTACTGCACTGAGAAAAAGAATTATTTGTTTCAAACATAAACACCAGTTAAAATGATTTTGATTGATTCAACACAGTTTGTATGTTTAAATTTAATATATTGAAAATATCTACCATATTAATTTAAACATATTATTTGTTTGAATGTTCTGTTTGATTTAAGAAAAATTATATTTGAATTAAACATAAAATATGCTTAAAAACTTCATATTTCAAATCAAAATTATAATATGTTTGAATTAAACTTAAAAAATATGCTATTCTATCGACCAAAAAATATGTTTAAAGTAAACTTAAATACGTTTGACTGTATATCAAAAACATTTTAAGTTTAATTCAAACAAAATATGTTTGAATCAAACATATAGTTTTCTCAGTGTGTTGACAATTATTATTATTCCTAAAAAATTTGATTTTTTAAAAAAGTGTAAATACAATTTTGTAAAAAGATGCAAACTGTGGTCGAAATCCAAAGCTCGTTATTTTCTATAATTATATTTCCAAAATCTAATTCTCATATCCTTTTTTAAAAAAGATAGTGCATGCAAAGCACATAAAAATGTATCAAAATATCTCGATGCTTGAAAAAATGAACTTTGCTTTCTAGCATCTAAATCAATAATCATTTTATGAAAATCACCTTAAATTATTGTTCTACATAATATACATTTTGCATAACTTACTTAAATGCAATAAATATACACTTGCAAAGCATTTATTTGTTGTAAATGTTTGCAGCTGTCATGAATCTGAAACGAACATAACCTACATTTAGTTGAAATCATCTGATTGGCCCAAGACAAAATATAAAATAATTGAAATAAATTAAATTATTATGAAAATAATATTACCTTGAATAAAAAAGTGTTTTTAGTTTTAAAAAAAATGATTATCATTTTCAGAATACAAATATAACAGATTATTATTTTTCTGTTTGAAACTTTCTCTATAATTACATGCCATTTTGCATTTTGTTAACAATATTTTTAAATATTTAATAAAATAATTGTAATAAATTATAAAACATAAATTAAAAATTACATTGAATGGACAAAGAATAGAAGCAAACGGAGACGGGCAAAGGCCGTCGCAGGCACTAGTCCAATAAAATAAACACTTCTTAACAAAGTCGTAAATTAATTAAAATAGCGAAAGGAAATAGGCTTACAACTTTCTTTTAATCCTAGCTATAAAATATAAGAAATCCACTCGAAAAAGTTGTGAAATAAAAAAAAAAAATTACTCCACTTCATACAAGCTTATGTTATGAGTATTATGCTTTAAAATATATAAAACGGTAAGTGTAAAGGACGTAGTGTAGGATTATAGTAATACTGGATACAGCATAGAATAAGAAATCTATAAAAGTCGAAATAAATAATACTTCAAACAGTGTGTTTGTTGAATTTTATCAAAGTGATAATAGATAGTAGAAAAAATTGTACTACTAAAATGAAAATTAATTTTTTTCTAAACAAAATGTCACCACTTTATGAGAATTTCCGAAATAAATTATTTTCAAAATTTTAACAATTACTTTATTGTATAATATTTACCTTGAAATGGAAATTTAAAAAATTATAACATTCTACATATAAATTAATACATTCTATTATAATAAACTGTAAATTATGATTAAAAGATCAAAACAAATTCCTTCGTATAAAACGTGTGGTGGCCCTGAAAAGGGCCGTTTGTTTACAATCATCCTTTGAAAATGTCATAAGAATAACATTTTCACCTTCTTACTTCTTGGCAACCTTCTTTGCCGCGGGCTTTTTTGCTTTTGGTGCTGCAGCTTTCTTCGGGGAAGCTTTTGCCTTTTTTGGAGCAGCTTTAGTGGTTTTAGGTTTGGCAGCGGTGGATTTTGCCTTTGGTGGTTTTGCCGCAACTTTCGGGGTCTTCTTCTTTTCGGCAACAGCTTTCTTGGTCTTGGCTGCCACAGCCTTTTTCGGAGAAGCTGCTTTCTTAGCCTTAGGAGCAGCAGCTTTGGGTTTAGCAGCAGGAGTCTTAGCCTTGGGCTTAGTTTTACCTTCAGCCTTGGTGACGTTCAATTTGAAGGATCCTGCAGCACCCTTTCCCTTGGTTTGAATCAAGGCCTTATTGGCAACTGCAGCTTTCAAATACTTTCTGATGAAAGGGGCTTGCTTCTCGACATCGACTTTGTAGGTGGCAGCGATGTATTTCTTGATGGCTTGCAGGGAAGAGCCACCTCTTTCCTTCAAAGATGCGATGGCTGCATTAACCATCTCGGATGCTGGTGGATGACTGGCTTTAGCGCGTGGCTTTTTTGCCTTTGCAGCTGCAGCCTTTTTAGGAGTTGCAACTGCAGGCGCAGCTGGTGATTCTACTTTATCAGTCATTTCGATAATGAAATTTCGGAAAAAAGTTTAAGAACTCTTGATATACTCTCGACGCAACTGGTGAGACAGTAGTAATAATTTTTTTAGTCGATCGGTGACCTATTGAATTGCACGGACGGTGAAGAAAGTCCCATGAGCTCTTAGGCCGCTTGCCGTTCGAATTCTTGATAACTTGGGAACGACATTCAAAAAATTTGTCAAATTTTAAGTGTTAAAGCTTTGACATATTGTTGTAAATATTTTTAATTTCAATTTTACGATTATTGTACTTTTTGACTTATAAAAAATACATTATACTTTTATATCATTCTTCGGTAAAATTTAGCATTTTTCGAAGCTCTGCTTTCAACTGTCAGGCGTATCAAGTTTCGAAAATTATAAAAAATACGTCAACAAATTCTTTTATTAAAAATTTAATTTTTCAAATCAATTCTCTATTTATTTCTGGTTATGGATATTTAATTTATTTTTTTGTTAACAGTAAACTGAAGGTCTTACGAAATGTTAAAGTTCAGCATCAGTTCTAACTTTTGAAATGGAAAGCAAACGTTTAGAGTGCATGTCTTGATCAATAATGAAAAAATTAAAAAATTGTGTTAGCATTGTTATATGTATATTTATAAATTAAAAATTTTTTTTTTTTTAGAAATTTAATTTTAACTATAGACCCAAGAACTGCAAAAATATTTTCGCGCGTCTCGATTATAACTCCTATATTTACTACTTTTAGCATATATACTAATCAATAGAATGAATTTTAAAAGTGCATTATTTAATGTGATATAGTATATTATATATTATTTGAAGTTTGTATTTAAATATTTATTAATTATATGACAATTAAACATATCGTCCAAATAATACAGAGTTGCTACAAAAAGAAAACTTTTAAATTCCATAACTTTTCCTGGTTTTTTAGACCATTTTAAAAAAATCTTAAATTTGAATATAAAGACAAAATATAAAAAAACTTTTAACTAAGTACGATAAGTATTATTACTACATTATTAACAGTAACGTAATAAATGTAATGTATAAATATTAATAATAAATTAAATTTTTAATTAATAATTATGGTTACTTTGATTTTCATTGCTAAATATTATTGGATTTTAATTATTAACAAGTAAAAGAATATAATCTTATGCTACTTTAAATTTCATTTAAAAATAAGAGTTATTAAAATTAATTGTAAAATCTTGAAATAAAATAAGCAGAATCATTTTTATTAACATTAATTATAATAAACACTATTATATTTTTAATTAATTACATACCTACTTCTATTTAATTTATGTTTTACAAAGAAATAAAAAAAAAATAATTTAGTATTTAAAACTTTTAAAAATTTTAAGACAAATTATTTTAAGACTAAAAGTTAAAAACTATTGTTAAAAGAGATATCTATATTGAATTTAAATCATTTAGATTTTCTTCAAATTAAAAAATTTCGACTCTTTTCTGGATATAATAATATCAAAATACAGAAAGAAAACATGATAAATTTTTAATTTTAAAATCATACCTAAAATAGTTATGTAATTATTAGATTCCTTTTCTAGAAATGGATGTCTTATAAATATAAAAACTTTCTATAACATGCTGTATAAAGAAAATTGTAAACAATATTGATTTTAATCTTGTTTTTGCTTATATTTATAAAGATTACTAATGTCCACTAGAAAAATAAGGTGGGGAGCAGGTTTTACAAATATCGTCTTTTCCCTGACCAAAAAAAATTCTGTTTCTTACGAGTAAGTATATACCAATAAAAATTGAAAATATAAAATTATAATTAAATAAAAAATAAATATACTAAAAAAAACCAATATATTTGACTACCATAAACTACCTTGCCTGATACTATAGTTCCTCAACTGATTTTAAAAAGTTGTGTGTAGTAAATGAAACTAAATAAGTAGACAAACTATAAAAAAATATCTGAAAAGAACAAGAGTACTTCAACGTAAAAAAATGTGTTGGCCCTGAAAAGGGCCGATTGTATTTTTGAAGGTTGTTGTAAAAAACTTAAGCACGTTCTCCTCGGATACGACGAGCCAATTGGATGTCTTTTGGCATGATGGTGACTCTCTTGGCGTGGATGGCGCACAAGTTGGTGTCTTCGAAGAGACCGACGAGGTAAGCCTCACTAGCCTCCTGGAGAGCCATCACAGCAGAGCTCTGGAAACGCAAGTCGGTCTTGAAATCTTGAGCGATCTCACGGACCAAACGTTGGAAAGGAAGCTTGCGGATGAGGAGTTCAGTGCTCTTTTGATAACGACGGATCTCACGGAGAGCGACGGTTCCTGGCCTGTAACGATGGGGTTTTTTCACTCCACCAGTTGCAGGCGCGCTCTTTCTGGCGGCCTTGGTGGCGAGTTGTTTCCTTGGTGCCTTACCACCGGTGGATTTACGAGCGGTTTGCTTGGTACGTGCCATGACGATGCTGCAAGTTCGGAGACTAACAAAACAATGAAATTTTGCGGGAAAAATGCTGTATTTATGGACTTTCGACCCTTCTGTTCAATAAGCAGCTAAAGGGAGGGGAAACTAGCAACACGATTGGTAGATTGAAATTGTGGTGGGAGAAGTGTGCCACACGATGTTATAAAATAATGCTTACTTCCCGGGAAAAGCATTCTCAGTTTGTTCTTCGTTCGAGTTTGACGTACGAACTTTATTATCTGCAAAAATGACTGGTCGCGGAAAGGGAGGTAAAGGTTTGGGAAAAGGAGGAGCAAAGCGGCATCGCAAAGTTTTGCGTGATAACATCCAAGGTATCACCAAGCCAGCCATCCGTCGTTTGGCTCGTCGTGGTGGAGTGAAACGTATCTCCGGATTGATCTACGAGGAAACTCGTGGTGTTCTCAAAGTGTTCCTTGAGAACGTGATCCGTGACGCCGTCACTTACACCGAGCACGCCAAGAGGAAGACTGTCACCGCCATGGACGTCGTCTATGCTTTGAAACGTCAAGGCCGCACCCTTTACGGTTTCGGCGGTTAAATATACACGTCATCATCATCTGCATACAATCGGCCCTTTTCAGGGCCACCAAATTTTCTAACTTTGGAATTCTTTTTTTTAAAACATGTTTTCAAGACAAAAAAATAGTTTCCTGTTGATTGATTTTGTTAGTAAAAATTTCATTGTTCGTGAGGACATTGATTTTGTTTAGCTGGCAGTATGCTATTAAATGTAGAAGCGACACTATGCGGTTGGTTTCCATTGTCTCCACTCACCATTTGTCATTCTCTTCAACTACGGCACCCTGCTCTAGTGAAAGGTTAGTAACTTAATTTTAACAATAAAGTCACTAAATTTTTACTAGAGCAGGGTGCGGTAGTTGAAGAAAATCATGGCGAGTGGGGACAATCGAAACTAATCCAGCTGAAGGTATTTTAACCAATAAAAATTTTGTCTGTTACAAAAAGGTAACATTTGCTGTAAGAGACTCCATTTTGATTGGTTAAAATCTATTCTGCAAATCTGCTCCATGTGACAAAGCCATTATAAGCGATTATGTTCTTTGTAACGAGCGACTATATTCTCGCTCGAATAACTTTTCGATATCTCGAATTAACGATATTTACGCGCTAAATAATAAATATTCAAAATATTAAATAATTAATATTTTTGTATTCTACAATTAATTCTCACATAAATTTAGCAATTGAGGAAACTATAAAAAGTTAAACTAATTGTAAACTAATACCGTCACGTTTTAAGTATTTTCAAGTCTAATTCTCAAATCAAAGAATATAAACAGTTCTAAGAAAAGTCATAAATTAAGTAAAATAGCAAAAAGGAATATGATTCTAACTTTCCTTTAATCCCAACCATGAAATAAAAACCCTTAAAGATCATAAAAAATCCACTTGGAAAAGTTGTGGTATTGATCAAACAAAGGATAAAATATTTGTAAAGAAATATTTTATATCAACTAGATTTTTACATTAAAAATATAAATGAAAAATCATCATCTTCTCTATAAAATATTATTAAATATATAATCGTGGTGTGTGTGTGTGTTACTTACACAATAACAAGATAATAAATAATTATTACAATTATTAATACGTATGAGTATGTTATATTGTTAATTATAATATTTATAATATAATAAATATTATGTATAAGATATACCTTGAAATATATAATTAGTAAAGTGTATTGGGATCAGAAATCACGCGATACTGACCAACCCCTGAGCCTTCTTGTGACAACCATCTTGGTTTTTTATCACTTTCTTTTGTATATGTTAGAGAAACACGGAATGAAAACATGGCCACCACAACAAGGCTCTCACCAGATGGCGTATCGCAGTATTTCAGATCCCAATAGTAAATAAGATACGTAGTGTTGTGCAGTGCAGTATTGCTGGAAACAGCATAGAATAAGTAAATATAAAGAGCATGCGCAAAGAAGCCACATGGACTCACAGCTGAGCGCTTCTCCACTACTTGTACTTTATGCTTTACGCAAGAAGACTAGAAACAGGAGGAATAACTCCAGTGGTGGGGGTAAGAGAGCGTTGAGGCAATGTACGGGCACATTGAAGGTGGCAAGCAGTTTGTGCAGTAGACCAAATTACGTTTCTGCGCATACTGACATGATTTCTGCTAACTTATGTTTTGTTTACCTGTTTGAAAGAAATCACGTGGAACAGAAATTTGCAATCGTTGGATAATTTTGTTGTGTGCAATGTTAAAAATTGTGATAAATAGAAAATAAATTGTAATGTAAAAATGCCTTCAAGTTGCTGTGTTATGAATTGCTCAAATAAAGGTGATAGTGGTGATAAGCACTTATTTAAATTTCCAAAGGACGAGGTAAGTTATAAATTTGAAACTCATTTAATTTATTATTATAAATAATTTTCTCATTAAAAATAGTAAATGCAAAAGTTTTACGTTTATTTAGTATCTATTGTTATATTTTACAGAAAGTGAGAGATGTTTGGATAAATGCTGTTGGTCATAACCTTAAAAACGGAACATGTGATAACAAAAATCTTTTTATTTGCAACAAGCATTTTGATTTATTATTTTCCCGGTCAGATTTACTTTTAAATAAAATTACAACATGTTATAATGTTTTGTAGCACTTTCATTTTGATTTCTTGCTTAATATTTTTAACCTCACTATCATGATGATACATTCAATATATCGTCTGCTCGGCAAACGCTCGAGAAGCATTCACACATGTATGCGCGGATGTTTCATTTTTTCACTACTGCGCAAACTACCGGAGTCCTTCATTGTCCTCCGAATTTGCTTCACCCCCACCACCGGAGTTATTCCTCCTGTTTCTAGTCTTCTTGGCTTTACGTCAGATCTTATCTTGCCTTTGACTTGTCGAGTTCGCTCCAAGTCAACTTTGTATTTGTCTCCTTCTATATTTAAGAAAAGCTTGGGTTTTAATCTAGAAGTTGGAACAATTAATAATTGGTTAATTCGTTATCTAATTATTATTGTTCGTCTTCAAGAGGATTTTCCCTCCGTTTTAACGGAAATTAATTGTGTAATTATTTAAACTTTCCCGGTTCATCTTAATGATTAACACTAAGGCTGAATCCACAAATAACGAGTGAAATTGCGCTTGCGCAATTAAATATACAACTTGGCTCGTAACATCTTAAGTTAAGTTAAGTTAAGTTGTGTTTGGCACTATACTGGCTTTCGTAACATCTTGTTAGAATAAGGTTATTCAAGTTGGGTGGGGGAAAGCCAAGATGGATGATGGCTGGTGCACCTATCAGCCTATCAGCATTCATTCCCACGAGAAATTTCTCGTGGGAATGAATGCTGATAGGTGCACCAGCAAGCAACCATCTTGGATTTCCCCCACCCAACTTGAATAACCTTATTCATTTTCGACATCTCGAACTAACGAGATATAGCGCTAAACTTAAATACTGAAATGTTAAACAGATTTAAAATAATCTTCTATTTCTTCTAAATGGAAATATTCAGATACTCGTGAAAAACATGACTAATGTAAAATAATTCTTTCACGCTTTAATTATTCTCAAATTCTTGTTTGAGCATATGTTTAATATAAACAATATACACAGAATTGTCATAAATCAAGTAAAATAGCAAAAGAAGAATATAATCCCAAACTTTTATTTATAAACAGTTAAAACCTATTATAAATTATTTATCCCGTTCATATAATGCTTTTTGAAACTGCAATGCAATATAAGTCTTATTCAAATTTTCGTGCCATATAAGTCTTATTGAAAGTTCAGTGCTATACAATTCTTATTCAAGTTTCCGTGCAATACAATTCTTATTTAAATTTCCGTGCTATATAATTCCTATTCAAACTTGCGAACAATATAATTCTTATTTAATATTAAATGTAAAATATTTTTTGGTTAACAGAATGATATGCTCAAAATAGTTTGAGATATATTTAAAAATTAAATTAGATATAAAACGCGTTTCATTCATGCGTATTATCAATTATGGGACCGTTCACAAATTACGTAACGTTTTTCTGGGGAAATTTTAACCCCCCCCCAACCCCATGTAACACACTGTTACATATGTACTTTAGCGCCATTTTTTTGCTGATCGTAACAGATAACTTGACCCCCCTCGCCTTTAAAATGTTACGTTATGCGAAAGATTAATTTCAAGAAAAAGTAAACGCTCATAATGCGAGTAGTCAGGAAGAGTAGCTCGAATTAGGAAAAATTATTTCTAATTTAATTACTGTGATTACTGTTAAATCTGATTATTGAATTTTAAAGATATGTTGTTTTTTCTATTTTTGGTCCTAATATTTTTTATTCTTTTACCTATTGTTCATGTTCACTTAATTTCAGGAACTTATTTAAAAAACATTTTGTTATTAATAGCATAAACAATAATTTCGAATAAATAATAATTTTGCTGTTATTAGCAAAATATTTATTATTGTTGTTATTACCAATAAAAATAAAAATTCAAAAAAAAAATAAACAAGTACAAGTAGCATAAATCAGCTAAGGGGTACAAATTTTCCTTCTGAAAAATGTAAATAGTCTATTACATAAGGAGTGTTCACAAATTACGTAACATTTTAAAGGGGAGGGGGGTCAAGTTATCTGTTACGTTCAGCAAAAAAATGGCGCTAAAGTAAATATGTAACAGTGTGTTACATGGGGTTGGGGGGGGGGTTAAAATTTTCTCAGAAAAACGTTACGTTTTAATTTGTGAACGGTCCCATAATTGATAATACGCATGAATGAAACGCGTTTTCTATCTAATTTACTTTTTAAATATATCTCAAACTATTTTGAGCATATCATTCTGTTAACCAAAAAATATTTTACATTTAATATTAATTAAATTACTATAAATTAGTTTTTCTTTTACTTCTCAATAATATTCACAAAATTTTTTTTTTCATTTTTTATTAAAAAATAACCATTTTTCATATAAACAAATTAATGATTTAAAAAAATTTTTTTTTATAAACATACCTGGAAATACTAAGATTTTGCAAAAAAATTTAGAGTGGACCGACAAGTTTATAGGTTTTGTGGCCACTATTTTAAACACGTACCCACGCTTACACAAATATTTTCTAATACTCGTATAGCAAATAACTAATTGTTAAATAAAAAATAACAAATATATTAGATAGCACACAAACATTTATACAACACACACACACATTTAATAATGTTTACTCTTTAGGCTTATTATGTTAAATAAACAAATTATATCGATTTTTAATGGTTGTGTTCAGAAAATAATATAGCTTATTAAATTCTTAAAATTATCTATTGCAGACACTTTTGTACAAATTCAGAGTATTCAGAGTTCAGGTAAATGCTGTAGACCCTTTTCACATCTGCCGTTTTTATTACTTTGTTTTTCCCAATTTATGCAAGTCTAGACTTGCAAACCTATTAGGCGTACCTACAGTACATGACTCATTTTTACACCTAAATGTATCCCTTCCTAATTGCAATTTAGTCAGTACCTTATCTGAGCCTTCGTCTTGAACACAACCTCTTCTCTCAACACATATACATATTGAATGAAAATAAAATTCATCTAGTATTTGGATTTCAATTATTTGTTTTTGCACCCGATCACCAAAGTTTAAATAAACATTTAAATACCGCGCGCAACATTGTTCACATTTCTGAAAAGTGAAAAAATTGTTAAATTGTTAAAAAACCAAGTAGCACGTAATATTACAGCAATATTACCCAGTAACATTACTGTTACATTACAGTGATATTAAAATGTCCGCTTCATAGTAATATTACTGGATAATGTTACTTTAATATTACACGGTAATATTAAGGTATTATTACTGTAATATTACAGTAACATTACAGTAATACGATACCGTAATATTAAGGTAATAATGCACGATAATATTGCATTAATATTAGAAGAATATTATTTTACGAAAAAAATGTACCCAACCGGAGAATCGAACCCCGAACTCAAGGCACACAAGTCCAGAGTTTTACCAACAAGTCATACTGACTTACAATATATTTATGATTGTGATGCTTTATGAGTAACTTAAATCAATCTGTAATATTACTGTAACATTACCCGGTAATATCACCATCAGGCGGACATTTTAATATCACTGTAATATTACAGTAATATTGCGTGCTAGTTGGGAATTAATTTTTTTCATTTTTCATAGTGAAATATGATTTCAGGTTCCAAAAAAGTAAAAAAAAATTTTTTTTAACAATTTTACATTTTTTTTATCTTTCAGAAATGTGGACAATGCTGCGCGCGGTGTTTAAATGTTTATTTAAATCTATAAAACTTATCGGCCCACTCTAAATTTTTTTGCAAAATCTTAGTATCAAATAAAGAAAACTTTTTCTTTTTTTAAAAAATTGTCAGACGTTTCTGCTCAAATGGGAGCCTTCATCAGTGACGTAATTTATTGTCTATAAAGTATATTTTTACGAGGTTACAGTATGTTTAAAGTGTCATGTTTATAATAAAAAATTAAATTCTTTTTTTTTTTTTTTGATAAATATATATACATATTATATTGTAAAAAAATTGAAAAGAGAACAAAGTATCTAAATTCGAAGAACCCAGAAAACGCATCTACGAACCTTCTTGGTGAAGAATAGTTAATCCATTAAAAATTCACAAAGTTGAACCACTGAGTAACGTCCTGCGTTATTTTATTAGATTTTCAACGTTATGTGCTATTTTCCTATTAATTTTTATTTGTAAATTTTGTATCAATTCTACATGGAAAAACATCTGTTCTATCTAAACCACGTCTCCTCCCTGTGGGCAAAAAACCATGTTCGTTCTAAAAACGTTTTAAGAACGTTTCATGTCCACCAAATAATGTTCTGGAACATTATTTGGACATCCATGTTCTTAAAATGTTCCAGAACATTATTTGGCGGACATAAAACGTTCTAAGAACGTCCTTAAAACGTTTTTAGAACGAACATGGTTTTTTGCCCACAGGGATCTCACACGTTGAATTAGTGAATCATAAATAATTTTAAATAATTCTTCAAAATATTTCTTATTTAATTATTAGTTAAGTTTTCATATTAAAGTTTGGAATTTTTAATTAACAATTTAGATTGATATTCAAGTTTTAAACATTATTATGAGAATAATTGATCGTTTAGACTATAAGTAATAGAAATTTTATATGTTATAAAAAGTTTTTAACTATTGTCATTTAATTATAATATAATTAATTTTACTTCTTTCTTTTATATATATATGTATAAAAAAGTATGTATGTGTAATTAAATGCGTAAATTTTCAATATTATGTAATTAAATAATCATAAAATCATGTATTTTATAAATAATTTTAAGAATTTTGCAAATTCGTTTAAAAAGTGAATCTTGGCTCCATCTTTTAAAAATAGTGTAAACTATAGTTCCCCACTTTTTCAAGACACCCTAATCTTAAAGATACGCCCACGCAAAGTCATCCCTAGCAATCCCCCCCGAATTTCCCCCTTCCGCCCAAAAATTAAGTAGGGATAACAATATAAAAACTAAAGATTTGAATTAAAAAGTCCGTGATTCTGATGCTGTTTCGAACCTTCGTTGTGTTCGTACTACTATACTCTCTATAACATATTTTCCTGCAATAACGAAGGAACAATGAAATTTTTACTAATAAAATCAATTATCAACAATAGAAAACTATCTTTTTGTCTTGAAAACATGTTTTAAAAAAAGCATTCCAAAGTCAGAAAATTTTGTGGCCCTGAAAAGGGCCGATTGTTTTGTAATATGACAGGAAAATTTAACCGCCGAAACCGTAAAGGGTGCGGCCTTGACGTTTCAAAGCATAGACGACGTCCATGGCGGTGACGGTCTTCCTCTTGGCGTGCTCGGTGTAAGTGACGGCGTCACGGATCACGTTCTCAAGGAACACTTTGAGAACACCACGAGTTTCCTCGTAGATCAATCCGGAGATACGTTTCACTCCACCACGACGAGCCAAACGACGGATGGCTGGCTTGGTGATACCTTGGATGTTATCACGCAAAACTTTGCGATGCCGCTTTGCTCCTCCTTTTCCTAAACCTTTACCTCCCTTTCCGCGACCAGTCATTTTTCAGAAAATAAAGTTTCTACGTCAAACTCGAACGAAGAACAAACTGAGAATGCGTGGAGGGGGAAGTGAGCGTTATTTTATAACATCGTGTTGCACATTTCTCCCACCACAATTCAATCTACCAATCAAGTGTCTAGAACTCCCCTTCCTGTCAGCAGCTTATTCAACAATGGGAGGCAAAAGTCTATAAATACAGCATTTCCCCCCCCTCCCAACATCACTCTCGCCGTATGCGCTCCCCTCCAAATCCTATAGTAAAATCTCTCCCAATTAAGTGGAGCTCCTCTGCCAAATACCTTGGTGTCATCTTCGACAAGAGATTTACCTGGTCCAAACACATAACCTCAGTTCGCAGTAAAGCCAATGGCGCCTTCATATCGCTAAAACCTTTCTTTAGCAACCCTCACGTCTCCCAGTCCACAAAAATCCGCGCCTTCAACGCTATCATCCGTAGCATATGTACCTACGCAATCCCCATCTGGGGCTCTGCCACCCCACAACAGTTAACACGATTACAAAAGACATACATGCGCCTCCTGCGCTCTGCCTTAAACTTCCCCTGGTTTATCCGAAATCAACAAATCCTGAAAGAAACAAACCTCCCATCCATTTTTACTGCCGCCCAAACATACTCCAAAAACCTTCGTCTCTCCATAGAAAACCACTCAAACCCAACTATCAACTCGCTCGTTCGCTACAAGAGCAAGACCACAGACCGCTTCAGAAGGCCTTGCCTTCTCATCTCTCCACATTCTTCTTAAATTCACAATATTCGTGCTTCGCTATATGCGTCAACGCCCATGTAGCCTCAACTACATCGGGTATCCTCCTTCTTCTTTGGTTTATAACCTTTGGTTGACAACCACTGAGATGAGTTTTTAGTCGGTATGCACATCAAGTGAATCCGGCATTACCCAATTCCACCGGGTGTCTTTAGAAGATTTTCTCATCTCTCCCCACTTCCAAAAAAAAAAAAAAAAAAAAAAACCTCCCAACATCATTATTGTGTTAGTCACTGAACCAACTACATCGTCATGGCTCGTACCAAGCAAACCGCTCGTAAATCCACCGGTGGTAAAGCACCGAGGAAACAACTTGCAACCAAGGCCGCCAGAAAGAGCGCGCCTGCAACTGGTGGAGTGAAAAAACCCCATCGTTACAGGCCAGGAACCGTCGCTCTCCGTGAGATCCGTCGTTACCAAAAGAGCACTGAGCTCCTCATCCGCAAACTTCCTTTCCAGCGTTTGGTTCGTGAGATCGCTCAAGATTTCAAGACCGACTTGCGTTTCCAGAGCTCTGCTGTGATGGCTCTCCAGGAGGCTAGCGAGGCTTACCTCGTCGGTCTCTTCGAAGACACCAACTTGTGCGCCATCCACGCCAAGAGAGTCACCATCATGCCAAAAGACATCCAATTGGCTCGTCGTATCCGAGGAGAACGTGCTTAATTTTTTTCCAACACCATCCAAACACAATCGGCCCTTTTCAGGGCCAACACATTTTTTTACGTTGAAATTATTTTGGTTTAACATTATAAAAAATAATTTATTAAGATAAATTTGAACTGTTAGATAAATTATAACTAAATTATCATTTGTATTTTGTAGAAGTCGTTCACTGGTAAATAAAGTTTATTAAAATTTCTTTAAATTAATGGACGTTTTATGAAAATATAAAATATGGAGGCGTAATCTTTTTTAAAATGTTGTAATTGGATATTTGATGTCTAAATATATTTTATGGAGTTAATGATTAGCTGATCAATTTACTAAAAATTGTAGTTGGATCAACTACAAAACATCATTCTATCAACTATATTCTTAGTTATTGTAACTACTTTCTTATAGTGAATTCTACTTTTTAAATTGAGTTGATGACCTATTGTACTAGGCAGAGTACTTAATTGTCAAATCTATTATATTTTTTTGAGTGCAGTTACATTAATTTAATATGTACTTGTAAATTACAGCATTTATCTGACATATTGCCTCGAAAAAATAAATAAATTTACTACAAAAAATGTTAACAAAAAAATGTTTCATAAAAAATAATAGGAGAAAAATTAATGTTGTCCCTAAAGTTCTGAATAAATTTTTATTTTGATTCAATTGTATGATAAAATAATACTTAGTGTAATTTAGCAATTTATTTGTATTTTAATAAAATATTTGTTGAAAGAACAAAACAAACCATTACGTAAAAAATATTTTGTGGCCCTGAAAAGGGCCGTTTGTTATCGATGAGTTGTGAAAATGTTACTGTCATATAACATTCCCTCCTTATTTTTTCGCAACCTTCTTTGCCACTGTCTTTTTGGGTTTTGGTGCAGCTTTCTTGGCGGTAACAGGTGCCTTTGCTTTCTTGGGAGAAGCCTTGGTCACCTTAGGCTTGGCAGTGGTAGACTTGGCCTTGGGTGGTTTGGCTGCAACCTTAGGAGTCTTTTTCTTCTCGGCAACAGCTTTCTTGGCCTTGGCAGCTACAGCCTTCTTCGGAGATGCTACTTTCTTAGCCTTGGATGCAGCAGCTTTAGGTTTAGCTGTAGCAGTCTTGGTTTTTGCCTTGGCCTCAGCTTTGGCGACATTCAATTTGAAGGATCCTGCAGCACCTTTTCCCTTGGTTTGAATAAGCGTCTTGTTGGCAACAGCAGCTTTAAGATACTTCCTGATAAAAGTCGCTTGCTTCTCAACATCAACTGCATAAGTACCAGCAATATATTTCTTGATGGCTTGGAGAGAAGAACCGCCTTTTTCCTTCAAAGCTGTGATAGCTGCAACTACCATTTCAGATGCTGGTGGGTGAGCAGCTTTTGTGCGAGGTTGCTTCGCCTTAGGAGTTGCCGCCTTCTTAGGAGTTGCAACTGCAGGTACAGCTGGAGATTCTACTTTATCTGCCATTTCGAATAAACAAAATATATTTGTTGAAAATATCAAGAAAAGTTGAATAACTATTCTAATCCTCTCAGTGCAACTGGCAAGACAGAAATGAAAATTTCCACAGGCGATCGATGACTTAGTGAACTACACGGACGGTGAAGAAAGACTACTCCGCTTGTGCGTCGCATGCTGTTCAGAATTTGGGTAACATATGTACTGCTTTAAAAAACTTTTTATTAATTTAACTATTAACATTTTTAAATGAGTTTATAAATCACTTTGATTTAAATTGAATACTATTTGTTACTTTAAAGAAAAAGAATTTAATTTTGATAAATATATTATGTGTCGGTAAAATTGTACATATACCAAGACTATATTTTCTATACTGTCTGAAATTATTTTGCAAAAATGTAAAAAAAAAATTCTAATTACTTTTTTTTATAAATGGAGTTTAACAATCTATACTTTATACTATTAGCATTACTATCAATATATTGTTTGTCAATTTTTAAATTAATTTAGACAGTGAAAAATTACCCAAATAAAAAACTAGTTCAAACTCTATGGATCGAACACTGTCTCTAATACTGTGAATAATAGGTACCAGTAATGCAAAATTTTTAAACATCAATAATTATTTTTATTATAAATATACCGACTAATGAAGAAATGATCAAATTTTTCAACAAATTTCACATTCCTAAATCCACATACCGGATCCCACATTTTAGATTCCATATTCCAGATACAATACATTACGCATTCAAAAATTCGAACGCAAAATTCATGAGTTTCCAAATTATCTCAAACAGTTCTGATTCCAGATTCCGAATTTCACTTTCCTGATACAATATTCCTACACCCTCATTCCAAATTCGGAAACAACATTTCTGTTTCCGCATGCAAAATGCCTTATTCTTGTTGATACTAACGAATTCCATACTCAAGATTTAACATTTGGACTTGTAACAATTATTGAAATTGTTTAAACTTAATTATCTCAAAAAGTATCTTCGAGATCAAAGCGAATTTTTTTCCAGTGTGTGTAGTTTAGTGATCAATTAGATATTGCCCAAGTTTTGTAATTTTTCAGTTTTCTCCAAGAAAGTTATTTACATTTGAAAATAGTGAAAATAAGCAAAGTGCCAATTTTTATTGCTTTTTATTTCACATTTATGAAGAAAAAAGGAAAAAAGTGCTAAGAAAAACTAAAAGTTAGTCACAGGTACTTTATATTTGGTAAGGTTTTTTTCAATTTAATGACTTCTCTTTCTCACATTTAATAGATGAAATTTGCAAATTTAGGTTATTTGACAGGCGAACTTGAAAATCATATTTTATATATTATTTCACATATTTAAATAATTACATCAATTGATAATGATAAATTTATTCATTCTTAGTAAATTACAAAATTTTTTTTTTTTTTATGGTAAATTCTACGTATTTTTGCATATTTTCTAATGGCTAAAAAATTGACAGTTTTCAGCACCTCATATACTTTAAATTCATATTTTGCAATAAATAATTAAAATTTTTATAAAATTCTTTTCATTTCGTGATCTTGATAACTTCAAAATCATTCCTGCAAAGTATTATAATTTTTAAAAATTAGTCAGCGACGACTTCATTCGAAATATAATGGATTGACCCTTAATTAAAAATTTAATTTAACAACCAAAAATAAATAAATATATATACATATATACATATATAGAATATCTATATATATAGAAGATGATAAATAAAAATATTTGTATCAAAAGGAAATTATTAAACAAATTAAATGAAATATGAATCAGAACGTAAGGTCGAACATGCAATATATTAAAACAAAATTATGAAAAATATAAAATAAAATTATCAAATTAAATAAAAAATTCGAATTATCGCGACACTCATACCTCATTCAACGGCAAATTAACAAACTTAAAAAAATGACGAATACGAAAAAAATTAGTACATGGGGCGCTCTACGTGAAGCGGACAACCCCAACCTTGTCATGTAAAAAACGTAATTTTTGAAATGCTGCTATTTCCATTAAAATGAATGAAATAAAAAAAAGTACTTGTGTATTTTGTAGTAAATTTAACGATCTTTAAAGTAGTGGAGTTAGTTTTTAAAATAACTTTAATTTTCATTGAAAAAAGTAAAAATGTAATTTTCAAATTCATTTTTCACGACGTTCGACCATTTTAATTTTTTTTTTAAATTGCTTAAAAAATTGTTTAAAGTATGTTGATTATGTGTGCCAAATTTCAGAATGGCATCTTTTGTCGTTTAATACTTATTTAATTTTAACAGTCGATCCAGAGTGTGGGATCCAGAGTGTGGGATCCAGAGTGTGGGATCCAGAGTGTGGGATCCAGAGTGTGGGATCCAGAGTGTGGGATCCAGAGTGTGGGATCCAGAGTGTGGGATCCAGAGTGTGGGATCCAGAGTGTGGGATCCAGAGTGTGGGATCCAGAGTGTGGGATCCAGAGTGTGGGATCCAGAGTGTGGGATCCAGAGTGTGGGATCCAGAGTGTGGGATCCAGAGTGTGGGATCCAGAGTGTGGGATCCAGAGTGTGGGATCCAGAGTGTGGGATCCAGAGTGTGGGATCCAGAGTGTGGGATCCAGAGTGTGGGATCCAGAGTGTGGGATCCAGAGTGTGGGATCCAGAGTGTGGGATCCAGAGTGTGGGATCCAGAGTGTGGGATCCAGAGTGTGGGATCCAGAGTGTGGGATCCAGAGTGTGGGATCCAGAGTGTGGGATCCAGAGTGTGGGATCCAGAGTGTGGGATCCAGAGTGTGGGATCCAGAGTGTGGGATCCAGAGTGTGGGATCCAGAGTGTGGGATCCAGAGTGTGGGATCCAGAGTGTGGGATCCAGAGTGTGGGATCCAGAGTGTGGGATCCAGAGTGTTGAAGCATTCATAAGCTCTCAGTCCGGGGATTATTAATATATTATGTAATTTCTTATTCTAATTTAATTAAATTTACATGACACATCGATTCTGAGAAGCAAATGAGTTCAAACATGTGGTTGATAAGTCATAAACATAAATGTTTAGGGAAGTATCACCCACATTCCATTATCTCTTATATAAAAGGAACAATGGTATTGTCAAAATTTAAAGGGACATTATATTCTTAATTTCTATTATTTAATATAATGAGACACGTGCTAACTATATTACCAGATAAGATTGTAAACACGTAGTAAAATTTATGAATGAAAATACGCTAGTATTTATCTTGTTCTTTTTTTTTTTGCTTTACCAAATTCTATATCTATATTTTTATATTCTTCTCTTTTATTTTTAAGTTAGTTGTCGCTTTTCAAACTAAATTAGAGGAATCTTTCCAATAATTATTTAGTTTTTTAGCTTTTGTTATTAACTTTTCAAAATTCTTTTACTTGTTTAAACAATTGATTGTTTATCGTTTCAAAGAATTTGATGCTAAGAAAATAATAAATAAAAGAATTAATTGTTTTTGTATAAGTAATATAAATAAACAAACTATCTGACAATATAGTTATTCTTTGTTTATATAAACGATTGTGAGTCTTTCCTCATTAATTCTCCCAGTTCTGAATAGAATAAAATTTACTTGAATTCAACTTAATATTTATAAAC